TTACACAGCTAAGGACGACGTGGTCAGTCGGTAGAGCCTACGACTGCTAACCCGAAAGTCTCGAGTTCGAATCCCGGGCTCGAGTATGTAGAACACCACTGAGCTCACTGTACCTTACTCACGTTAGGGAAAGCAACGACAGCTGGACAACGTGTAGACAACACCATCCCCTGTATGCCGAGGTTATTGAAACAGATTAGCTCTATTTTATCTGCCCCATGTGTCTTGGACACAAACGGGAAAAGATGATGATACCGATAATTTCTATATAAATACCTTGTCTGTGTGTCTATCTGTCTGTATGTTTGTGAACATGATAACTTAAGAAAATATATACTTTAACCAGTTTCCCCCAGTTTCCCTCCCCTCCCTTTCCCCCCCCCCCCCCCCCCCCCCCCCAATTCTTATTATTCTGACAAAGATCGACTTCTGGCTATTGAATCTGGCTTATTCCAACCACTGACCGTATATCATCTTATTTAATCTTGTGTATATAAAACAAACAAAACATTATTTATATCATGTAGATACAGCGCGATTGAGACAAGATCAGCCTTGCTGTATTGTCATCTTTAAATCTTCATTAAGTCTGCCACCCCAACCCTCCCCCCTCACGTCCCGTCCCCCCTCAAGTATAACGGCACTTGGGGTGTTTATCCAGATATGTCATGTCTATCTTCTAGATTCTAACTGACGGAAATTTCCGGTCGGCGCCGTCCCTCGGTCTATATCTAGATCAGCATCACTAAATAATGGAACGCTAAGGGCATTGACTCCAGTAGGATTTTTGTAAGGGGAAATTACTCTGTTTATTTACGAGTAAGGGGACTTAACTTTGTTCATAAGTCAAGCGTATGGGAATAAAATATATTACCGTCCATAAACGGTGGGAGTGTGGGTCGGACTTTTGTGACGATCTGTGACGAGGGGAGAGTGAGGGTAAGAAATTGTGATTACATACTTTTAAAAAGTTTTTTTAAAAAGCATTTTTAAAAGTTAGGTATTGAGTTTTTAACTGAGCCGTTATTTTGCGGATTAAAAGACTTTTTTTTTGTTAAACTGTAATTAAAATTTAAATCAATAAACACATTACCGACTGCGGAAAGAAATCAATGTTTTTTATTATTGTTTTTTTTTTTAAATGCAATTTTGAAGGGGGGGGGGGGCGGGGTAAGCCGTGTGATGTCATATTCAGTTGAGGGATTGTGACTTTTTGTGACGATGTTAGACAATGTGGAGAAGGGGTGGGGGGGGGGGGGCTAAAAATCGTTTTATTAAAAAAAGTTACGTCTTTCATGAATGACTTTAGAAAAAAAAAAAACTAATTAATGATGACTTCAATTAGGTATCTTAATTGTTTGCTCGATACTAATGAGCAGTTTTGTTATTTTAATGGGGGGGGGGGGGGGGGCGATCCCCACTTTCACAGTAGGAGAGGTGGAGGATGGGGGGGGGGGCATAATTGTAGGTCTAAAAGTGATTAAGCCATTTTGTTATTAAGATATCTTAAAAAACCTCGAGGTTGGATGATCGATGGTGGATGCCGTGTTCGTCAGTTTTAAGTTGGTGGTCGCACATCTCACCAGTCACCGGTGCCAAATAACCCCCACTCCCCTCTCCACCCCCCCCCCCCCCACACCCCCACACACACCCACACACCACCACTAATTTCAGATCCACTGTTTTCTGTGACAGTGACCTCCCTTGTCTTTATCGTGACATAATTCTCTCCCCTCGCCCAACACCAAAGCCGCCCCCCCCCCCCTCTAGCCATTAACCTGTATTGCACTCTGTCAGGTGCGCGCCTGCAACAAAATACGGCTGCCCGCTAATGACGTTCGCTAATTAATTGTTGATGGATGACAGCTGGCACGGACGGTGTCCGGTACAGGGACGGCGTCTGACACGCAATCCTGTCGTCTGCTGTACAAAGTTTTACACGCTGTTAAATGGTGAGCTGTTGGTTGGCTTTATGGTGGCGTTATGGTGGCTTTGTGGTGGGTTTATGGTGGCTTTATGGTGGCTTTATGGTGAATATTTGGTGGTTTTTGTGGTGGTTTATGGTGGTTTTATAATGGCTTTTTGGTGGCGTTATGGTGGCTTTATGGCGGGTTTATGGTGGCTTTATGGTGGGTTTATGGAGGGTTTATGGTGGTTTTATGATGGTTTTATGGTGGCTTCATGGTGGCTTTAATGGTCAAACAAGAAGCCAGGTTTAGTGAGTTGTTGTGTGGTACTTATTCCCCTCCTTAACTTTAGTTACGGCCGACCCTGTAGTGGTATAGGCTGGTTTTAGTTTGTGGGAATCTCTCATTCATTCATCATTCACTGCCCTTCACCTTTCCTGGTGTAAGGTCCGCCAACCAACCATATATCTCCAGAGTTCTCTGTCCTGCTGGGGTATGGGCCGCCAACCAAAGATCTCCAGTCATTTGTCCTGCTGGGGTATGGGCCGCCAACCAAAGATCTCCAGAGTCATTTCTTCTGCTGGGGTATGGGCCGCCAACCAAAGATCTCCAGAGTCATTTCTTCTGCTGGGGGTATGGGCCGCCAACCAAAGATCTCCAGAGTCATTTCTTCTGCTGGGGTATTGGCCGCCAACCAAAGATCTCCAGAGTCATTTCTTCTGCTGGGGTATGGGCCGCCAACCAAAGATCTCCAGAGTCCTCTGTCCTGCTGGGGGTACGGGCCGCCAACCAAAGATCTCCAGAGTCCTCTGTCCTGCTGGGGTATTGGCCGCCAACCAAACATCTCCAGAGTCCTCTGTCCTGCTGGGGTATGGGCCGCCAACCAAAGATCTCCAGTCCCTCTGTCCTGCTGGGGTATGGGCCGCCAACCAAAGATCTCCAGAGTCCTCTGTCCTGCTGGGGTATGGGCCGCCAACCAAAGATCTCCAGAGTCCTCTGTCCTGCTGGGGTATGGGCCGCCAACCAAAGATCTCCAGAGTCCTCTGTCCTGCTGGGGTATGGGCCGCCAACCAAAGATCTCCAGAGTCCCTCTGTCCTGCTGGGGTATGGGCCGCCAACCAAAGATCTCCAGAGTCCTCTGTCCTGCTGGGGTATGGGCCGCCAACCAAAGATCTCCAGAGTCCTCTGTCCTGCTGGGGTATGGGCCGCCAACCAAAGATCTCCAGAGTCCTCTGTCCTGCTGGGGTATGGGCCGCCCAACCAAAGATCTCCAGAGAGTCCTCTGTCCTGCTGGGGTATGGGCCGCCAACCAAAGATCTCCAGAGTCCTCTGTCCTGCTGGGTATGGGCCGCCAACCAAAGATCTCCAGAGTCCTCTGTCCTGCTGGGGTATGAGCCGCCAACTAAAGATCTCCAGAGTCCTCTGTCCTGCTGGGTATGAGCCGCCAACTAAAGATCTCCAGTCCTCTGTCCTGCTGGGGTATGGGCCGCCAACCAAAGATATCCAGAGTCCTCTGTCCTGCTGGGGTATGGGCCGCCAACCAAAGATATCCAGAGTCCTCTGTCCTGCTGGGGTATGGGCCGCCAACCAAAGATCTCCAGTCCTCTGTCCTGCTGGGGTATGGGTCACCAACCAAAGATCTCCAGAGTCCTCTGTCCTGCTGGGGTATGGGCCGCCAACCAAGATCTCCAGAGTCCTCTGTCCTGCTGGGGTATGGGTCGCCCACCAAAGATCTCCAGTCCTCTGTCCTGCTGGGGGTATGGGTCGCCCACCAAAGATCTCCAGAGCCCTCTGTCCTGCTGGGGTATGGGCCGCCAACCAAAGATCTCCAGTCCTCTGTCCTGCTGGGGTATGGGTCGCCCACCAAAGATCTCCAGTCCTCTGTCCTGCTGGGGTATGGGTCGCCCACCAAAGATCTCCAGAGTCCTCTGTCCAGTGCCATCCTCTCTACATGCCTCCAGGTGTAACCCATCTCTACTGTTTTTCGTTTCAAGATCCCGTCGCTATTTGTTTCTTGACCGACCCACCTCTTCTTGGCTCTCCTTATGTGTTCCACCTTAATGCCTTCCTGGTGATTATAAAATTATTGGTTGGCAAGCTGCGCTTTGTGTGACCTATCCAACCCCTGTTTTTCCTTTCCTGATTTCTTCATCAGCAGGCCTGTCTTTTCCCATTGGTTTGTGTTGCTGATGGTATCAGACCAGCGGATCCTAAGTATTTGATATTAAACTTTGGAAGTGTCACATTTTTAATAACCCGCTTTAAAATTCGAACTGCTCCCCACCCCCAGGGGAAACCACTGACAAATGACAATCCCTACTATGTTGCACGAAAAAGCCAGCCAGTTCTATAAAAAAAATATTATTTACATTGAACAATTTTTTTAATCACTATGAACTGAAACCGTACAACGTGCTGATATTGTATAGATCTACATGTATCAGAGGCGTAGCGACCATTCCCGGCGCCCGGGGACAATAATTTCAATTTGGCGCCCCCTCGGGAGCAAATTCTCAATTTGCACCACCCCCCTCAAACTTTCGATTTGCACCCCCCCCCCCCCTCAAACTATTTATAATGCAAACATGCAGCTAAAATGACAGTTTAATTTGTTTTTACAACCCATTTAGGCGCCCCCTAAGGTCGGCGCCCGGGGACATATGTACCCCCTCGCCCCCCCCCCCCCCCCCATCGCTACGCCTCTGACATGTATTTATATAGGCTAATAAACAGATAAACCATTTTACATTTCACGATAGCTGTTCATGGCACTTCAGAGGTATTTCTACTTGAAATATGAAATTGCCAGTTTTATAGTTTCTTGCAACTAAATCGTCAAGTTCGTTAACATAATTTTTTTTAAACGTGGTTTTTAAATATATCCAGATTCTTGCCATAAATAATTCCCTAACAAAAAGCCGTACAGGCGGCTTCTGCTTCTACCCCATCAACATTTATTTGTAAGGTTTCATTCCCGCTATATTGATTTTTACAAACACTATATTAGTTTCGTGTAGAAAACCTGAAAAAATTTCGTGCGTGTTTTTGAGAGTAACCGGATGACTCTTCAATTGAAGTAATCTTTGTTTCCATCAACATTTTGAACTACTGTAAATAGTTTTGTAGGCACCAAGAGTCTTGACAACATCGTCTAGCTTCTGGGTATTACTGTACTGCTTTACTCTTTACTTTCTTAAGTTATATCTCAGATGCAATATGTTCATTTGTTTATTCTCGTTAAAATATTAATTTCTCTTTTTTTTTAAAAATGATGTATAAAACATGTTATTATTGTTATTAGTTTATTTATGTGTTTATTAGTTTAGTTACGCATTTATCTTTATTCGCTATACCCGCGTATTCATATGACCGATTACGATCCTTCTAAATCTCTAAACTTAGCCCTCTCTCTAACCCTAATCTCAAGCCTAGGATTAACCCTAAGCTTAAGAGTCAAAGTGGCGTTGTTTGAAACAAGCATTTTTACGTCTATCAGAATCTATTATAATAAACAATGTATTCAAGTTTTGAAATTAACAACTATGGTTATCCTAATACCTAACTCTAAACTATCTCAAACATTAAACCTTACACAGAGGCGTAGCGAGGGGGGGGGGGGGGTGGGGGGGCGGGGGGACATATGTCCCCGGGCGCCGACCTTAGGGGGCGCCAAAATGGGTTGGAAAAAAAATTGAAAGGTTGAGGGGGGGGGGGGTGCAAATCAAAAGTTTGAGGGGGGTGCAAATCAAAATCTTGGGGGGGGTGTAAATCGAAAGTTTGAGAAATCGAAATCTTGAGGGGGAGTTGCAAATCGAAAGTTTGTCCCCGGGCGCCGGAAGGGTCGCTACGCCTCTGACCTTACAGTAAATGAGACGTTTAACCTAATCCCTAAACGTTCACTAATCCTACACGTTACCCTAGGGTGCGGTCGACCTACACACCATCAGTAAATCAGTATTACTTTTTTCCATTATTTTTCTTTTTTAATACTGCACCTTTTATCCAAAACAGTATACTAAATATTCTATACTTTTTTCTAACTACAGGAACACACCGACAGATGTGACTTGTACATTATTATAATGTGTCATGGAATATCACATGCGGGTTTTTCTTCTTTGATTTCGTCCTCGTAGCCAGCTGATCTTTACAACATTTATGACGGATAAGACTTCACCCATTTACTTTGTAAGTTCCTGTCTGTTGAAAGCTATTAGGGATTAGGTAAATCAATAAAACTGCAGGTTCGTTATTATTGAGAAAATCCATAAAAATCTTCTTTACTTTTTTTTTCACTGCGTTTTATTTACGTTGTACTTACGTTATATTTGATGGAATGGTCTAGAGGTATAGAGCTAGACTGCTAACCCGTAAGTCTCGGGTTCGAATCTGGTTTGAAGTCAGAAGACCGTCGCTGAGTCCACCCAGCTCTAATGGGTATCTAACTCACGTTATGTAAAGTAAAGACAGCTGGACATAGTGCTGACCACATTATCACTGCATATGCAGAGTTCATAGAAACAAGTGAACTCTACTTCATGTGTCCCATAGACCATCAGGTTTGGAAGGGGAACTTTACACGTTATATTTAATTCTCCTTGTTTTGTAAACTAATATACATAGGTCCTTATATTATTGCTGGTAAGGCCGTAGTTAAGCTAATTTTAAGCTTGTTTATCAGTAAATAAACTCTTAACATCGTCCCAATAAATAACCCTAACTTATCTCTAAAAAATTAAGCTTGTTTATCCGTAAATAAACTTTTAACATCGTCCCAATAAATAACCCTAACTTATCTCTAAAAATTAAGCTTGTTTATCCGTAAATAAACTTTTAACATCGTCCCAATAAATAACCCTAACTTATCTCTAAAAATTAAGCTTGTTTATCCGTAAATAAACTTTTAACATCGTCCCAATAAATAACCCTAACTTATCTCTAAAAATTAAGCTTGTTTATCCGTAAATAAACTCTTAACATCGTCCCAATAAATAACCCTAACTTATCTCTAAAAATTAAGCTTGTTTATCCGTAAATAAACTCTTAACATCGTCCCAATAAATAACCCTAACTTATCTCTAAAAATTAAGCTTGTTTATCCGTAAATAAACTTTTAACATCGTCCCAATAAATAACCCTAACTTATCTCTAAAAATTAAGCTTGTTTATCCGTAAATAAACTTTTAACATCGTCCCAATAAATGACCTTAACTTATCTCTAAAAATTAAGCTTGTTTATCCGTAAATAAACTTTTAACATCGTCCCAATAAATAACCCTAACTTATCTCTAAAAATTAAGCTTGTTTATCCGTAAATAAACTTTTAACATCGTCCCAATAAATAACCCTAACTTATCTCTAAAAATTAAGCTTGTTTATCCGTAAATAAACTTTTAACATCGTCCCAATAAATAACCCTAACTTATCTCTAAAAATTAAGCTTGTTTATCTGTAAATAAACTTTTAACATCGTCCCAATAAATAACCCTAACTTACCTCTAACCTAACCCAAGCTCATCAGTGGATGCAGTACTAACCAAACGAGGAAAACAAAAGTACCAAAGTTTAAAACAAGTCGTTCAGGTAGATGAAGTAGAGTTGATGTTATGTCTCTTGATGGACCATGAGAAGATGAGCCAACATTTGATATCATATTCCCTTTATCCCCCAGGCTGTCACCGTAAAAAGATGAGCCAACATTTGATATATTGCCTGGAGCCAACATTTGGTATTTTGTCTGGAGCCAACATTTGATATCATATTCCCTTTAATCCCCAGCTAACACCGTGAAAAGATGAGCCACCATTTGATAATTTGTCTGGAGCCAACATTTGATATTATATTCCCTTTAATCCCCCAGGCTGTCACCGTAAAAAGATGAGCCACCATTTGATATTTTGTCTGGAGCCAACATTTGATATCATATTCCCTTTAATCCCACAGGCTAACACCGTAAAAAGATGAGCCAACACTTGACATTTTGTCTATGGAGCCAGCATTTGATATCATATTCCCTCTAATCCCCCAGGCTAACACCGTAAAAAGATGAGCCAACAGTTGAAAATTTGTCTGGAGCCAACATTTGATATCCTATTCCCTCTAATCCCCCAGGTTGACACCGTGAAAAGATGAGCCACCATTTGATATATTGTCTGGAGCCACCATTTGATATCATATTCCCTCTAATCCCCCAGGTTGACACCCGTGAAAAGATGAGCCACCATTTGATATTTTGTCTGGAGCCAACATTTGATATCATATTCCCTTTAATCCCCAGCTAACACCGTGAAAAGATGAGCCACCATTTGATAATTTGTCTGGAGCCACCATTTGATATTTTGTCTGGAGCCAACATTTGATATCATATTCCCTTTAATCCCACAGGCTAACACCGTAAAAAGATGAGCCAACACTTGACATTTTGTCTATGGAGCCACCATTTGATATCCTATTCCCTCTAATCCCCCAGGTTGACACCGTGAAAAGATGAGCCACACGCCGCCTATGGTGAGAGACACCACGAGACAAGTCCGAGATTTGCTGACCACAAACCCATGGGGTGCACTGCGGCTAAACCGAAGAAAGAAGTGATGGGGAAAACGGAGAAATGTGCGATTTGTAGTTGCTTATGTCTTGTTGTATATAGCTTCCTCCTTTTCGGTTAGCCGTACCCTTCATCTCACCCTCCTTCCATCCCACCCCACCCTCCTTCAAGCATTGAATTGCTTGTATCAATCGCAAAGGTTAAGAATGTTCGATCAAAAATCTACGTGAACATATAAACTCGGGGCATTAACAATAAGACATAAAAACTGGACGTCCCCCCCCCCCCCGCACAGGACAAATACCCATGCACACACACACACACACACACACACAACCCCCACCACCACCCACACACCTGATTGAGGAGTATATATTAAACAAGTCATCTTGGAGATAAATGTAAAAGAATGTTATTCAGCATATTTGTGTTTCACTTATAGGGGCTAATCGAGTTGTACTTTATGGGACTTTTCTTAAATGTAAATTATATCCAATCTTTGATCAGCATTCCCATACACGCCTTTGTGGTAGATAAAGCAGAGCATCTGTGACCACATTATTGTATTCTTCTATATTTAGACGCTATCTATCACAACTCTCTTAATATCGATTTATGCCGGGTACCCACTAGAGCTGGGTTAACTCAATGACGGCTTTACCTTAAGCTTCCTCGTGCTAACTGTCCTATTCTTCCACTTGACCTTAGCGTCTTGAACCTTGAAAAAGAACACGCGGTAGGCAGTGTGGTCTAGTGGTAGCACGCGCGCTTGTTAAACAATGTCGCGAGTTCGGTTCTCGTGCACGATTCCAGATGTCTACCCCCACCCCAAGGCCCTCTTTCCTACATGACGTAACCGTAGTAATCTGGCATACATTAAGCCACTTCTCTCACTAGAGTCTTATGGCTAAGTTCAGGATTTCTGTAGATGGCTGTCTCTCTCAACGCCTACACCGTCAATGTCCGTATCAAGCTCCAGCTTTGCTCAGGACTTAGTTGTCTGATCTCTAGTTGGTGTTTTTTAAGATTAATTATTTTCTCATTAAGGGGGTGGACTCTGTGGAAAAAGGAAAAAAAAACACGTCTTAATTAATAAGCTTTTTTTATTTATTTGTGTGTACCTAAGTTAGGGTACATAAGGGAAAATATTTTCATTCATATAATAAGCTGGCTATTTTTTTTTTTTTAATTTTTAAAGTTGTGTATGGTGAAATACCAGTAAATTTGGCATTAATTTTAACTTTATTGGAATAAGAAAACCTACAGGAAGGATCAATAATTATACGGTCCATATAAATGTTTAGTTAGTTTTGAACCTTGAGACCTTCACGAAAAGTTGTTTTTCTCAAGATGGCCGCCGTTGCCATGGCAACCATATTTCAGAAGAGTCCCTGATGCTTGCAAAAAAAAAATTCTTGAAGTACCCTAACTTAGATTTACCCAGTATGGATCGGCGTGGTCGAGTTGGTAAAGCTCATGGTTGCTAAACCAATAAGTCTCGAGTTCAAACCCTTGGGCAGACTCAAAAATCAAATCCAAAAAGAAAAGCAGGCTGAAATCGGAGTCAACGACCAAAAATGGCGCATAACCAGTTGACACGTATACTTAACAGGAAGATACACACAAAATAATTGAAGTATTGATATTAATAAGGAATTGTTTTTTTTCCCGGGGCCTCCCCCCTCCACCCACCCCCACCCCTCCCCCCTTAAGACCGAGGTTACTGACAGCTGTAGTGTAACCAAATACCGCCATGTGTGGACGCTAATTGCCGTGTCTGTTTGCTAGACAACGTCTCGCTTAATTAAAATGACTTCATCAATTTCTCGCTAATTGGCTGACTGTACCTTGGTATCGCTACCTTAGATATACAGGGCATAAGAGCTTTATGATTGATGGCTTTAAAAGTCCGGACATTCACCAACAGATTAAGCTAGATACTCTACACCACGGGTTCCCAACCTGGGGGTCGCGACCCCCCTGGGGGTCGCGAAGGGCTTTCTGGGGGGTCGCCAACTGGTATACTAAACCTTAGTAATGAGAAACAAAAAATAAATATTTAGAAGAATATCTGAAATTCGGCTTTACTAACATCACTGGAAATGGAATAGAGAAGCAATGATTACTCAATACTGTACAAAGTTGTTCTCAGTCACGAGGTAATGAACTTTTCAAATCTAAAACGTCATTTGAGACGAGTCATTCCGAACACACCAAAAAAGATACGAAGTTCTTTCGTCGACATGAAGCTAGTTGCAAACGTCAGAGACTTGATCGAACTGGAAGTTTTCACGAAGGAAACACAGCATTAGTGCAAGCATCATATGAAGTCGCGATAGAAAATGTCAAGCAAAAAAAAAAAAAACACAATAGGAGAAGATCTTATCAAACGCTGCATGTTGAAGATGGTGAAGTTAATTCTTGGGGATTCCAGTGCAGTAAAGATGCAACAAATATCTCTCCCTAATAATAATATTCAGCGGCTTATAGCAGACATGTCCGTAGATGTTAAATAACAAATTTTTATTGAAATCAAGCTTTCACCATTGTTTGCTTTTCAAGTTGATAAATCAACAGACTTGAGTTCGTGATCGCAGTTGTTGGTCTTTGTCTATATTCATGCGGATGATAGCAAATAAGAGCTTTTATTTTTTAATGATAGCATGGAAAAAATAAATACGTTTTTCGAAACTGGATGATTAAAAGGGTTAAAACGGCTGTGGGGGTTTGAACGGATGGTGTGCCATCTATGTTTTGGTCAAAATCAGAAAACAGAAAAGATTTAGCTGCCTAACCACTGCCCTCGCCATCAAGACTCCATTGCTAGTAAAAGTCGTAACTTATATTAAATCTGGAGCTTTCAAAGAACTGTGCAAATACATTAATAAAGATCACGAGGTTCTGCTTTTCTACACTACATCATGCTGGCTGTCAAAAGGAAATGTAAATCGTGTTGTGAAATTGAAAGCTGAAATCAAGTTGTCCTTCGAAGTACAAATGAAACAAGACCAGAGTTTCTTCCAGGCATCTCTTCGGGGGGGGGGGGGGGGGGGGGGGCTTTGCCCCCCCGAAATTTTTTTACCGCCCCCCCGAACGAAATGAAATTTATATAATTTATATAGAAAATATATACTTTTAACAGTGTCCGCCCCCCCCCGATGAAAGTTTACCGCCCCCCCCCCCGAAGATTTCAAGTGCCCCCCCCCCCCCCCCCGGAGAAAAAAGTCCGGAAGAAATACTGAACAAGACCCTTTTGGTACACTTAATACGACATACCTAGCAGATGTATTCGAACATCAACATAAGCTTGACCTGAAGCTTCAGGGAAAATGAACGCATATTATCACTTTCCATGATAAATTCGGGGCATTTTTATCAAAGCTGCAAAAATAAATCTTGGAAATATTGCCATGTTTGAGAACTCTGCAATGTAGTAGATGAATCTGTTTGTGAGATAATTAACATTTTGAAAGAAGCGATTTCTGGGCATTTTGAATCTCTTTAAAACGAACTGCAGCGCTATTTTTCTGCGCTGAAAAAAGAAGAATCTGCATTGACGCATTACCCATTCTCTTCTTCCCTTGATGTTGCCAGCATTCCAGATGAATTACAAGATGAATTCTTTTATTTGCAGAATGATTCAGCGCAAGATGAAAAACTGCACACACAATTTTGGTGTAGTATTCACCATTCATACCCAAACGTAATATTGATTGACTTTTCGAGAATAGATTTTCAACACTATTCTCCGATTAAAAACAAAATTAAGGAATAAATTGAATGTTGATAATGAAATAGGTAGGCGTTAACAAAAACTTAACCGCGAATGTTTAGTAAATAACACGCAATTTTACACATGCTATTAAAACAGTTATCAAGGGTAGTTTACATTGAAAGTCTACTTGAAAATCTTAATTTAGTGCTTGTTAATTTCCATACTAATTTCGGCTTTTTAATTCTATGGGGGTCGCGGGTCACTTACTTTTTAAAAAAGGGGGTCGCCACTCGAAAAAGGTTGGGAACCACTGCTCTACACCATTATATCCAACACATTCTTCAAGAAACTATACCCGACTTTAAGCGATTACAATAAGATATTCCCAGAGGCGTAGCGAGGGGGGGGGGGTACATATGTTCCCGGGCGCCGACCTTACGGGACGCCAAAATGGGTTGGAAAAACAAATTAAAATGGCATTTTAGCTGCATTTTTGCATTATAAATAGTTTGAGGGGGGTGCAAATCGAAAGTTTGAGTGGGGGGGGGGGGGGAGGGCGCCAAATTGAAAGTTTGTCCCCGGGCGCCGGGAACGGTCGCTACGCCTCTGGATATTCCACAACAAATTATGCCAAATATTTTACAAAAATCATTATATCAGGCATTTTACAAGAAACCATTCCAGATTTTTTCTACAAGAGATCTTATTATACCAGATATTTTACGTTATAGTAATTGCCGGATGCATACCATTCCGCCTACTTATTTACTTGATAAATAGATATCCCACGCTAAAGTCAGAGCATCAACAGAGTATTTATTCTGAAATAAGTTGAAACGTGTTCAATTATTTACGAAAAATCGATTTTAAAAGTTTGAATACAAAATGGGTTTTTTAAGATGATGACGCAAAGTTATTTGAATTGAAAATCTTATTCAGCTGTAGAAATATTTTTATGTTATTTACATCAACATTACCCTAGAGGGGAGTGCGTGATCTGAGCTCATGGAGTTAACTTAAATCAGCTCCAATTTATTTTGCGTGTTTGTGTCTGTATGGTAATATTTGCTGTTATCATTTTTAAAATTTTGTAATTTAGATTTACATATCTTGATTCGGTGTCGTGACTCCGAAATAAATATGTAAACCTGTGTGGTTTTTTGGTGTAGCTGTCGTTTTATGTTGACTAAGATGGAGTGGTCGGATGGTAAAGCGCACAAGTGCTTGAGTTATAGTCTCGAGTTCGGATCCCGGGCGCGAGCGAGTCCATTGTAAGTCCCTGAGCCAATCGAGTTATGATGGGTACCCAGCATGCGTTAGGGAAAGTAAAAGTGACTGGACATATTGCTGACAACAATATCCATTTATAAGCATAGATCGCAGGAACAAGTGAACTCTACTTAAATTTGCAGTTGTGAGATTAAAAACAAATGTTAAAATACTGACTGCTCCGGTCTTGCTTCAACTGTGAATGTTATTGTTTTCTTGTTATAGTAGTGATTGGTGTGTATGTGTTTGTTGTTGTTGGTGATGTTTTGTCTTAACACCGCGTTTACACTTGCGACATGTATACCATACATGTCTAGAAAAAAAACCCACTGGCAACAAGTTAGTATTCATGTAACGTGATGAAAATGTTTTCTTATTGCATTACATGTTTTTTCGAGTTTTTCCCTAGACATGTAGGCCTATAGTATTCATACCGCAAAATAATAGCTGCCAATGTAATTTAATTTTTAATTTTATTTTTTGTTGGGGGGGGGGGGTGTTGAAATGACTACAGTAATTCAAGTCATGCTTAAACAGAGTGATCGCTACCATGATTTAAAGATTGTTTGTTTTTATTAGCTTTTATTTTAAAATAACGACTGTCATCCTTGTAAAATGTTTGAAATAATAACTATCGTTCCGTATCTTTTTCTTTTTGTCGAACATATTTTTTTTCAAAATCTCCCCCTCACCTTCCACCCTCCCCCCCCCTCCCACTTTTCAGCTATAAAAGCGGCTCTGTTGATCCAGCGCTGGTACCGACGTCACCAAGCCCGTCTGGAGGCCAGACGTAAAGCCACGTGGTCCATCTTCCAGAATATCGAGTATGCCGGGGAGCAAGACAATTTCAAGGTCATTTTCTCACAGCCTCTTTTTCATTTCCCTTGTGTGATTTTTATGTTGGATTTGGGTTTTATAGTTTGTTATTTATTTTAGGCATAATTTAAAGAAAGGTTTAGTTTTGACTCCCACTTAACGCAAGGTTATGTGAGAATAAAGTTGGATATTAATGGGAGGGAACTTGCACACTTAAAACACAATAAACGTTGATGAAAAACAAGGGTGATAAGAAGGGCTGACATTTTTTCCCTAGGGGAGGGGAGCACTACAAACTTCGGGAGGGGGGGGACGCAACAACGTCTTATATTGGGGGCATGAGGCGGAAACTGGTTAATGTAGAAATTTTCTATATGTTATATATTTGTTCTACCCCCCACCCCCTTCCCCGATGTAGGGGGTCTGTGGTCGTGTTCAGTGGATGTGAAAACACGTCAACTTTTTATTTATGTTTTAATCTTTGCCTGAAATGGAATACAAGAGACAACGAGACATATTCAGTAGTTATGTTATTGGACTCCATATAAAATGTATTGTCAAATGTTGCAAGTTTGTCAAAAAACAGTTCTGGAAGTGTGTCGTCTGCTCCTCGGCTGTCCTCCCAAACAATGACCTAGTTCTTTCTTCTGAGTTGCTCTTCCACTTTTTTTTTTTAATATTTCTAACTTTTATTTTTATTTTTTTGTTTCTTTTGTCTTGATATCCAAGACTTTAAAAAAAACATATTTCATCTCTTCTATTTTTGCTTCTTTAACTGTCTTATTCCACAACTTTTAAAAACATATTTTAATTTTTTCTTTTTTGTTTCTTTAACGTTGTTATTCCACCTTTTTAAAAAAGAAAAGAATCCAACTAATTTTTTTTTTTTTAAAAACATTATTTTTTTTAGCACTTGTCTTTTAAAATAATGTCCAACTGCTTGTCATTATTTTTAAGTTTATTCTAAAGAAGCCGCAGAATCAGCTTATTCTTCCGTTGATTAGTTTTTTTAATGCATGCAATCTTGTCTGAAACCTTGCACACAGCTTAATATTGAGTGATGTATTTCATTCTAAGACTTGCCAAATTTTGAAAGGGGGGATGGGCAGTGGCGGATTCCAGATGGAGCTAACTGGGCTGCAACCAAGGGCCATATTGTTTTGTTTGTTTGTTTGTTTGTTTTTTTTGTTGTTTTTTTTTTGCCTCCAAAGAGAAATATAATAGATTTAACTGTTTCAAGATGTATTAGACTTCGTGGTCTGTTGATAGAATGCAAGATTGCTGGTAGAAAGTATAGAAAGGATAAGAGGTTTAGGTCAAGGTAGGAGAGAGAAAAATATTTTCAGACAAATGACTTGTATTTTTCCTCATCCATTGTCATCCATTCTGTCGGGAGCGCCCTGACCTCACATGGAAATAAGTGTGGAAAATATCAAAATGAGTCAATAAAAAAGTAAAATAAAAACTACAACGCCGGAAAAAAAAATAAACAAAGAGAACGCTGTCATCAATAATAAAAACAAAAATGACAGTCTAATTCATTTGGCTAAGATTGAAAGTGTTAAAAAGGCAAATATGACTCACAAAGTCCCGCAAAAGCAAAATAAATAAACATCGTTAGGATTATTGTTAAAATCTGGCAAGAGTTACTTAGGATATGGGTTAAAGATTGGGATAGAATTAGGTTTAGATTAATGTTATGGTTGAGGTTCAAGGTTAAAAAATGTAAAAAAAAATGTAAAAAAAACAATTTAAAAAAACCATTATCAGCCTTGCGCGCTGTCGAAATGTTAACTAGGGTGGGTGGTGGGACGGACAGACAGACAAACAGACAGACAGACAGATACAACTACAAAGGATGATCCCTTGCGTGCCTACCATCGCGTGATTTGAAACCATCGCCTTGAGGAAGTCTGCTCTGGAACCGTTTGGTTTAACTTTAACGGAAGAATTTTCATTAACGCTTCATAAACCTGCGGCGAGATTGTAAAGGTCAAGGCCGTACCTCGATCACGTGACTGTGATTTACTCCTGGCCCAGTTTTGACAAACCTCGCGAAAATCGATACGTTATGCAAGTCCAGCGGGGAGTTATATTTTAAATAAATAAAACTCTAACAACAATGCTCTTGATGTTGACTATTTACAAAAACCTATTTTTTGGTACCGTGACTAAATGTAATGTGTGTGGGAGGGGATGGGGGGGGGGGGTCTGATACTCACCAGACAGACAGAGTACTGGAACCAGTCGTGATGTTAGCAATTGATAAACAGAAAAAAAAATGATTTTCAATAAGAATTGTTATTTTCATTGCTCGAATTATTTTTTTTATCTATTCTCCGACATTGGAATACGGGATGGTATTCGTGTAGACCAGGGGTCTCCAAACTACGGCCCGCGGGCAGGATGCGGCCCGCGAGGTCCTCTCATCCGGCCCGCGGAGATCTGGGTATTTTTGTTGGAGGTGGCTGAGGAACTTTGCCCAGAAAATTCAAAACAATTTGAAAATGTAACTTTTGGGTGCAAATACCATTGCCCGCCGTGTTGCAGACATCGGTGAAAACATCGTGACTCATCTAGCGAAAAATGCAAGCAAGTTTGGCAATTTTTTAATTGCAATGGATGAGTTGCTGGACAGCTGTTCCACCTCTTTATGTTTGTGTTCATTAGAGGTGTGGATAAAAACATAGACATAACACAATTGCTGGCTTGCCTGAATAACATGTCCGCCTACGCTACCGGAGATGATATATTCAATCAGTTGAAAAAGGAATAGCTGATTATAACTTTGGACTAACATGAGTGACATAAAAAAAGCTTGGTTGGACAAGCGAATGAGAAAAACATTCTAAAACCAATGTTCCTGCACTGTATTATTCACCAGCTTTGTGTGCTAAATAGTGGACATTAGCAGTGTGCAGAATCACGTGGACCTCGAGTGTGTTGTCGACAGTGTTTCTTTCAGACTTTTTTCTCCGGGGAGGGGGGGGGGGAGGAACTTGAAATTTGTATATATTTCTATATAAATTATATTTCGTCGGGTGGGGGGGGGGGGGGGGGGCTCGCCATCTCGAAGAGATGCCTGGGAGAAACTCTGGCCCCCGAACTGATATTTGATAGTTAATGCGGCCCTCGGGCTGAAAAGTTTGGAGACCCCTGGTGTAGACTGTGTCGCTTATCTGTCCGTGTTAGGGTTATGGCCAGGGTCAGGACTGGGATGTTAACCAGGATATTGCGTTTAATACCGGATAGGCTTTACTTAATGAACTGATTTGCTTTTAATGGTCAAGTTCTTATTTTAATTTTTTTTTGTTATTTCTGCCAGCTCAATCACTTTAACTTTTTAAATTTGTTTTTTTTTCTCCTAGCTCTACAACTTCAACTTTTTATTTGTTTTGTTATTTCTGCCAGCTTTACAACTTCAACCTCTTAATTTGTTTTATTTTTCCTAGCTCTACAACTTCAACTTTTTAATTTGTTTTGTTGTTTCTCCCAGCTCTACAACTTCAACTTTTTAACTTGTTTAATTTGTTTTGTTTTATCTCCCAGCTCTACAACTTCAACTTTTTAATTTATTTTGTTTTAACCCCCAGCTCTACAACTTCAACTTTTTAATTTGTTTTGTTTGATCTCCCGTCTACAACTTCAACTTTTTAATTTGTTTTGTTTTAACCCCCAGCTCTACAACTTCAACTTTTTAATTTGTTTTGTTTTATCTCCCAGCTCTACAACTTCAACTTTTTAATTTGTTTTGTTTGATCTCCCGTCTACAACTTCAACTTTTTAATTTGTTTTGTTGTTTCTCACAGCTCTACGACTTCAACTTTTTAATTTGTTTTGTTTGATCTCCCAGCTCTACAACTTCAACTTTTTAATTTGTTTTGTTTGATCTCCCAGCTCTACAACTTCAACTTTTTAATTTGTTTTGTTTCATCTCCCAGCTCTACAACTTCAACTTTTTAATTTGTTTTGTTTAAACTCCCAGCTCTACAACTTCAACTTTTTAATTTGTTTTGTTTTATCTCCCAGCTCTACAACTTCAACTTTTTAATTTGTTTTGTTTTATCTCCCAGCTCTACAACTTCAACTTTTTAATTTGTTTTGTTTTATCTCCCAGCTCTACAACTTCAACTTTTTAATTTGTTTTGTTTTATCTCCCAGCTCTACAACTTCAACTTTTTAATTTGTTTTGTTTTATCTCCCAGCTCTACAACTTCAACTTTTTAATTTGTTTTGTTTTATCTCCCAGCTCTACAACTTCAACTTTTTAATTTGTTTTGTTTTATCTCCCAGCTCTACAACTTCAACTTTTTAATTTGTTTTGTTTTATCTCCCAGCTCTACAACTTCAACTTTTTAATTTGTTTTGTTTTATCTCCCAGCTCTACAACTTCAACTTTTTAATTTGTTTTGTTTTATCTCCCAGCTCTACAACTTCAACTTTTTAATTTGTTTTGTTTTATCTCCCAGCTCTACAACTTCAACTTTTTAATTTGTTTTGTTTTATCTCCCAGCTCTACAACTTCAACTTTTTAATTTGTTTTGTTTTATCTCCCAGCTCTACAACTTCAACTTTTTAATTTGTTTTGTTTTATCTCCCAGCTCTACAACTTCAACTTTTTAATTTGTTTTGTTTTATCTCCCAGCTCTACAACTTCTTCAACTCTGTGGTGGAGCAGTTCGCCTCAGATGACCGGCAGCTGGCTATGATGAAGGCCTTTAGCGAGGCCCAGCACCGGTCTCTGGCCCCGCGTGAGTGCACGAGTTCCCAGCACCTGTCTCTGTCTACTACACCTGTTTCTGTCTACCACACCTGTCTCTGTCTACTGTCTCTGTCTACCACACCTGTCTCTGTCTACTCCATTTTGATATGTGTCATCTCCAATCTGCACACCATCCACCTGTTACCATCCCTCATCTTCACACGAATCAGCTACCACCTTCCTCCATCTTGACACCATCACACTGCTACCATCCTCATTCTCCGCACCATCCAACTGCTACCATCCCCTATCATGCAACAGCTACCATCCCCTATCATGCAACTGCTACCATCCCCACCATCCAACTGCTACCATCCACACCATCCAACTGCTACCATCCCCACCATCCAACTGCTACCATCCCCACCATCCAACTGCTACCATCCCCACCATCCAACTGCTACCATCCCCACCATCCAACTGCTACCATCCCCACCATCCAACTGCTACCATCCCCACCATCCAACTGCTACCATCCCCTATCATGCAACTGCTACCATCCCCACCATCCAACTGCTACCATCCCCACCATCCAACTGCTACCATCCCCACCATCCAACTGCTACCATCCCCACCATCCAACTGCTACCATCCCCACCATCCAACTGCTACTTTCCCCACCATCCAACTGCTACCATCCACACCATCCAACTGCTACCATCCCCACCATCCAACTTCTAACATCCACACCATCCAACTGCTACCATCCCCACCATCCAACTTCTAACATCCCCAACTGCTACCTTCCCCACCATCCAACTGCTTCCATCCCCACCATCCAACTTCTAACATCCACACCATCCAACTGCTACCATCCCCACCATCCAACTTCTAACATCCCCAACTGCTACCTTCCCCACCATCCAACTGCTACCATCCCCACCATCCAACTTCTAACATCCCCAACTGCTACCTTCCCCACCATCCAACTGCTACCATCCCCACCATCCAACTTCTACCATCCACACCATCCAACTGCTACCATCCCCACCATCCAACTTCTAACATCCACACCATCCAACTGCTACCATCCCCACCATCCAACTTCTAACATCCCCAACTGCTACCTTCCCCACCATCCAACTGCTTCCATCCCTACCATCCAACTGCTTCCATCCCTACCATCCAACTGCTACAATCCCCAACTGCTACCATCCCCACCATCCAACTGCTACCATCCCCAACTGCTACCATCCCCACCATCCAACTGCTACCATCCCCAACTGCTACCATCCCTACAATCCAACTGCTACCATCCCCAACTGCTACCTTCCCCACCATCCAACTGCTACATTCCCCCATCTTCCCACCATCCCCAACTGCTACCATCCCCAACTGCTACCATCCCCTCCATCCAACTGCTTTCATCCCTACCATCCAACTGCTACCATCCCCAACTACTACCATCCCCAACTGCTACCATCCCCAACTGCTTCCATCCCTACCATCCAACTGCTACCATCCCCAACTGCTACCATCCCCACCATCCAACTGCTACCATCCCCACCATCCAACTGCTACCATCCCCAACCACTACCATCCCCACCATCCAACTGCTACCATCCCCAACTACTACCATCCCCACCATCCAACTGCTACTATCCCCACCCCCAGGTTCATCGGAGATATTCACGGACGACGCTGAGCTTACCGCTTTTAAGAACGAAGTGAAGTCCATGGTGATAGAGGCCGGTTATGACGGCCCCAAGTTGCAATTTCCGATCAATAAATCACAGATCAAATCATTGATGGCGGCGTTCAAATCCGATAAGGTACGCTATGGTTGTGACACTGTGGGTAAGCGGTTCTCATACTGCAGAAGGTGTACCCTGCGGCAACAATGATGGTATCAAAGATGGGCTTAAAGAGAATTGAGGTTCGATAGTTAAGGGACAGCAACTCATCTAGGAGAGACAACTCCAAAATCAAATAACAGATTGATGCTAACCCTGCATCACTAGGCGTATGATATTCCACTTTAAGTAAGAGTACGCCTTTAACTGTCTCATACGGGAGTGGTATATTATTGAAATGGTTATGAGAACCATTGGCAAATAAATAAATCAACTTTATTTTTTACATAATTGACGTATGAGTTCTAATTTTGGGTACGATTATATGACAGCTTTTATGATATTAAATAACATTTAATTCGTTTTTTTATTATGAGAATGAACCAACATTTGAAAATAGGGATTATGTATTGATACAACTAATAATTATCTGACAATGCTGGTAATTTAATTGGGAAAGTATATTATTATTAGTTTATAGTGTGGTTTATGAAACGTTGACCGTGAATAATAAAGAAGACAAATAAATATAGATCTAGCACCAACTACGGAATGATAGCAATGACAAAACTTAGCACTGACCAGTGAATGATAGAAATGACCACAAAATGATATAACTGACCACAAAATGATAGAACTAACCACAGAATAATAGAACTGACCACAGAATAATAGAACTGACCACAGAATGATAGAACTAACCACAGAATTATATAACTGACCACAAAATGATAGAACTGACCACAGAATGATCTCACTAACCACTAAATAAAAGCATTGATCACAATCATAGCACTGACAACAGAATAATATCCTTGACCACATAATGATAGCACTGACTAAAGAATGATAGCACTGACCAGTGAATAAAAACACTGAACACAGAATGATAGTACTCACACTTCAATAACAGCACCACAATACTTGATATCACTAACCATTGAATAATAGCACTGAAAACTTGATAGCACTGACCACATGACAGCACTGACCACATAACAGCACCACAATACTTGATATCACTAACCATTGAATAATAGCACTGAAAACTTGATAGCACTGAACGATAACACCAACGACTTGATCGCCCTAACTACATGACAGCACTGACCACACGAAAGCACCTACCACACCATAACAACACTATAACAACACCATAACCCCACCTCCCTCCCTCCCCTCCAGGTTATCCACGCCAAATATCTTCTGGACCTCCTGATTAGGGCTAGGGCCGCGCTGGTCAAACTGCCCAACATAAACCGTGTCTCCACCTCCTACTCCAAGCAAGTCACCATCTGTGGTGACCTGCACGGTCAGCTCAACGACCTCTACATCATCTTTCACAAGGTAAGCGACAGCAGCATATCTGTTTCATTAATAAAATACGATTTTTTTTTAATAAAAAAAAACTTTCCGAATAATTTTTTTTAACTCAAAAAAAAAAAGAAAGAAAAAAAATCAAACTTTTCTTTTTTTTAACCACATTAATAAAAGCCTAAAGTATTGAAAAGGTGTGTTTAACTGCTTTATCACTTCCTTATTATTTTCTTCCGTCTAGACTTAGATTTTGTAAATAACATTCGACGGGAATATCTGTGATCGATTACTTGCCACTTCCTAGATCTTATTAACTCCCTTTTTGTTGTTGAATACAGGAATTTTCAAGTTAACGCTTTTTAATGACTAATCTAAAATGTTTAGGTATTGGGGGTGGGGTCGAACAAAATAGAATTTATATATAAAATATACACTTTTATTAGTTTCCGCCCACCCATCCCCGAAAAATTTAGTCGCCCCCCCCCCTCGAAGGTTTCAACCCCCCCCCCCTCCGGAGAAAAAAGTCTAAAAGAAACACTGGATGAAACTATAGTAAAAACCTTTTAATAACAAGCTTTTTAAATGCACTAAACGCAAGAAAATAAACTTAAAACAAAAATAAAAGTGTTTTGTGGATACATTTTGCTACCATTTTTTTCCTATAGACGTTAAGTGTACTTAAGCCTTGTTATCGTATAATTTATTTTTACTCCGCCTCTTGGAATCACGTGACTAACCTCTATACCGATCAGGTGATTATCTGTACCGGAAACCCTGTGACCGGAAATGTCGCAAATTTTATTGCCATACCACTAACAGTAATTGGTATTTGAATCATTAGTGTGATTGTACTTAATGACTAAATTAGCAGAGAAACTTAATGAATTAATGAATCTTAAAGATCGGAGGGGGTGAAAGGGGAAAGCGTGTGTGTTGGGTAGGGGGGGGGGGGGGGTCAGTAGCGTAGCGAGGGGGGGGCGGGGGGACATATGTCCCCGGGCGCCGACCTTAGGGGGCGCCAAAATGGGTTGGAAAAATAAATTGAAAGGTTAAGGGGGGTGCAAATCGAAAGTTTGAAGGGGGGTGCAAATCGAAATCTTGAGGGGGGTGGAAACCGAAAAGTTTGTCCCCGGGTAGGGTCGCTACACACCTGGGGGGGTGGGGGGGGGTAGGCTACAGTAAATTTCTGTCGATAGTTTGAACTGTCGATGATTGCTCTGTGTACTGTTTGGTACTTCACTGATTAAAGACGCGGTTTATGCAATTCGATCGGTATTGGTGATTAGTGATAGCAGGACCTAGCCAGATGGCGTCACTAGGGTGGTGTGCGCGATAAGAGGGAGGGGGGGGAATCCGCCCCGGGAAGTTGTTTTTTTTTTTTTATTCTGTACGGGGAAAAAGATGCGTCATGCGTAAAACTCAAAAAATACACTCCTCCCTCTTTGGGGAGGAGGGGGGAGTGTCCCATTGGACAAAAAAAATTATATACAAAATATATCCTCAACCAGTGCCTGTCCCCCCCCCCCCTCCCGCTCCCTCAGAAAATGTAAGTGATTCCCCCCCCCCCCCCATTGAAAGTTTTCAGTGCGACCCCCAAAAAAAATGTCTAACACTAACCTTAAACCTGATCATGAGATGCCCTCAGAGTCGGCTTAAACTATCGCTTTGAAGTAAAACTGCCCAAAATTCCCTCTAACCAGCAGCAAAATATTTTCGGCAACATAAATTTTGTCTACAGTGATCTGAAACGACTTACTTCCGTATCCTAGGATATTTGGTTTTTATTTTAATAAAATGACAACGCGCTGATTCAAAATTACAGCCCGGCCGCGCAACCGCGCAGCTAAGATAGAACATTGCATGAAAACCAAACCCTAAACCTGACACCCCCCTTTGCAAACAGAATGGCCTGCCCGCAGCAGACAACCCGTACGTTTTCAACGGCGACTTCGTGGACCGCGGGGAGAACAGCATAGAGGTCATCACGCTTCTGTTGGTTCTACTGCTGGACCCCACGGGGAAGATTTACCTCAACAGGGGGAATCATGAGGACAGGGCGATGAACGTCAGGTAAGTGGGGGGGGGGGGGCATGAGGGCAGGGGTATGAACGTCAGGTAAGTGGGGGGGGGGGGGCATGAGGGCAGGGGTATGAACGTCAGGTAAGTGGGGGGAGGGGGGGGGGCGTGAGGACAGGGCTATAAATGTCAGGGCTAGGAATGTCAGGTAAGACAGGGGGGCATAAGGACAGGGCTATGAACGTCAGGTAAGGGGGGGGGGGGATGGGGGCATGAGGACAGGGCTATGAACGTCAGGTAAAGGGGGGGGGGGGGGAAATCATGAGGATAGGGTTATGAATGTCAGGTAAAGGGGGGGGGGGGCATGAGGGCAGGGGTATGAATGTCAGGGGAGGGGAGGGAGGGCAGGGCTATGAATGTCAGGTAAGAGAGGGGGGGGGGTGTCGACAGGGCTATAAATGTCAGGGCTAGGAATGTCAATTAAGGGGGGGGGGACAAGAACAGGGGTATGAAAGTCGGGTAAGTGGGGGGGGGATCATGAGGACAGGGCTATGAACGTCAGGTAAGGGGGGGGGGGGTACAAGAACAGGGGTATGAAAGTCAGGTAAGTGGGGGGAACCATGAGGACAGGGCTATGAACGTCAGGTAAGGGGGGGGAACAAGAGAAGGGGTATGAATGTCAGGGGAGGGGGGGGGTGTGAGGACAGGGCTATGAACGTCAGGCAAGGGGGGGGGGGGCATGAGGGCAGGCCTATGAATGTCAGGTAAGCCAGACAGGTTTGCGAATCTGTGATTTTAAAAATCTGAAACTTTCATTTTTTCTTATTTATTGTTAGTAGACTTAGCTGACAGTTGTTTTCTTGTGATCGCTAAACAGTGTTAAAGTTTCATGAGCGATGTCCTTTTAGCTAGTTTTCGTCTATCTATAATCTATGGTAAGAAACATGATAGGCTGCTGGTAAATGCTATCCTCTTACTCAACACACTCTTTAAATTTACATTTCATTTTTTTTTCAACAGGTATGGCTTTACCAAGGAAATAATTAAAAAGTACAAGGTAAGTCTAACAAAACGTAATGCTGCAAGTTGATGTTATACAATAATTATGCAAATAAGTATCTCTGTCAGTCTGGTGCGCGTGCGTGCGTGCTTGTGTGCGTGAGTGTGTGTTAAACATAGTGGTGCGTGTGTTTATAGTGACAAAAAGGGAAAATATGGATAAAAGGAGCCGTTTGAGCATTAATCCTACATAATAATTTTTACAATTGTTCCTGACTGTGACTTGCAATGGGGAACAACCGAAGAAATACCAAACAGAACAAGCCAAGAAGAGTGACAGGGGGGAAAGGGAAACAATAAAATTTGGGGTTGTTTTTTTTTTAAGATTTAAACGTGCGGATTTTGATGTTCTTTTTTTACTTTCTCGTATATACGAAGTATAGAGAAAGTATTGTAATCGTGCAAAAAAAAAAAATCGAGATTTTACAAATCTCGACGTTTTACACCTCACTGATACGGAAAAACATAATTTTGCAATCTTGTCCGTATGTCTGTGTGTGTGTCTGTGTGTCTGTCCGTGTGTAAACACGATTACTTGAGTACCGTTACAGCTAGGTTGATGAAATTTCATATATAAGTATTATATCAAAATCGTAGATCCGTATCAACTTTTGAGCGATTTCCGACAACCGGAAGTGGTACTTTTCCTACTTTGAATTTTTCAAAAGCCTATAACTTGAGTACTATTTCAGATAGATAAATGATATTTCACATGTAAGTAAAAGATCTAATTCTCTACCTTCTGTAAAATTTTGAGTAATTTACGTTGACTGGAAGTAGTACTTTACGCTACTTCCGATTTCTCAAAAAACTAATGTAAATTTTAAAAGTACTAATAATATTGCGCACTATTATGCGCTTTTTTATTTCGCGTTCACTTGGTGTGCAATTAATTTGTCTACGAGATTTTATTCTATTTTTAAAACTTTAAGTATTTAAAATGGATTAAAAATCATGTCTATAGCCCGAGTTCCCATTCCCTGTTATTTTATATAAGAATATTCGAGAAAGTTTAGAGGAGATCACTCCCGGTTTATTTTAGATTTAAACCTGCGGATTTTGATGGAGTTGTTTTTTTTTATGCTTGCCGTTTTTGTGTTTAAAAAAAAATATATGACCGTCATTGCCATATAAATTAGTAGATGTTTTACATCGGCCGTCCCATTTTCTCATGAGCCCAGGAACACGCGACCAAGATCGCAACGATGTTCGACCAGATCTTCTGTTACCTGCCCCTGGGGACCATCATCGACCAGAAGGTTTTGGTCGTACACGGTGGCATCTCTGAACACGTCGACCTTCGCTTTATCGAGAAGATTGACCGGAGAAAGGTAGGACAACACACTAGACCTTAAAGGTAATATATCAACCCCTAGACCATTATATATCAACCACTGGACCCTTATATATCAACCCCTAGACCTATATATCAACCCTTTGACCCTTATACATCAACCCCTAGACCAGTATATATCAACCCCTAGACCTTAAAGTTAATATATCAACCCCTAGACCTTAAAGTTAATATATCAACCCCTAGACCCTTATATATCAACCACTAGACCCTTATATATCAACCCTTAGAACCTTATATATCAACCTAGGCCCTTATACATCAACCCCTAGACCCTTATATATCAACCCCTAGACCCTTATATATCAATCCCTAGACCCTTATATATCAACCCCTAAACCCTTATATCAATCCTTTGACCCTTATACATCAACCACTAGACTCTTATATCTCGACCACTAGTCCCTTATATATCAACCCTTGTCCCTTATATATCAACCACTAGACCATTATATATCAACCACTACACCTTTATATATCAACCCCTTGTTCCTTATATATCAACCACTAGACCCTTATATATCAACCACTAGACCATTATATATCAACCACTAGACCTTTATATATCAACCCTCGACCCTTATATATCAACCACTAGACCCTTATATATCAACCACTAGACCCTTATATCAACCACTAGACCCTTATATCAACCACTAGACCCTTATATCAACCCCTAGACCCCTATATATCAACCCCTAGACCCTTATATATCAACCACTAGACCCTTATATATCAACCCCTGTCCATTATATATCAATCCCTAGACCCTTATATATCAACCCTTTGACCCTTATATATCAACCACTAGACCCTTATATATCAAACTCTGGACCCTTAGTCCCTTATATATCAACCCTTGTCCATTATATATCAATCCCTAGACCCTTATATCAACCCTAGACCTATATATCAACCCTTTGACCCTTATACATCAACCCCTAGACCCTTATATATCAACCACTAAACCTTATATATCAATCCCAAGACCCTTATATATCAAACGCTAGACCCTTAGTCCCTTATGTATCAACCCCTTGACCCTTATATATCAACCCCTAGACCCTTATATATCAACCACTAGACCTTTATATCTCGACCCCTAGACCCTTATATATCAACCACTAGACCCTTATACATCAACCCCTAGACCTTTATATATCAACCCTAGACCCTTATATATCAACCACTAGACCCTTATATATCAACCACTAGAACCTTATATATCAACCACTAGACCCTTATATATCAACCACTAGACCCTTATATCAACCCTTTGACCCTTATACATCAACCCCTAGACCATTATATATCAACCACTAGACCCTTATATCAACCCTTTGACCCTTATACATCAACCCCTAGACCATTATATATCAACCACTAGACCCCTAAACTATACTACCCTTAGCCGACTACAAGCGCACGTTTTGTTACCATTGGGGTGACTGCCACATAAGAATGCTAATCTGTCTTTGCGCGTTACATAACAGCTATGTATTCGCTGCTTGTGTTAGGATTAAGGCCAAGTTAGCATCAAGGTCACGCCATTTTAAGGTTCGGTCGAGAGTAAGAACAGCGATACCATCAAAATGTATGCGTTATGTCTAGAGTAAGGGTAACATACCATCAGAAGTTGTTCGCGTTATATCCAGGGTTAGGGTAAATCACAACATCACAAGGTTATTGCGTTATGTCTAGGAATAGGGTAACTCTACCATCAAAATTTGTATGCGTTATGTGCAGAGAGTTAGGGTAACTATACCATAAAAATTTATATGCGTTATGTGCAGAGTAAGGGTAACTATATACAAGTTGTATGCGTTATGTCTAGAGTAAGGGTAACTATACCATCAAATGTATGCACTATACCGGAGTAAAGGTAACTATACCATCAAAAGTTGTATGCGTTATATAAGGGGGTTAGGGTAACTATACCATCAAAAGTTGTATGCGTTATATAAGGGGGTTAGGGTAACTATACCATCAAAACTTGTATGCGTTATATAAGGGGGTTAGGGTAACTATACCATCAAAAGTTGTATGCGTTATATAAGAGGGTTAGGGTAACTATACCATCAAAAGTTGTATGCGTTATATAAGGGGGTTAGGGTAACTATACTGTTATGGTTCAGTGATTAGAATAGGCTAGAATAGCACAGAACGTAGGGGAGAGGCGTATGTGAGTTGAGTGAACCCCGGGGTGTTATGGTATTGTTATCCCAAGGTCGAGTGCAGGTATAACAGTGAACTATTGTTAAGGGGCTTGTTGATAGCGGCTAGGGTCGAGGGCTGTTGTGTAATGTGTAAAGACCAGAACAAATAAAGTATTGAACATTTTCTCGGATCGTAATTTTTTTTTAATTGAATAAAACACAGACGTAACATATACCATAAAATGTTGTATGCGTTTATTTGCAGAGTTAGAGTAATTATACCATCAAAATTTGTATGCGTTATGTCCAGACTTAGGGTAACAATACCATCAAAATGCGTATGCCTTATATCGGGGGTAATGGTAACTATCCCATAAATTATGAATATCAACTCAGCCTTGTGTGTACTTGCCCTGTAACATTGTGTTCCTCCCGTGAATCTCCCTCACAGTATATTTCAATCCTGCGACCCCCGGGTCTACTAGACATGGATCCGAGCGCTGAGATCAAACTCGACCACCTGACTCCCAGGGAAATCGAGGAATGGCAACAGGTATGTGGTTGGGGGGGGTGTCAAGGGGGGGGGGGGGGGGGGGGGAATTTGTCAGCACTGCTATTTTACACTACATATTAAAAGGTTTAATCAAAGGTGAGGGTTTTCAAAAAATGAGTTCTGTAACTATGCGAGTGGGTCTCGTTAGCACTTTCAACATTTTTTTTCTAAGGCATCTGACAATTTATGTTTTAAGTTATTTACACGATATCAACTTTTTTTTTTTGGTCATCAATGTAGCCTCCAATAAAAAGTTTCAATAAGTTTGTCACGTGGGGTTATTTCTCTCCATACTTTTTTTTTACCTCTATACTGAAGTACGGTTGTTCATTTATATATATATATATATATATATATATATATATATATATATATATATATATATATATATATATATATATATATACAACATGATTCTCCAGATTGTTGACATACTGTGGAGTGATCCAAGAACCACTGAAGGAATGGTGTTCAACACGTTCCGGGGAGGGGGCTGCTACTTCGGTCCCGACATAACCAACAAAGTACTCAGACGCCACCGCCTCGCCATGCTGATCCGCTCGCATCAGTGCAAGGAGGAAGGTTATGAGTACATGCATAACGGGAGGGTAAGTTTAGTGATATTTTGGTGGTGTTTTTATAGGGGTGGGGGGGACGAGTGATAGAGCACGCTTGTTAACTCGGTGATCTATTGGTGGTGTTTTTTCACAGGGGTGGAGGTGGGCGCAATAAAACACGCGCTTGTTAACTTGTTCGAGATACCTTTGAGGGGGGGGGGGGGGTGTGGAGCAAATACTAGACGGAAACGGCTGGTAGTTTAGGCGAAAGGAAATCTAGATTTTTCAATGATCGCATGCGAGAGAGGGAGGAGGGTGCAGTTGTAACATGGGGTGGGGGAGGAGGGTTTAGTTGTAAAATGAGGGTGGGGGAGAGGGTTTAGTTGTAAAATGAGGGTGGGGGAGAGGGTTTAGTTGTCAAATGAGGGTGGGGATGGGTGGAGGGTGCATTTGTAATATGAGGGTGAGGGAGGAGGGTGTAGTTGTAATATGAGGGTGAGGGATTAATTATAAAATTATATAAATTAGAATTTGACTGAAAGGATTGTATAACATTATTAAAGTTTTAGTACAGTGAGCTCCTTGCGTGAGATCTTGTCTTCAAATGTAACTTTGGGTATCCAATACTATCAAAGGCATAACTTCGACTTTGTCAGGCGGGGCGTGGATCTTTTTGCACTCTACCCATAATTACCCAGTTCACGGACTCTACTTCACCTGCCCTTTTGACCGCCAAGTCCGAAAGGGTATTTTACAATACCTAGCGTCGTTAATCGCATAAACCAACAAGATCTCTCATACTTAAGTTAGGCACCGTCCCATAAACATGTTTTCCTTCAATGGAGTCTACCCTTAGGGAGTTTACCCCCACCCTCCCCCCTCCAACTCAGCCCCACCGGCTAACCCTAACCCTGTCTCCTCCCACCGGCCAGGTTCTCACCGTATTCTCTGCGTCTAACTACTACGAGAACCTCCCTTTCCCCCCCCCCCACCCCCCTCCAACCCACCCACCCCCCCCTCCCCCCACCCCCCCTCCCCCCACCGGCTAACCCTAACCCCGTCTCCTCCCACCGGTCAGGTTCTCACCGTATTCTCTGCGTCTAACTACTATAAGGACCTCCCACACCCCCCCCTCCCACCCCCACCGGCTAACCCTAACCCCGTCTCCTCCAGGTTCTAACCGTATTCTCTTTTTGCGTCTAACTACTACGAGGACCTCACCCCCCCCCCCCCTCCAACCCACCCCCACCGGCTAACTCTAACCCCGTCTCCTCCAGGTTCTAACCGTATTCTCTTTTTGCGTCTAACTACTACGAGGACCTCACCCCCCCCCCCCCCTCCAACCCACCCCCACCGGCTAACTCTAACCCCGTCTCCTCCAGGTTCTAACCGTATTCTCTTTTTGCGTCTAACTACTACGAGGACCTCACCCCCCCCCCCCCTCCAACCCACCCCCACCGGCTAACTCTAACCCCGTCTCCTCCAGGTTCTAACCGTATTCTCTTTTTGCGTCTAACTACTACGAGGACCTCACCCCCCCCCCCCCTCCAACCCACCCCCACCGGCTAACTCTAACCCCGTCTCCTCCAGGTTCTAACCGTATTCTCTTTTTGCGTCTAACTACTACGAGGACCTCACCCCCCCCCCTCCAACCCACCCCCACCGGCTAACTCTAACCCCGTCTCCTCCAGGTTCTAACCGTATTCTCTTTTTGCGTCTAACTACTACGAGGACCTCACCCCCCCCCCCTCCAACCCACCCCCACCGGCTAACTCTAACCCCGTCTCCTCCAGGTTCTAACCGTATTCTCTTTTTGCGTCTAACTACTACGAGGACCTCACCCCCCCCCCCTCCAACCCACCCCCGCCCCACCCCCACCGGCTAACTCTAACCCCGTCTTCTCCAGGTTCTAACCGTATTCTCTGCGTCTAACTACTACGAGGACCTCACCCCCCCCCCTCCAAACCCCCTCCACCCCCCACCCCCCACCGGCTAACCCTAACCCCGTCTCCTCCAGGTTCTCACCGTATTCTCTGCGTCTAACTACTACGAGGATGAGAGCAACAAAGGGGCGTACGTCAAATACATGCGGCAAAAATCTGCCACAGACATGCCCATGTGCCAGATTGTACAGTTCAACGCTTTAGTGCGTTCCGGGAGGCGGTTTACGCTGCCGGAAAGGTACGGATGTTATCCTAAGATTATACATTTTTTATTTCGTAGATTTTTCATGTTTTAACTAGTTGTTTCTTTCTTCGGAAGAATAGAATAGTAAACACCTAAGCAGATAAAGCATCAAATAAGATACTTTATCATTTTTTTTAAATGAAGATTTTTATTAATGTTAAAAACTTTATTCAGTCGAAGACTAAATGGCGAAGCGTTATGTATAATGTAATTGTTAAGTATTTGTAGCTGTTTTTTTTTTTCTATCGAGATTTTTTTTTCCATGTTTTTAATAAAAGATTTCTAATGAACATAATTTTTTCACTCTGTCCGAAATTCATGTGTAATGTCATTGTTGAGTATTTGTGTTTATATTGGTTTTTTTTTTCAAATTTTATTTTTGTTTTTTAATATATTTTTTTCATGACGAAGACAAAATATCGATACACCTTGTGTTTATGTAAATGTTGAAACACATTTAAACATCTCATGTTTTCACATCTTTAAACACTTGTGGAATCAGATGTTTATTTGACTGTAGAAATACCTTTACATAAACTCCTTATGTTTTCACACCTGACAGCTGAAACACCTATACATAAATCCCTCATGTTTTCACATGAATCAGCTGTTTATTCGACTGTTAAAACACCTTTAACACCTCATGTTTTCACACCTGACAGAATCAGTTACCTGGAATCATCAGCACTGAACAATGTGAAACAAATGATCATCTCCAACAGATCAGCTCTAGAAGAAAAATTTAGCAAAAGTGATCCATCCGGCACAGGTGATGTGTGTAGTTGGTTGTGTGGCGTAATTACGGTAGTGGTGGGGAGGGTCGCCCAGCCCCAGGAGATGGGGGGAGGGGCGTCATTTATTTTCTTTAATAAAATATATCGACAAGTGTCGTTTTCGGAACCTTTTTTCATTGTCTCATTGGGTCATTGACTCATTGGGTCATTGACTTAGTGGGTCATTGACTAATTTGTTCATTGACTCAGTGGGTCATTGACTCTTCGACTCATTCGGTCCTTGACTCATAGGTTCATTGGGTCATTGACTCAGTAGGCTATTGAATCATTGGGTCATTAACTCATTGGGTTATTGACTCAGTAGTTCATTGACTCATTCGGTCCTTGACTCATTAGGTCATTGACTCATTTGGTCATTGACTCAGTAGGTCATTGACTCATTAGGTCATTGACTCATTGGGTCATTGACTCATTGACTCATTGGGTCATTAACGCGGTGGTAACATTGAGACAGTGACTCTGTGGGTCATTGACTCGGTGGTTCAATGACTCATTGAGTCAATGACTCAGATGGATATTGAGTCCTGACTTACCGACCCACCGACTCACCTTGCCATCGCGTCTGTATTCTCACCCTACCTCAGGTGTGATCACAGCCGCCCAGTGGTTCACCGCCATGGAGAGCGTGATGGGGGTCAACGTGCCCTGGCGGACCCTCAAGGACAAGCTTGTACAGTGTGACGGCGCGAACGTCCTCTACAACACCACGTTCAGCGACCTCAAGCTGACGTTCCAGAAAGTGGAGGTGGGTCTCGCCCTGGTGATGCTTTTTTCTGAATGTAGTTGACTGTTTTTGTTATTTTTTTCGTGAATGTAGTTGACTGTTTTTGGTGGGTTTTTTTCTGAATGTAGTTGACGGGTTTTTGGGGGGGGGGGTTTTGTGAATGTAGTTCTTTGCTCTGATGTGTTTTTTATGTTGTTTTGTTTTTGAGGATAGATGAAGATATAGGTGTAGGTGCAGGTAGATATAGATATAGATATAGATATAGATATAGATATAGATATAGATATAGATATAGATATAGATATAGATATAGATATAGATATAGATATAGATATAGATATAGATATAGATATAGATATAGATATAGATATAGATATAGATATAGATATAGGTATAGGTATAGGTATAGGTATAGGTATAGGTATAGGTTAAGGTATATATATAGATATAGATATAGATATAGATATAGATATAGATATAGATATAATTATAGATATAATTATAGATATAATTATAGATATAATTATAGATATAATTATAGATATAATTATAGATATAATTATAGATATAATTATAGATATAGATATATAGTTATAGATATAGATTAGATTAAATTAGATATAGAAGTAGATATAAATATAGACGTAGATATATAGGTACAGGTAAAGGTATAGAGACAGATATAGAGATGCATAGACATATATATATATATATATATATATATATATATATATATATATATATATAACGTTTTTAAGACGAAAACAGACCATTGCATTATTTACAAACCACCCCACCCCTCATTTTCCTCCCATTCCACCTACCTCCGCCACCGAAACCCTCCCCGTCCACCCCTAACCACAGATCAACGAACCTTCCATAACGGAGAGCTTGTACAAGCACAAGGAGGTTCTGGAGACGATCTTCCGCACGTTCGACAAGGACAACTCGGGCCACATTTCGATGGCGGAGTTCACCGAGGCCTGCCAGATCCTCATGAAGCACGCGAACGTCAAGGTGCGCCCCGACCAGATCGCCGACATCGCGCGCAGCCTCGACCTCAACAAGGACGGGCACATCGATTTCAATGAATTCCTAGAAGCTTTCAGGATCGTCGACAGCCAGCAGAATCGGTTAATGATTAGTCCTTCGAAAAGAAATATCTTTTAGGGGTGATTTTTTTTTTTAGAAGAAAGCTTTATTATAATGTGGAATTAACAACTTATTTGTTAGTTCAAGTATATGTTTTAGAGTTGACTTTGCTAGTTATTGGAAGTTGCGTAGCTATTTCTGTATATCCAGATGGCCTTTCTTCCTATAAATGAATGTGTACATATGTATATATATTTATATATACACTTAGATGGAGTCCCCTGTCCCCTGGTTTGTGATGTATAGCTACTTTATAACATGTCAAAGAAAACATCCATGAGTGCGTAAGTCAAAAGTCAACCTCTGAAATTATGTAAATAAAATCAATAGTGGTGTGCCATCAATGCATAATAAACTTTTTTTTTCAACTCTTGGCCATTCTAAATTTTTAAATGCTGGGGGGGGGGGGGGGTTCTACTTTTTTCCAAAACATTTTTAATTATTTTTTTAAAACAATCAGTTTTTTATAAGGGTAAATGAAAATTTTGCAGCCACGGCAGAATAGATTTTTTAAAGTGAAGTTTTTTATTTTTATTTTTTTTAAATAGGCCTACATTACTTTTTTTTTAATGAGCCACATTTGTAGATATTTAAAGTATGGTCTAAAGTTTTGGGGATTTTAAATTAAATAGTCGCGATCTTCTAAACTTTCAAATATATCCTATTTTTTTTTCTTGCTGCTAGTAATTGAGAGAAAATATTTTTACTTTGATTTAAGACCTAGTCTGATTAAGTTTTAAGAGTTGTTGAAACATTAAACTAAGCTTATCATAGAAACTTGTGATTCTGTTGTGATATCCGATTAAATAACTATCTTTTCCATTGGCACTAGGAAAAAAGTTTATATTTTACAAAAACATTTATTTCATTTTTTACACTTTATCCTCGATTTTTATATTTTTAAATCGTTTAATATCGTGTTTTGCTTCAATGCTTCCATAAAAACCGATTTCGTAAATAAATGTTTTTATAAGAATCAAACTGTCTTACTATTTTTGGCGTTTTCTTCTTTTAAAAAAAAAATTATTTAGAGCTAACATTAAACGCCTCCTTTTATTTGATAAAGAGCAAGAACGAGCTCGTTCGCACTCTTTATTAACTCCCTATGCGCCTTACTAAGTAAGGGCCCGCAACTACAGCTCTCCAGAGTTCTCTGTCCTGCTGGAGTATGGGCCACCAACTACAGCTCTCCAGAGTTCTCTGTCCTGCTGGAGTATGGGCCACCAACTACAGCTCTCCAGAGTTCTCTGTCCTGCTGGAGTATGGGCCACCAACTACAGCTCTCCAGAGTTCTCTGTCCTGCTGGAGTATGGGCCGCAAACTACAGCAAAGAGTTCTCTGTCCTGCTGGAGTATGGACCACCAACTACAGCTCTCCAGAGTTTTCTGTCCTGCCGGAGTATGGGCCACCAACTACAGCTCTCCAGAGTTCTCTGTCCTGCTGGAGTATGGGCCACCAACTACAGCTCTCTAGAGTTCTCTGTCCTGCTGGAGTATGGGTCACCAACTACAGCTCTCCAGAGTTCTCTGTCCTGCTGGAGTATTGGCCACTAACTACAGCTCTCCAGAGTTCTCTGTCCTGCTGGAGTATGGGCCACTAACTACATCTCTCCAGAGTTCTCTGTCCTGCTGGAGTATGGGCCACTAACTACAGCTCTCCAGAGTTCTCTGTCCTGCTGGAGTATGGGCCACTAACTACAGCTTTAAAGTTCTCTGTCCTGCTGGAGTATGGGCTACCAACTACAGCTCTCCAGAGTTCTCTGTCCTGCTGGAGTATGGGTCACCAACTACATCTCTCCAGAGTTCTCTGTCCTGCTGGAGTATGGGCCACTAACTACAGCTTTAAAGTTCTCTGTCCTGCTGGAGTATGGGCCACCAACTACAGCTCTCCAGAGTTCTCTGTCCTGCTGGAGTATGGGCCACCAACTACAGCTCTCCAGAGTTCTCTGCCCTGTTGTGACAGAGAGCCGCCAACTACGCGAAAGCCCAGAGAATATTTTTCTCCCATAGAAAAAAATTGTCCTATTTCCTTTCACTAAATAGTGAAAAGTTTTGTGGTATCTATTGAACAATATTTACTGTACGATAACCTCTAACGTCTTAAAATTTAAATAAAAGGACATAAGACACGCGTCAAAAACCAAGAAATTCTAAAATAACGTTTATTGTAAAACTGCAACAAACATGATCATATGTGACAGCACACTGTGTTTGTTCAATGTTTAAGAAGTATGAGAATGGGCCAGCGGTGTAAGCTTGTTGGGCTGGGGGTGAAGGGGTGGGGGAGACAACCTGCAGCAACCAACCATAAATAGAAGTATAAAATTATAGGTAAAAAAAAAGTAAATTACCCTTTTAATGAGGGGGCAGGTGAAGTAGAGTTCATGTTAAACTGACCTTGGCATAGTGGATTCAGTACTATGCCCAGCCGCCTATACTATCCCTAACATGAGTCAGGTACCTAACAGAGCTGGATGAACTCGAGGACATTCGTTCTACTGACACGAACCTGGGATTTGAACTGAAAGGGTAAACTATGAGAATTGTTCCTGTAGGCTAGGATGTGTAGCTCCACCCCGGGACTTGTTAAGTGGTTGGTCCTGTCAGAGATTAATTTAAAACTTCCATATAAGAACACCAATATGAAAAGGTGGGTTTTCATTTTAATTAGTAAACAAAGCAATAGGAGATGCTCAACAAAAATGCCAGTAATATATGTATATGTATGTATGTATATATATATATATATATATATATATATATATATATATATATATATATATATATATATATATATATATATATATATATATATATATATATATATATATATATATATATATATATATATATATATATATATATATATATATATATATATATATATATATATACATATCTATACATATACATAATATGTATATATATGTATATATAGGTGTATGTATAAATATTATCTATACATATACATACACATATAAAATATATATACATATATATAAACATATATATATATGTGTAGTATCACACACTCTAAACCAAGTAAACTTATAGTAAGCAATAGAGTTCAGCCAATCGCTTAGAGACATGTAAATGATAGCAGATGTGTACAGAGTTAATTCAAATGAAATTTAAATCAATGACTGACTATTTGATTTCATGATTTTTATCAACTCACCTTACAAAGTGATTGACATGCACACTGAATTAAGAACAATAAGAACTGATCACTGTGAAAGGTATCCAGGCTACCCTGCGACTATTACCTAATGCAGCCACAAATACAGGTACGCTTAATATCTATACCAACACACTTCCCAACTGTACTGACTACAAGCATGTGTGTCTTGTTCACTACAATGATTCACATATATGTAGTTTACCTCAGTGTTTGAAAATATTAGTTTCTGCACTATATATAGGTCAATCTCAACCCCTTGTATGTTTCTATTTTTTTTTTAAAAACGGTTATGGCACACTGGCCATAAAATATTCTTTAAAACTTTTCATAATTCTCAATACTGTGCGGAAGAAAATACTAAATTATCTGCCCTTGTAAATAACTAACACCAACTTCCCACCCTCTTCAAATATTTTTTTTCAAAATCTCACCCATCACATGATAATGACCAAGTACTTTTTATACTGGGTAAGAATTTAGCAAAGACTTTATAAACTTTATTTGTTATAAACTGGGTGAGAAGACAACTGGTTACAGTGACAGAACAGTCTTCAAAAGAGCATGAATTGCCAAACTGAACATAATAAACTATTTTAAAATGCAACAATGCCTTACAAAGTTACTGGGCATCGAGTCAGTATTGTAATGGTATTATACAAAGGCTGAATCATACTAAATTGATTACAGTTATTATTAAAGCTAGGCATGAATGTAAAAGCACATTTCAAATGTTTTGTACACAAGATTTTCCTCAAATGATCACAGATTAAGTCAACATGTCTCTGTTGCAAGTTGTGATACAGTTTTTAAAATACAGACAAAAAATGATAACTTAAGATTGATAATTGATTGATAATACCGACACAAAAAACTGACCAATTGTATATTTCAATGCTACATATTAATCCTTAACCGTCATGAGAAATGTTTTATCAACACCTGTGTCATTTAAACTCAATACAAATATAGCCAGACTCACAGTGTCAAATGTGACAAGTATAAAAAACAACCATGGTAACATACTTAATACTCAAACAAATCCCAATCTAATTAGAATGAGGCATGTATACCTGGGACAAATGTAACAAGTTTACAGAACAAATGTTACTGAACATTCAAACAAATCCCTATCTAATTAGAATGAGGCATGTATATCTGGGACAAATGTAACAAGTTTACAGAACAAATGTTACTGAACATTCAAAAAAATCCCTATCTAATTAGAATGAGGCATGTATACCTGGGACAAATGTAACAAGTTTACAGAACAAATGTTACTGAACATTCAAACAAATCCCTATCTAATTAGAATGAGGCATGTATACCTGGGACAAATGTGACATTATACAAAACAAATGTTACCATACTGAATACTAACAAATTGCAGTCTAATTAGAATGCGGTATGTGTACCTGGGACAAATGTAACAAGCATTCAGAACAAATGTTACAGTACTGAATACTCAAACTATAATCAACAATCTAAATAATAATATACCTTGGACAAAATAATGTGAATCAAAAAAATATATAATATACTAAAATACTGAAGTCTTTTTATAAAAACTGCAGTTTTGACTTTCTTTTAAAAAATTACAAGTGGTCATACAGTACGTTAGCAGACTTATTTTAGCCCTAATAAAATCCTTCTTAAAAACTTCAACATTGAAGTTTCAGTTTCTTATTATTCACATACTAAAACTTACAAACAGAAGAAAATAAAAACTAAAAAGGACATGCATTGTTTTAGTGCATATCGGTTAACAGTAAACTTAAGAAATAGATAGTGATAATTTTTCTTTAAGTCGATCATCAATGCACCAGTCGTATCACACACATGACTTAGGCTTGCGACATTGTCAAAAAACAACATGAAACAAGAGGCAAACAAATTGTATTATGTCACTTATCTTTTGTATTTCTCTCAATAGAAATAATATACCGGTGCACATTCAACAAGTAGAAGGTTATTCCTACATTGATTTTTCACTCAATTGCCTAGACAGATACTCAATTAACCTTCTGCAGACATACTTTTATTTAATAAATTTGGAACCTATAAGAATAACACATTATCACCAGCCAACCAAATTCAACAGAGAAACAATGTACCGACGAACAAAAAAACAAGTAAATGGTTATTCCTACATTTTTTTCATTTGAGTGCCATGACCTATACTCACTTAAACTTCTGGAGCTATAATTTTTAATCAAATAAAATTGGATTATAAAACACATTATATCCAGCCAGTAAAATTGAACAAAGAAAAATTAAAGTGTAAATTGAAACTAGGATGAGAAACTAGATCTAGTACTGAAGAATTAGACGGAATTTTATTTGCTTAAAATTTTATTCAGAAAAGATTAGTAAACTAAATCTTTAAAAATAAAATCCAATACAAATAAGTGGTTCAAGTAATTAAAAAAATCATTTTTGTACTGCTGTACTTTTTAAAAATTGTGAACAGCAATCTTTAAATGTTTAGGAACAAAGGAGGATGAGCAAGTAAAATCCAGTAGGTGCCAAAATAAAACTTGTAGTGAGATTTTCAAGACAAAAATCAGCTCTAAGTTCAATTCAATGAGTAATGTCAAGCATCCATTTCATCAATCAGGTATACACACTAAATTCATTCTCTCCCATGTGAAATAAATCATTGATATGATGAGGCATATGATTATAATTATGGCTGCTGTTAACAGAAACTAACAATAATGAGACCATGATAAAAAAAATCTGCTGTGACAACACCACTTACTTTTTTATTCTTTACAAAGAAAAATTTTATTTAAAAAAAAATAATCTTGCACTTGTAAAATGTCCACTGTTATCTTACCAACTTTAATGTAGATACCTTGAACAGAAACTTTTAGAGACTAAAAGCAAACTCGTTTTTTTAAATGACTAGCACAAGGCATAAAACAAGTTTCTAAAAAATAAAAAATAAATCATGAATTTGTATCATGTTGCAGAGTTTTCCTTAACAAGTTTACACAACATTTTCTTTCACATTCAATATTTACAGTCTCAAAAAAAAAAAAAAATAAGAACCATAACAAATTTATATTGATTTAACTGAGCAATGCTGAAATATACAAACTACTGTCAAGTACTGAGTAACATTTCACAGTCATTAAATATTAAATATTTTAGATCACAGCATTCCAAACCCCTTTGAGTAGTTGATGGCTTTTAATAACCTGTCTCTCATTTTATCAACTGTGGGGTACTCTGGGAGCAGCAGAACATTGAAGCATGTATGGGAAGTTGGCAGTCTGAAAACACAAGATATGGTGGAGAAAATATGTGGTTAAGTTGGCAGTCTGAAAACACAAGATATGGTGGAGAAAATATGTGGTTAAGTTGGCAGTCTGAAAACACAAGTTGTTTAGGGGAAAATATGTGGTTCATTTGGCAGTCTGAAAACACAAGTTGTTTAGGGGAAAATATGTGGTTCATTTGGTTGTCTGAAAACACAAGATATAATTGGGAAAATACACTGTTAACTTGGTTGTCTGAAAGCATAAGATATAGTGGGGAAAATACACTGTTAAGTTGGCAGTCTGAAAACACAAGTTGTACAGGGGAAAATATGTGGTTACTTATCTTTAGTATTGAGACAAACATTATAAAACATTATATACATAAAAAATGGAAATTTTATCCCCAAAAATGTTTGCAGTGATAACACCATAAAAAGGATGATAAATTATGTTTTTTTTGGGAGGGAGAAATAAGAGATGCACAGAAAAACAACTGATTTCATGCCGCAGCATTTTAGAGTGATCCCTCAGCACAGTGAGACACTATCTTTCCAGTATGTAGAGACAATATTTCATTGTACATGCTACAGGAGAGTTCTTCACCATGAAACCAAGTTCATGCTTCTAGTACTCATGGAGAGCAAGCAATATCAGATGACATCATTATAAAACTAACCTGTCAGATTCAAGACTAAGTTATGTGTTCATGCTTCGAGTACTTAGGGGGAACAAGCAATAGCAGATGACCAAAGAAGTAAAAAATTCATCATTATAAAACGCACCTATCAGAGTCAGGACCATTTTTTGCAATAATCATCTTCAGCTTAGATAGGCCTCCAACAGGTACCCTATCTGTTCCTGTGGTGAATTGCAACAGTTTCTTCTTATCTTCTTCTGTCATGGAATGAACCACCGTCCAAAAGTTTCTGTTCAAAATACATTGGAATTGTGAAAAAATGCTTTCATATTTAAAATAAATTAGTCTAATTCATGGGGTTGTATTTTTTGCTAACCCAACACAGTGTGAAGTTTAGTTCCAGGGCTAGAGTGCGTAGGTGTCCCCCTTAGTCCAGTCAGCTTTGAAAAGTACCTGACTCAGTAAAGTAAGTAAAGGCAGATAGGTTCCCCCAAATCCACCCAGCTCTGAAAAGTACCTGACTCAGTGAAGTAAGTAAAGGCAGATAGGTTCCCCCAAATCCACCCAGCTCTGAAAAGTACCTGACTCAGTGAAGTAAGTAAAGGCAGATAGGTTCCCCCAAATACACCCAGCTCTGAAAAGTACCTACAATGACTACATAATTCCTTTTTAAAGCCAAGGTCAAAGAAACCAAAGAACTACGCTTCATCTGACCTATGGACATTCAGAAGGTGCTTTACTTACAGTCCAAGCGATATAATGTTAAACATACCTTATTGTTGGCGAGAAAGCAGTAAATCCACCATCATATTCTGTTGCTTCCTCTAATGCATGGAAATCAAAAATCTGAAAAGTTACAAAAGAGTACAATGCAATTTAACAAGAATTTTTAAAGAAATGCATCTAATGTCACTTGTAACCCTAAACTTGAACCAAAAAATGTAAAATACTTACTTTACTACCACACACCAACATTTCTATTTCTTCTGGGCGGAACAGCTGTTTAAGAGGTGATTCTGACGTGACCATCAGAAAACCTCTTTTAAATGATTTAAATTGTTGATCTATTGACTTATTCAACAGATAATCAGCATAGAGATCAACAAATTCCTAAAAATAAAAAAAACAATCATAATAAGTTTGATAAATGTTACAGTAGACTATAAAAACATTTTTAAGATATATAAATTAACAAATCAAGCTAATGAATAGGCTGTAAATTATATCCTTTATAAAATTATTCAACATCTATACAAATAGAATTTAAGGAAAAAAATTCTCATGCATTAATACCTGCTTATTTTCCTGAGTAACTGGTGTGTTTTCTCCATTTTCTTTTAAGTCGTAAGTGTGATTATTACCAAAAACATCACTGTATCCTATTCTAAACATCTGCTCAAAAACATCTTCAAAGTCATCCTGCTTGTAGTCTAGCATCTCTTGCAGGCTGGCCATCAATGTCTGAAACACCACAATAAAAAAAAATTAAGAAAAACATTTTTTAAATATTATCAGAGTTGCTGTGTAAAACAAAATGCTACCAACAAAGGAATAAAGGAATAAAGTATTATAGGAATAAAAAATAAGGGAAAAAAATTCAAATAGTTTGAAACAAAATACTATACGTACCGGGTCAACATCAAACAGATCTTTAAATGTTCCTTTCTTCCCCATAAGTTTACGATAAACAACCATAGGAAAGTGAATATCAAGAATACAGCTATTATAAATAGCCAGCCCAAGAAGAATACCGATCAATGTGAATTGAGCATCATTTTCAAAAGATAAAGAGTTGAACCAAAAATGGTGGGACTCCTCATTATAAGTGAACATCCCTGGAGAAATAGTTCCCAAATGTGTAAGCAATCATTTTATCAAAACATTAGTGCAATAGTAATAATAATAAAGATCAACAATATAAAATATAACATGAGTAAATTTTCCAGTATTAACATAATACTGAAAATTAGTTAAATTTTGATGTTCATATCTGTGCTTACCTATGTCAGGGTTAAAGAGTTCTTCAACAATGAGCTGAAAAAATTCTTTGGACACTCCCCCTTCATCCAGCCCTTGCTCTCCTTCAAATTCCACAAAAAGTTGCTTTCTTAGGTCACTGGGGTTCTCCATGGCAATCATTTCCAACTACGGAAAAAAAAAATTTCTTGGTTCATTCTTTGTCATAAAAATATTTAAAGGTAAACTTGATACATTTGAGATTTAAACAAAATTTTAAACAAATTTTAAACTTACATTTACTAAAGCATCATCAATTATGTGATCTCTCCTCACTCTAATTCGCAAGAATGGGTTTGGCGGTCCACCATGAACAAGTGTTTGCACAAAGGCTGTTCTTCGCTCATGAAGCATACGAATTCTATTATCGTAATACATACTTGTGTGTTTCGAGGCCGTCGTGAGTATAAAACAATAGGGCACAAATGAAAATTTGTTCTCTGACTCTAACTTATAGTTGGTGTAGTCAACACCAATGTCAAGGTTATCATTGAGGGGTTCATTAATAAAATCTTCAAAGGGTACAAGTGGTTTGCGGCAGTTGATAACCTGAACACCCAACTCTTTGCCGAGAGGATCCTCTTTCACGGGTGTGGAGTCTTTTGGTTCATAACCAAACGCACCACTCATCAACTCCTGTATTGTTTCAGATTCATTCAATCTTTTTTCCTCCTCAATCAGTTCTGGGCTGTCTATGACACCACCTAATAAACTGGCGTAATACAATATTTTGAGCACACGGGTTGCACTGGTAATGGTGGAGTCGTCACTTGGACGGTAAGTGGATGACCATGATGATTCAAGGTTGATGATCTGAGAAAGAAAACAGGCATTTTATTAATATTTAATCAACAACACTCATTTACATGATCAAAAAAATTACCAATACTCCAATGCAAATTGTGTTTGTAATTTATAATTACCCTTGAAAGCTTAAAAAGCAAACAGGATTATTATATGGGTTATTTATTTATTGTTATTATAAATCACCTACATGTTTTTATCAAAAACGCAAATAATTAAGAGTTTCTTCAATGTAACTATTTTCAATGTGCAAAATTCTGGTGCACAATATTCTTAATGTTAAATAGTAAATACAAGCCGACCCACTATGTAGCATACGCTGCTATTTAGTTGTTTTATTTTCTACTTTTCAGTAATTCATAATTTGTGAATTTGACACCACCAATGCTGCAAATGAAAATATTCGCTTTAAAACACTATCAGTAACTCAATTCCCCCCCCCCCCCCTGAAAGCAGCCTCCTCTTAGTTACCTCCCCTTAGTTTCAAATAGTTTTAAAACTAAACATCTGTCCCTAATAGCCATCACTAATTCGACCCAGCTCTACAATTGTAAACATTTGGCGTGAACCACAGCTCACCAGACTGGTGGGGGTAGAAGTGGTAGTGATATGCTTAGAGGACGAGGGAGAGGGCAGCTAGGCGCGATTATGTGGTGGTGATGGTGTCCCGCATGGTCCCCACATAATAATTAATGCTGTGGAATATCATTTGAAGTTAGCCTTAAAATTATCCCTATGCATTTGCATAATGTCTGTAAGTATGGCTTTAAGATGTAAATTTTAGGTTTCATGAGAGATAAAAAGAAAAATTAAAGCACAGTAAGCTCATTTGCTAAAAAACTAATCTAGGTTAATTAAATCTCCTTACCCTGACAGTGATGAGTTGCTGTAATGACTGAACCATCTCTTTTAAGCGGTCATGCCCATATGTCGACCACACTCTTGCTAGTCTCGCTTGTTCGTTTATAGGCAGGATGCTGATAACTTTGCATATGCCAGGGAAGGCACTCTCTAGATACTCAAGGTAATGGAGCATAGGGATCTCCATGACAACAGTTAAAATGTGCAGGTAGCTTGGATCACTTTTATACTTCATCTCCAGTTCCAGAGTTCGAGCCAGAGTTGTCAAAGCAGTTATCAGAGCATTCTGAAATGGCTGCTCTGGCATTTCTTTCAGGCGCTGGAAAGCCCTTCTGACAGCTGGAAGATCTACGGTATTGTCACTATCTTTTTGTACATCTAAGGCATTAGAACAACCTTGAGAATCATGGTTTGAATACTTGGAAACTTTTACATCAGAGCTTGTGTCAAAACTCGCTTCACCAGACGGCTTTCGAAAACTCAGCATGACTGATGTCGGGTTATTGAAAACCGAACCGATAAAATGAATAAGCTTTTGACACGAATTACTCAAGTTACACTCATCAATTAAATCATTGATCTTATCTTCTGTTAAAAACTGAAGTTCTTTAGCTGCAAAGACAAAAATAAAAGTGTTGAATCATAAAGTATTTTTTAATCCATTTTTTAAATATTTACTTTCTTTTTATCACCACAAAAAGCAGCATTATAAGCTAACAAACAAGCTCTCAAAGAGAAAAATAATATTCTAATCAATTCAATACAATTTAGCTATTAGGTGAAACAAAAGTAATTCTTTTTTTAATCGTAAAAAGCTTTTCTTCTCTTTATTCCTAACCAAAATAAGATTATTTGTCACATGCTCGCTTCACATAGCAAAATTTAACACTAGATTATGCCTTAATAACCAGGTATCCATTGTAGGAAAGAAAACATATGAAGTGTCTTACTAGGCAGTAGCAGGATTGTGTCTGTTACTGCCTATGAAGAGCAGAACAGGATTGAATGAATTAGAAAAACAAAATAGCTAAACATCAACAAAAATTAACCAGGATAACACAACTTACTTAAAGAGGAGTTGCTGTTACTGGATGATGGAAGAAATGACTCATCTACAGAGGATGCTGTTGGGGAAGGCATTTTGCTCTTGGCTCCTAATCCCACAGGCTCACCACGGGTCATAGTTAAAGTCGTAGCACTTGATGAATTATCACTTTCTGATGGGAGCCGGGGAATTTTTCCTGGACGTCTTTCGCACAGTGTTGCTTTAGCTTTAGATAACTCTATTGCCTCCACAGCTAAGTTATTTTTATCAATCTCCTTGAAGCGAAAGGTGCTACTTGAAGCACAGTTTTCATTGGAACAGGCAGCATTTCCACAGCCCTCAGTTAGCTGATGATAGTACTGGGTTATAAGTTCTCTGGCTGCAAGGCGCTTTCTGACAAAACAATAAGATTCTTTACTTTTTAAACCAGTTAAAATAAATGCAGATAACTTAAAACACATGTACTAGCTTTGAGCTATCTTTTATAAAATTTCTTTCAAGAGACTTACGACATAATTTCTGATCTCTGTGCAGGATCCTTATGCTCAGTGCCACTTAAACTGTCTGATCTTGTCAGGTCACTGAAAATGTGTATTACCAAAATTAATAGCATGTAAATGAACATAAAATGCCAATTAGATTGGTTTTTTTTCAGATTATATTTTAGTAGAATACATGCAAAAGTTTTTTTTTTTAAAACAGAAAACCCAATTACTTTAGGATATAAATTTGCGGCTATCTATATCATAGATGCTGCTGGCACATACTGATAAATTGAAAGCTTTAATATTAAAACAAATCCTTCGAAAACACCCAGCCATGAAACCCTGAGATACATATCAAATATTGGATCTGTGGAACTGTGGGCTTAATTTAAAAAGAAAAAAGATGCACAACCCAACATAGCAAGACAATGCAAATCAATTAAGGAATGATTTTAGATACTGAGGTTTGAAAAAAGACTCTCCAAAAAATTGGTGTGTTGAGTTGTTAGTAGTATTGTAATCTCGACTAGTTTTAAGGTTAGAAATTAGGGTTAGCCATATGGTAGGACTGGGGTTGATTAGGTTTGGATGCTTATTAATATCGTTACCAGACCATGATGAGATATGCCCACATAATAGTAGACTTGGGATATCATGTTAAGTCGCCAATTTAAGCAATTCTCTGCAGACTAGCATATTCCAAGTCCACTGTTCCAATATGACATAGGCCTACTTTTTTAAAATATTAAATTAATTAGGGCCTAGGCCTAACCTAACCTCTAAACTGAAGTGGAGTAAAATTAAATTCTAATTATGGGCCGACTAATTTATTATTAAACAATAGGCCTAAGCCTAAATAGTAAATATTTATGAAATGACTACTCGGAAGAAGACTTTTCTCCCCAACGTCTCCACTTAGTCGGCAAAAGATAGCTCTGAGCATGCGCAGTAACCTATAGCTAGGTTTAGGGCTAGGATTAGGGCTAGAATTAGGGCTAGGGTTAGAAATAGGGTTAGGGATAGGATTAGGGATAGGATTAGGGATAGGATTAGGGATAGGGTTAGGGATAGGATTAGGGTTGGTGTTAGGGTTCTGCGGTTGTAAACACACATCTTTTTCCGGCTAGCGTCCGCCAAATATTTAATATTTACAGTCGATAGTCATATTTTAAAAACAAATTTTAAAGTTCCCTTTTTAAACCTGAAGGTCTAGGCCTATAGGATAGGCCGATAGGGCAAGTGAAGTAGAGTTCACTTGTTTCTGTGACCTCGGCATATGAAGAGATAGTGTGGTCAGCACAATGCCCAGCCGCCTTTACTTTCCCTAACATGAGTTACGTACCCATCAGAGTTGGGTGGACTCAGGGACGGTCTACTGACTTGAACCCGGATTCGAGCTCGAGACTTACGGGTTAGCAGTCCAGCTCTAGAACTCTAGACCACTCTGTACCCTATTAAAAATAAAATTATTAGGACTGAAACCCCAACTTTTAATTTAAAAATTCACTTTTAGGGTTTTATTTGAATTTTTTTTTATGTTATAGGCCTGTTTAGTAGATCTATAGTGAATATCTGCAATTTATTTACAGATGATTAGGTGCTTAGTTCGTAGATCTAGATCTAGTTCAGAATTTTTGTTTTGTAGTGGTAGGCCTTTTTTTTTTTTTTTTTTTTTTTAATGTAACCGTTCAGTAGTTACTACCTTGCGGACTCTTGTCCGTCTAGTGAGCTGGTGTTTTTAATTGAACTCATACGAAAACAACCGACTATTGTCAAAGAGAGAGTTCGGGGTAGTAAAAACTTGTTACTGAATACAATAATTCATTATAAACAATATTTAACAACCAATGTCGTCAACTCTAGTCTAGATCGCCATTTTCTTGTTGTATCTCGCTAATTCTCGTACCTGGCCAGATAAGTTTGTAGCACTCGAAACCAAGGAAACAAAGAAACTAAGGCTGAGGAAGTCCTTATTACACGGGCTATTCTGGTGACTTAAAGCTCTCTTCTCTCTACAGTTTTTCTTAAAATACGATATTTTTCCAAAATCTTGTCTGAACTCTGCCAACATAGAGTATTTTAATCAATTCATATTACAATTTATTAAAACAGTTCTCTAAAACGCGAATTAACGGCAAAAGTGTGACGTCACACCATCTGAATTCCCCCCTCCCCCTCATCAGACACAGTCACAAAATTACGGACCCACTCCCCTCCCCCCTAGGAGTGTGTCATTTATGAACGACCCCAAGTACAACTTTAAACTACATCTTCCCGCATCTCTACAAAAAATTATAATAATTGTATTAACTACAATTATGGTAATTACACACTGGGAAAATATGTAGGCTGATTAACTACATCATGGAAACTTAGTTAAGGATAGAAAAATCGGGTCCGGAAGGGGCGTAAAATTGCTATCAAAACGTAAATCATCATACTCAAAAAAAAAAAAATACTTTTTTTTGTTTCAAAAAGAAACTTAAAACACATGATCCTTTCTAAAAGAAATAATTGAAATTGATTGCATGAGTGTACGGTTTATAAAACAAAAATACATTTCGGACGTATTAAGCTTATGTCAGTGCAAACATCAGTGCAAAGCTTGAAAGGCTATATAGGACAAGTTCTAAGTAAATATTAATAAAATGTATATCGGTTTATAACGGGCGGAACTACAGTGCCGCCAGACCCAGCAATGCGAGTGGGGGGGGGGGGGGCGGGGGGCACGCCATTTAGGGGCCCAGAGACGACCATAATGAAAAAAATTATAGCACAGCTCGAGGAAGCACAAAAGAAAAATTTATTTTCTACTTTTTAGTCCACAAGAAAAACGTGTTTTTTTTTTTTAAGTTTTTTTTAAGTATTTTATTTAAATTTCCAGTAGCAAAGTCATATTAGTTTATTGCACTGATATGTGCATAGTGTGCTTTTATACCATATTGGCTGCTATAAACTTGCGTCACTGTTGACATCTATAGCTTATATTATAATAACATATGGAAAGGCCGCTGTCCCTACGACAAATTTAAGGATAATGGAGCGTTTTTTTGGAGAATAATGAAATAAAATTAAAAACAAGTTTGGCAACAGACACGCAAAAAAAGGCAAACACATTACTGAAACTACGAATTAAAATGTTATGTACCCTAAATATCACATTTTTAAATAACTCGCTATTAGATCTATATCCTACTTCTTGGCTTACTTATCGGCGCCTAGCTCAGCGGCTGGCATGTGCGAGGCGCTTTTTGTCTCAAGGTCTGTCCACTGTAGCGCCTGTACATTTGCTGTTTGTGTTATTCCTGTTGGATGTAGACCGCCAACCACCCAAAGAATATAAAGATCGATCTTTAATCGCTATTCTTTGCTTGAGTTGTCAGGCTCAATTCAGCTTTCCCTCTTTTATAAGAAAGGCCTATTTTTAAAAAATTTAAATTTGGGTTTTAATATCAGTCTATTAACGTAGGGTAATTGTAAGTGTGCCCCGTAGAATACGATTGAGCTTATCAATCTAATATATAAAGCTCAGTTCTGTATGTAATGCATTTGTATGTCGTTGGAATTGTACGAATTTAAGTGTTAGAAAATTAGCGTGCGCATTTGTCTAAATTTATGAGCTAAAAAATTACCATTGAAAGTGTTGGGAAATAATTTTCATTTTTCAAATTATAGTAATAATTGTCGGCATGTTCATTCAACACAAGTTTTAAAAAAAATATCATCTTTTACAAAAATTCTAATTATGTCTTTATTTAGTCCTATAGCAATTACTTCCCTTTGATAAATTAGGAAAAACACAATTACTTCCCTTTATAAAACCATTGCATTCCGTGAAAATAATTTACTTTTTAATTACTTTGTTTTGGTGTTGGGAAAAAAAATAATTACATAATTAGCGGGGATTGATCAAGTGCAAATGTTGTAGGTATTTTACGGATAAGCTTGGAGTATTAAAATTGTTTATTAAATTGAAACAGGCGCGTTCGTTTAAGTGAGTGCAAAAGACTGTGAATAAGTTGGGGTACTATAGTCGTTCATTAAGCTAAAACAGGTGATTCCGCCCCGGGCGTTTATGTTCGCGTTAGTGTTTTCTTTGTGTTTAGGTGGGTTTGCGTTAGTGGTTGCGTTTTAATTTGGTTCGTTTTTGTTCTTTCTTTTTTCGTTTTTGTTTGTGTTTTTTTTGTTTGGGTTTGTATTTGTGTTTTTGGTTGGTTTTGCGTTTGGATTTGGTTTGTTTTCGTTTGCTTTTTTCGTTGATTTTTTTTTTTTGTTGGTATTGGTGTTTGTGGTTGGGTTTGTTGTTAGGTTTTTGTTTTCGTTTGCTTTTTTGTTTGTTTTTTCTTTGTGTTTGTATTGGTGTTTGTGGGTGTGGTTGTGTTTGTTGTTAAGTTTTTGTTTTCGTTTGTATTTGTAATTGTGTTAGCGTTATGTTTGCGTTTTGTTGTTTTGGTTTTGGTTGGTTGTGGTTTGGGTGGGCAATGCCGGGTTTATGATGATTACTAAACACACAGGTAATGGTCTTTAACAGAAAGGTTTTTCACAGAAGCCAGAGCAGGGCCTGGCCGGGACGGCTAGTAATATGTAAATACTACAGGGTTCGTGCGGCCTCCTGAAATTCCAGGAGGTCCTGGAAAACTCCTGGAATCTTAAAAAACGTAAAAATCTCCTGGAATTCTCCTGGAATTTGAAAAAATATAAAAACCTCCTGGAATTCTCCTGAAATTTGAAAAATTCTCCTAAAAATTACATGAAATTTTATTAACCCGCGGCGCAAAACCCGACCGAAATTATTCGATTTTGTTCCGCCAATAATTGAATAGTAGTTTTTAAATGGGACGAAAATAAAAACAAACGCATCACCGTCGTCCGACTAAATCGCACTGCCGTGATCTACACATCGTGTGGCACAGCCTAGTGTGTGGTCACGTGACGCTAAGCGATTGACCCGATTGGATGATACTATAAACAATTTCTAAAGATAGATAGGCCTACATGTGTTCCCGTGTTTGACTTGTCGGCTATTGTATTTTTAAAGTAGACAGGCATGTTTCATAACTTTTCTTAAACTATTGAAACAGCAAAAACAAGTTATAGTAGTATTTACGGCTCAGGACTAATCGTCAAAAATTAATCTTCTTTAGAAAACCCGGATAGCTGCGACCCGATCAAACAATGCTGATTCGCGTAACGTTTCATTATTTTATTTTATACATTAATTTTTCGTAAAAATGGATATAGAAAATAAATTATATTTTTCCAGTGGCTCTTTTTTTCGGTTGACTAAAACTTGTTAATACGCTTAATACTAGCTTGCCAAATCGACCAAAATGGGGTGGGTGGGGGAAGACACTGACCATCCTACACGGTATGTAACGCCCAACGTAACATCCATAGCTTCAACCCGCCCCCACTACGCCGTGACGCGACAAGCCTACGATCGTCGCCTTTGATGTTGTGTAACACTCGTACGGTGGTTTCATACCCCACCTCCCTTCCCACTTCACTTTGTGGAGTTGATTTTACTAATCCTTGGGCATAGATCAAGAAATCTTGCCAGACTTTTGTCTCTGAAATTACATAATATTCGTCTGACACATTCATCGGGTCGGCCGACTAGCCTAGCATCATTGGATTTGGCATCCAAAAATCAATAAAATATCACGAAATGATATTAATTGGTAAAGCCTGCTTTCATTTATACCTCTTTTATAGTGAAAAACTCTTTAAAATTTGGTCCATACTCTCCCTGTATTTTTCCTCTTTTAGGGTCTATCCCGGTTGTCTGAAAAATCTGCTATTTTTTTTTAATGACAATAAAAATCATAACTTTTTTGTTTATGGTCAGATTTTGAAAATTCAAACTGGTCTGTAGTCAGATTGATAGCCTCTATCCTAATATGTAACTAATATATTGTTTTACTTTTACTGAAATTAAATTCTTGCATTGGCTTAGCTAATTAAATGTATTATTAAGTACGCTTTTTTTTAAAGTGTACAAATTGGGTTTCTTTTTTGTTTTTAAAATCTCCTTGAATTTTTTTTAAACTCCTGGAAAAGTCCTGGAAAAGTCCTGGAATTTTATTTGAACTTTTGAGTATGAACCCTGATACTAGCAGAAAGGGAAACTGCAGGTTCCTTGCCTGTCAGCTGATCTAGAACATTTTTTAAGGCATCTTGTACAGATGCACACATTTTTAGATGGATTGTGTTAAAAACTCTATGCAACTATATGTGGTGCATGGGGGGGGGGGTCTGAATAAATATTCAGTAAAAATAAACACATTCTCACACAACCTCAAGAACGTCAATATGAATCAAGATGATCATCACGTACAGAAGTACTTAATGAACATATACTTAAATACCTCAGGCAAATTTAGCGCCCCCCCCCCCCCGAAGAAAGTCTACCGCACCCCGAACGAAATGGAATTTATATAGAAAAATATACTTTTACCAGTATTCCCCCCCCCCCCCCCCCCCCCACGGAGAAAAAAAGTCTGGAAGGAACACTGGATAAGAGTATAACTGCCTCAAATGTATGGATAAGCAAAATAAAATTCAAATAAAGAATAACTATATTTGTTGAATCAGGTGCGTCCACCGGCGCCCCGGCATCGTTGGATTAGGCGCCCAGGGCTATCATGTGAGCGCTATGGTGTATTATATCATTTTATACAGTGCGATAGCCTATGGATAAGAAAGGTTACTATAGTCTTTAACAGAATCGAATCCGAGCGTCCTCTGGCGCCCCGATGGGTGTTATTTGCGCCCCGGGCCTTCCTGTGGTAGCTATGGCGCTTACGTTCGTTTAAATGATTGCCAAAGACTATGAATAAGTTGGGGTACTATAGTCGTTTACTATGTTGAATCAGGCGGTTCCGCCGGCGCCCCAGCATTGTGCGATTTGGCGCCCCGGGCTAGACTGTGAGCACTGCGTTTATGTTTGCATTTAAGTTTGTGTTTATGTTTGATTCATTTGCATTATTTTGAGCTATTGTGTGTGTTTCGGTTTGCGTTTGTATTTGGGTTTGCGTTTAGATTTGCGTTTGGATTTGGGTTTTTCTCGTTTGCTTTTTTTTGTTTAAGTTTGTATTTTCTTTGTGTTTGTATTTGCGTTTGTGGTTGGGGTTGTGTTTGGATTTTGGTTTGTTTTCTTTGTGTTTGTGTTTGTGTTTGCATTTGTGTTGTTCTTTGTGTTTGTATTGTGTTTGCGTTTGTGTTATGTTTGCGTTTTTTGTGTTTCTTTTTGGTTGTTTTTGGGTGTTTTTTAAAGTAATATATATATATATATATATATATATATATATATATATATATATATATATATATATATATATATATATATATATATATATATCCTAAACCCGGACACTGCCGGGTATATTCTGATTACTAAACACACACGTCATGACCCTTTACAGATAGGTTTTTCACAGAGGCCAGAGCAGGACCTGTCCTGGCCGGCTAGAATATATATATATATATATATATATATATATATATATATATATATATATATATATATATATATATATATATATATATATATATATATATATATATATATATATATATATATATATATATATATATATATATATATATATATATACATATATATAATATGGCGCCTTTTTCTCGACTCGCCGCTCTCCCTAACCCGAAAACCTTTATACGTGGGAGGAGGGTCATGGGAGCGGTAGATGTCATCGGGGGGGGGGGGGACGTCGCCACTATTGATATCGATGCCGACAGAGTTTTTTTTTTCGAGCATTCTACCTTCACCCCCCCCCCCCCCCCCCCCCGAAACGAAAAGAATCTAGCCTATAGGTTAAGTTTATACCCTGCGGGGGGGGGGGGGGTAAACGGCGAGCGGCAGATTAGCCTACCCAGTCAAAGTTAGAAAAACAGACGGCTACTTTGGTTTACTGACTTAATTAACTATTTTCTAGATATCTACATAATTTTTTTTAAATCTCAAGGGCGCTGACTGGTAACTAAAAGAAAGCGGGAAGGGGAAGCTAAAATAATTGATAGTTCGCCGGTGTGCCGGAATTTGGTCGCTACGTTTTGCTGCAACCAAATTCGATGATTTGTTAGTTTTTGTTAATGAATTAGGGCCTAATAATTTTAATAATAATAATATGATTTTCATTATGAATAGCAATATATTAGCAACCTTAGAGTTAAAGACACTTGACTTAGCAGTAAAAAGTTATCTATAGATTACAACAAGAAACCTACATTTACGGATCTTGCGCTATTTACGCATAAAAACACCACTATGTTTGTCAATAACAGACATGTACTGTAGACTGTATGCCTACATTACAGTGTACTTTTATTACAGAAAGAACGAACATCAGCGTAGTTCCTTCAGTCACTAAAATAAAGGTCAACCATAGAATAGATAGATCTAGAAAGTTAGTAAAGTAAACAACATAACGTGCGAAGAAATTTTAAACCAATGCTCTCCACTTACTACTAATACTATCCCCAACCTTATTTTAAATTATTTTTTATTACGCGTTACCTTGCCTTACTGTTACTCTAACTCAGCCTTACTGTGAGTGTGACTTACTGTACTTACACTCTTACACCAACGGCAGAAATATTTCACGTAAACTGTGCTCCTACAAAAACAAGGACAGAATTCTAAAAGCCTTAAAAAACACCAAGAACTGAAAAGCATCAGGTACACATGATATCCCACCTGTAGCATTAAACTTAAAGGGAGTCGTCTCACAAACTGTCAACTATGACTGCAAATAAGGAGAAGTGGCGCTGGGTGGGACACACACTGTTCTGTGAAAGGTTTACCCAGATGACACACCAGGCGTTTGAGTGGAACCCCCAGGAAAAGTGGAAGAGAGGGCACCCAAGACAGGCGGAGTCTTCTCGAAGAACTGAAGCCAACAGGAATGTCTTATATTGCAAAATTAATAGCTGGGGCTCGGGAGAAATCAAAGGAAATGGTGGAGGCCCTATGTTCCATAAGGAGCAAAGAACTAAATCAAGTAAGTCAAGTCACCAACATCAGCAGAAATGCTACATCTACTACAAAAGATCATGTTACAAGGTTTTAACTAGGGTAATACTGGAAAGATTGAAAGTGATCTGGACAAAAGACTGAGACAGGTTTCAGACAAGATAAATCGTGTACCGAATACTTTGCCATATTGCACATCATCATAGAGCATTCCCTTCCTATACATGATTTTTGTGGAATTTAAAAATGGATTTGACTGTGTCAACAGAGACATGATATGAAGGCTGTGGGATTCCTCCACTTATCAACATTATTAAACAACTGAGGACTTGAACTGCTAGATGATGCATAACAAAATTTACAAACCATTTCCACTGGTGTGAGACAGGGTTTAGTACTGTCCATAATCTCATAATGATTTTCTTGAGAGTAATAGATTGGGTTGTGAAAAGATAGGCCTTAGTAAATTCAGTTTATTACTTAACTACTTATTCAATTTTCTTCCAACCAAATGCAGATATTTTTCTTAGTTAAAAACAAAGAATGTTATATCTATAATATAAGCTGGGATGGCGAGTGCCCTTGGCACGACCTTATGTCCTTCTTTCTTTCCGTCATTGGTGTAGCCACTTATTTTTATTTTCTTAACTGGAAAGGTTTTTATACTTACATTTAAATTTAGATTAAGTTATTCAAACTTATATATTAGGATTTTATTAAAGAATAAGAACCAAATGATTTAGTTATTTTAGCAGGTTTAAAAATGAGTTAAACATATTTCTATCTCCAGATAGCAAAATAACTTTGTATAAACTTCATGTAAAAGATGGTTAAAGGAGCTTATACAACACTGCAGCTTTTGCGATACCCTCTAGTGTTTGGAGGTTGCTTGTTGGCATACTTTACAGCTTTTTCGTACAGGTAAGCTTTTGCTGAAGTCTCAGGTGATAAAACTGAACATTATTTTGAAAACACTAAATTATGTTGACTGAGTTTTAAAATCCTATATGTATATTAGCACATTTTGATCCTAAATGACACTTAAAAAATATCTGTTCTCAATCCAGCCTCCCCTAGTCCTCAGCTGCTTTATTAATTTTCTTCACTTTTTCTCAGAAAAACATATTTCGGGCAAGATATTGAAGAAGCTAGAAGGAAAAATGAGGAAATTAACAAGAAGAATTCAGCTTTTTTGGCAGAAATGGCACGGCGAAGTAAAATGAGAAAAGAAGCAGAGCAGCACTCAAAAGCGTAAACTCCTTCAGTTTTATTTTCAAATGGGGTCAACCATTAGTTTTCTAACGTCATTTTAAAAGTTGATTTAAGCTACAAAAATTAACTGCTAATATGTTTACAAACTTCAGCCATTGACTGAAGTGAAGCTTAAAAATTAAATTTTAATTGGTTTGTCTCAAAATAAATGATTGAAAATACTGTACTGTGCCATACTGATCTACTGTAAACCCAACGGCCTTGGGAATATTGTTTTTTTTTTTGTAGACAGACTTTGTAAATATGTGTATATTATTAATTTGAAATGTTCATATCAATAAAAATAAATTAAAAAATGCTATTGTGAAATTTCTTCAGTTATTGATTTTTGTTTTCAATATTAATATTACATCAAAATAATAAATAATGGAGTGTTGGACCAGTAGATTGATCTTTCTTTAGGCATGTGATCCAAGTTAACAGTTGTGCATATTGGATATATTATTACATATAATTACATAGCTGCGAATTAATGAATGTTAATTGATGAACTGTGAAATTGATTTCTATATCCCCCACACCCCAAAAAAATATCTTGCATACCCTTTTAGATACTATATTATGTGCTGATGCATCATTCAAAGCACATTTAATTTATCCTAAACCATGACCCATCAGGTAGAATGTAAGCAGTACCACATAAAGTATTGGTCTCTAAATCACATTAATTTCCTACGGAAAATAAATTTCATAAAGGATTGTTTCAAGGTTTTTCACTGGTTATACACCTTTTTTCATAAGCATATTTTTTGCTGTAGAAGCCTTCTACAGTTGTTTAACCAAAACATTTCTGCTATCACTACCTAACCAAAGAGCTAATTGACTTAAATCTTATTATTTTTAAAACCAGAATATACACACATCTTAATATTAATTTTGGCAGAATAGAAATAATTATCAGAGGAGCCAAAAATCTCTAAAAATAAAATAATTTTCAAGGCTATTGTAAAATTTCCAATTAGCAAACCACAGTATTTATGTTTATGAAGGGCAAAATAACCAGTTATTATTATTGTTACATTAGGTTAAAGTAATGCCTAAGGATCATGCCTCTACAAAGAATCCTTATTAGTTGGCCTATATACATTGATTCTGCTCCATGATAAAATATATTTTAATTAAGCAGTTACCCAGTCAATGGAATTTAAGACAAACTTGATGTTTAAAACAGTATCCAAGTAAAACAATAAAGAACATGGTAATTTGGATTATAATCATTACTAATGACCCTGATTTATAATTATGTAAATTAGAAGCAATGTTTCTTTCAGATACATCTTCTGGAAATAAAAAAGTTTACTTTTAGCCACCCCCCCCCCCCCAAAGAAGGAAAGACACCCTGATTATATCTTTTTTTTTAATTCCCTGGCCCTGATTTATATAAAGTGAAATATCTGAAACAAGTTCACACACACAAGTCAAGTGCAATTCATTAAATTCAATCTTACAGTCTTTATTACAATTTATACAATTATGCTTTAACACAAGGGGGGGAAAAACAAAGCTAAGAGCATTTATATTTATTTTTCAAAACAGTGATAAAAGAAAAATGAAATCTCTCAAATCTGCAATACCAGTGTTTGATATTTAACCTGACTTTAATGCTTTTGAGAATAATGCTCTTAAACACAAATATATGTTTACCGTTAATTGTTTATTCATTCCGCTGAGGCAATTAAATTTTTTAATAAGCAATCAAAATTATATACACATTTCTATCTCATAATTCTACAGAAGCTTAACACTTATGTACTACAAGCCATATAATGAAATATACATGATTTTCTTTAAAAATGGAAAGCAAATTTTGAAAATGAATAATGTAAACACATGAAAAAAACAACAGAGACTGCATTGAATGGTGAAATTTCGGACTACTTTATTTATACTTTTGAAAATAACCGGTAATCTTTGCTGTTGGGTTTTAGTTAATAACTCCATTTATAGTCCAAAAAGAAAAAAAAACTGCAATCACATTAAACATGGAATTTGTATGGATTTTAAGTCACACATGTAATTGCAATGAAAGTGGAAAAGAAAACCAATCTGATTTTTATCCTAAGTGGTGAATAAAATGCCACATGGATTTGATAGATCTTAACTGTGTGATAAATTTAGAGAAGCGCTGAGTATTTTAACTTATACATTGCAGAGATAGAAAATTGAAAAAGTAAATGATACGACCAAAATATAGAAATTACCTAATTTGTGCTAATTTTCACTTAGCGATTCAATTTGGCACTAGTATGTGATTTCTGGTTTTAATAAGGAAAAAACTAGCTAAAAGGACAATTTTAACATTTTAAATACTTCAGTTATGAAATGCAATTTTTTAAACCATTATATTAAATAGAAAAGCTTTTTTTTTTTCTCACTCATTTCGTAAGTAGTAACATCTTTCTCAGAAAGTATTATTGACAAGAAATATCTTGTCATAATACAACTAATTCATAGCAGCAAAAGACCTCAAAAATTAAAACAAATATATCACAAATAAAACATACAATTTGGAAACCAAGACAGGTTTAATTAATCCACATTCTATTTGCTCACTCATTACATTTATGCAACTCATTATCTCTCTTTTTAAAAAAAAATTTTAATTGAGAGATTAGTGAACATCCCCAATAAATATCCAACTTTCTTCCACAATAACCTTGACCTTTTTCTCATACTCCCTACGATTCTCCTGGTAAAGTTTAGCTGCTAGATTATTTGCAGGACTGTTTGGGTTCGGTTCATCCAGCAGTGACTGAAAATAGGCAAGTGGAATTGGGAATATCACAGAAACATAATTTAGTAATACTACTTTTCTCTCTGGAGCCTTTTGATATTATCAAACTGAACTAACCTTGATTTTTTTTTACAGTGATAAATTTTTTTAAAACTGAGATTCTTATTTTACAGTTTAAATCAGAGAAAAAAAGGAAATTTAAGGAAAAGGTCAACTTGGCATCACAAACAAACAAAGCTTTACATCACAAGCTTAGTCCCCATGTTTATGAACATTACTTAGAGGGACACCGTAATTGTTGTATAAACAATAATTATGCCAAATGGCTCACTGACAGTTTTATATTTGCTAAAAAAAAAAAAGAATTTATGTGTATCTTTTGGTATAAAAAATACAAATAGTAGACACTACAATTTATATTTCACATAGTTTTTGCTTTTTATTTTAAATTTTTTTCTTGCAAATGCGATTTCCACTCGATCACTGATTTAAGATGGACAGTTTTCTCTGTATCCATCTGCTAGTGTTCATCCACTTTTACATTAATGGATGTTTTCAGCGCTTAACATAAGTTTTAGACCAGCCTGGATTTCAAGTAATAATATTTCAGAATAGAAAAACCAAGTTATGTAACAATCACACCAAAAAAAAAAACATCAATGAGACTAAACTTTCATTAAAGTTAAAGTGCAACAAAACAATCATGATAACACCATATTGTAAATGATAGAATATCAATTCAACAGGTTAAGGAGTGGCTGAAGATTATTTTGTCATTTAAATACAATTGAAACAATTACACACTGACTCCTACAAATAATGAAGATCAAGATTAGAATGTGGTCAAACTTGCTATCCAGTGAGATTTTTCCAAAAAATATTTCCTAAAATGTCTAAGTGTATGTAGTTTGTAATTAACAACCAGGGAGGCAAATAAAAGTTGACATCTTGATTCTTTTTAGAATAAGAGGTAGCAGTCCCTTCAGATTTATTACAATGCTAAGACCCTGCTTTACTCTCTTCCCCATCATCCTCTTCCTCTCCCTCTTCTTCATCATCATTCCAGCTTTCCTGAACAATGGCAGCCACTTTTTTCTCATATTCTCTGCGGTTTTCTCTGTACAGCTGAGCAGCCTCATTGTTGGCAGGGCTATTGGGGTTTGGGTCGTGGAGCAGAGACTAAGGATGACAAAAAGGGAATAGTGTCAGAGGTGATGAGGAAAGAGGAGTCACAGTTGTTTTCTATAAATAAAATTTTTGGGACAAATTTCATTAGCTGTTGCCTAGATTTTACTTAACATCACTTTGCAAAGGTAAAAATATGTTCTGTCTTTACATTTAGATATACTAACAGCTAAATCATTTATTCATGTATTGAAAACATTATGAGAATGCAATGTAAGGCTTGTATTTGTTAAAACATAATAGTTAAAAATTACAAAATACTTATAAATTTCACTTTTTGGAAGGAAAACTGAACTCAGGAAAAGTAAACACCAACAAAGCTACTACTAAATATAGTGAATAAATTTAATCCAGTTTTTTATGCAAAGTTTTTTATTTTTATTTTTAAAAATGCTTATTAGATTTGCATTTATTTCAGTAAAATGGGGATGGTGGGGGAGAAGTATAGACAGAAAGAAACAAGATTAGACGTTTAACTTGGAATAAAAGTAGTCAAAAGCCTCTTCATTTTAATGTCATTATTATATGTTGCTATCCCACAACACCAACAATCTAAACAAAATCTGTATTCAAAAATTGCTTCTACTTACATACAATTTTAATCAATCAAGGCACTTGCGATCAAATAAATAAGTGAATCTTCATGATTAAAGATATAGTACTGGTTGCAATTACGTGTATTTTACATTACAAGTTTTTTATTCCTTGTTAAATATAATATTACCAAATAATAATAAATATTTATTTGTATAGAAGGTGCCTAAAAGTCTTACAGTGGATATATTCAAATAAACCAAAATGTAATAATCTTTTAATATTCAATGGTTTTTAACATATCTGTCTAGGGAATTTTTTTTTACTACATCTTTTAAGATATTAAGAATCAGTTGCAATGCTGACAATGACACTGTAGTTAACATCAAGTTTAATATGTTTGAAAACTACGGTAATCACATAATAACTTGCTGTATGATAAAAGTTAACAGCCACTGACAGAATTACACTAGTTACTTTTTATTATTCGAGTGTGAATGGTGATTTGTTAGTTTTTATGCCATGATCTGAAGTTAATGATAAAAATAAATATTTTGAAAGAAGTAACATACATTGAAGGTACTTGTTTTTTTTTTACTGATTTTTTAAAGGTCTAAAATTATTTTCTCAGATATATGTTTCATTACCCATTTAGTATACCCCCTTCCGACAAGGTGGTAAAATTTGTATGCATGAGCGTCTGATTTCGTACACATGACATTTGCCTGAGTTTTGTAATAAGTAAAATCATAAATCTTAATGTTGTTCAACACTATTTACATTACTGCACATCTCTTCAACAACTTAAGCACTAAGTTTTGTTTTTTATTGCTTTACATTTTCAACATTCAAAATCTAAGTTCAAGCTACTGTGGGATTCTGGTGACAATATTTGAAAATTTCAAACAAATATTTGATTTATTTTCTTCTAATATTAAGTAAACAGCAATCCAGAATTGCATGTTATAAGTAAGGTTTTACCAAAATTTTACTTCATTTTGGACACATTGAACATTTTTGTACATGTCATAATTTGCACTACACTTGACCGATGGTGAGGACATTTGGTATACCATGTCAGGACAACCACAACATAATTTGCCATATATGGAATAATTTTTTGGATAAAAATCCTGAGGTCATGTCGGAAGGGGATACACTACTTAATTATAAAGGGGTTACATTTTAGGCCAAAATATGTGAATGGTTATATCTTAAGACGTTTTATTGGAATTTAACATAAAAAAAAAAATCAAACTGAAACTGTCAAATTAAAAACTACACAAATGAAGTGTTAATTCGTCCAAGTTGACCTTTAAGTAATATATTTTAACTTAAAAAAATAAAAAAACTACTTACTTGAATTGAAGTTAAAATCGCTGACACATCATATGTGGGGCTCCATCTGTTTTGTAATATATCTAAACATATACTCCCATCTGCATAAACTGTAAAAAAAAATTAAATCATATTTTCATCAGGCCAACAATAAGAATCCTACAATGCGCTAATGAACTGGCTATTAACTATTTTCATTATTTTAGAAAAGTTTGAATTTTAAAATAATTACAAAGTCTAAAATAATAAATCCTATACACAATAAAGCCTATTTTGGTATGTTAATTCATAAATATCTAACTAGCGTAGAGATTGCATGATCTCAGATTAAAAGAAATTCAAATTTCAAGGACAATCCTTATGATAATTGTTGTTAATGAAACATTTTTCAACACAACCTAAATTCTGTACACAACTTAAGATGTTGTTGTAAAAACAGATGCATATTGCATTGGGAAAAAACCTAAACCTTCAGTGTACATTAATAACTCTCAGCAAGGGTGAGGTGGAACACGACTGCAAAGGAGTAAAAATGTATCTTGGGGCTCTTGTTGGAGCCACCTGTTGAAAAAACGCAGTTGCCCCTGGACACCGCCCTGTTTTGATTTAGTGCAGGGCGCTCTATAAAACAAATAGAGATGCCAAATCGCCAATGGGAACCTGAGGTGTTCTTGGTTATCTGACCATGCTGAGGACAGTTTGCACCCCTGCCCCCAATACTTCCTTTAGGATGGGGGGGGGGGGGGAAGCGACGGACTGACTATTCTCCCCTGGTCTAAAATTTATATAGAAAATATATATACTTCAACCAGCATCCACCCACCCCTCAAATTTTATATGCATCCCACGCCCCCATGTTTTAAGAAGATAACTCTTGATAATTAAATTTTAACTATTGCAAATAAATCCTAGGAGCATTCTCAATAACTTCCCTAAGTTTTATAGCGATTGGATGAAAGGTGCAGTAGTGCATTAAAGATAGAAAACTGACATACATTTGTTTAAATATTATACAGATAATCATACCATTTGGATGAAACATCTTGGAGATAAATCTTACTGTTGGTGGCTTATTTGGATACTCTTCTGTAAATTCAATGGTTAATTTGAATGTGCCATCTTCGAATGGTGTGTCATGGGGACTGCAACAATGTTTATAAAGCATGAATGTATCTCTTATATTAGAAAAAATACCATTAAAATAACAATAAGTTAAGATTACCATGAACCATGGCTTTAAATCACGTTAGTAGCTTCTAAATATACAAAGAAGAGACAAGCTATCAACATATTGTGAACTGAGAGAAAACAAACACTGCTTTAGCAAATACAAAACCATGTTTTTCAAATAGTATGCTTATTAATTGAATTATCTGAGCCTAAATATAATAATTAGAAACAAGAAGTTTCATATTAAAACACTACAAGCTATTTTTAAAATGTTTGCATTTAATTTGTATCATAAATATAGGGTCTGAATGTATAACAGAGCACACATTTGCTAACACTAAAGTCTCAATTCAGATCCCTGGTTTAAATCATAAGCCAAACCAGATATGTGTGAGTGACAATTGCAGGAAAGAAGACATTTTATCTGGCCAATGATCAAAGAATCTTTACTACTTAACATGACTTAGTTTTAAAACAAAATCTCTTAACATTCACATCAATAATTTACCCAAATATAACTGCATTCCATAGCATAATATTATTGTCTGATGGAGCACCACTGACTCCAGCTGGCGGATCTTCCTGTAATCTGTATAAGATAAAAAAAAAAGAACTGTTACATTTTTTTAAACAGGACAATCAAAATCTTGTTAAAGTTAAAGATCAGTAAATCTAAGGGGTCGGCGTGGTTAAGCCTGTAAAGCTCATGGATACTAAACCGAAAAGTCTCGAGTTCAAACCCTCAGGCAGGTGAGGCTCGTTAGCCACACTTGTAGGAGAGACAACTCCAAAAATCAAACAACTGGTGCCTTCTAGATTATTTTTAGTTGGACAAAGGCTATGGAAGCAAATCCAAAAAGAAAAGCAGGCTCATAATTGGAGTCAATGGCCTCAATGGCGCATAACCAGTTGACACATATACTTAATTGTGTTGGAAGGGATCCCTTCCAACACTAAATTTAAGAACAAAGAAGACTAAGTTTATACAAATTACATAATCATTACCAACTGTACTAAGTAAATAAAAAAATAAGCCCAAATGCTTTATTTGTTAAAAATTCAGCTATAGATCTAGTCAGTTAGATGATGATCCATAACAATTCCTAGATTATCCAGTGGTAAGTACTCTTAACCAAAACAAAGTTGAATAGTTCTTGTTATCTTCATTCAATTTAACAGTACCATGATTATTATTCTTTTCATCAATATTACTCAAAGAGACTTTAAATTACTGCAAAGCTACCTACATTTTTTTTTTGTGGCAGCTTAGTTCAGATTAGGTAAACAACTTATTTTATTTTTCAATATATACTCTCTATGTAAGAGATTGGTTTCTATGCTTTATGATAAGTAATTGCTATCAACAAATAATTGTGCTTTGAAATGTAAAGGAGCTAAATACTATTATTTAACTAAGGAAAAAACTTATAGTAATTCTAAAAGTGCTGAACAAATTTGAATGAACAGGAGACTAATTTCCGCCTTGAGGCAGCTAATATCATTCGTATTTTTCATAGAATGAAAACAAAAGCTCAGAAATAACATACTCTTTACCCAAAGAAGAATATGAATATGTATTCACCTTTTCTCAATTTGCATTATGATTATAACTTTTAAATTTATGCTCCTGAAAAAGCCACCCTGGATGTCCTGGTCCAACACACATTTTTTCTTCAGTTTTGTCTTAGTGTCAGCGCACATTCCTCATTACGTACATATTATGGTTTGGTTTTTTGTTGGAGCTCAATTAAATAAATAATCTTATATTCTAATTCTTAACATTATGTTTAGAGTTATGAGCGTAATTTTTAAACAATGCCAAAAACTATAGACCTAATTTTTAGGAATTGAGAAAAAAAAAGGGGGGGGGGGGGCTTTCCCACAAAAAGTGCCTAAATAATTTCTCAAGTATAGTTTATTACTATTATTGGTTATTGTCACACACTGCAAAATAGGAAAATTTTCAGCCTTTTCACTGCTACTCCAAAATAATGTACTAAAAATGAGAGCCTCTGCTCATCCTGTTGACATAAAAATGGATGCCTTTATTATGTCATATCCCTATATATGGGCAATGTAATGTATCTCTTACGTGGAAGTACTTACTACATTAAATATGAATAGGCTTACTTATGGATAGGCATACTTACTACCATGATATTATAGTATAAAATGACAAAATAAACTGCACTATGACTATTCTGTGGATTTCTTATACCAGTGTCAGATAATGGCACAATAAGGGATATCTTCTTGAAAAAGGTGAGTAAGGTTACTGGTAGTTAACTAAATACACATAAGACTTGCTAATGTCAATGCTAACCTTATCCCAAACCCTAAACCCAACCCTATTCCTACCCTAATTTTTAGCCATAAACCTAGACATTAAGTAGACAAGATTACAATACTAATAAACTAACACACCTATTTTCGGAAGAGGATATTATAGGACATCTGTATTAGGCATTTTGGTAAATTTTGCCTAATTATCTCAGAATGATAAAACACACATAATATTGAAGGCCATAAACTGCCATTTAATAAACCACTAAATTTATCACTGTAGGCCCAGTAGTTTTTTTTTTATGAATTTTTAAAGTTGTATGTTAAACAGCTTATATTTTATTGTAAAGTTGCAAAATATTTGGTGTCCTTCTTTGAGTTCATATAGCGTTGTTATTTTTTAACATATAATGATAAAACTTTGCATATTGATACTAGAGAGTACAGGCAACAGGAATATGCAATTGAAATAAAGATCAGTAAAGGTAAAACCAAAAATAATTAAGACTAATTAAGGGTCATGGCGTTTTTATATAGAGAGCAACGTTAGTCTATTGTCAAACTGCACAACTCTGTTGTTAATAAAGATATATTGCTAAAACTTTGCATATTGGTGCTAGGGAGTACAGGCAACAGGAATATGCAAGTGAAATACAGCTTAATTAAAAGGAAAACAACTAATAATTAACTTAATAAAGCCCAATTAAGGAGTGCGGTGCCGTTCTACTATGATTGCCACAAGTCACTTTTCATACTGAATATCTATGTTGCTATTGATGATACAAAGATAAAACTTAGCACATAGATGCTTAAGGATGTTGGGAATAGAAATTTACAAGTCAAAAAAAATGCTAGGAGAAAAAGACAATCACATATAATAAAGTCTAATTAATGGGGGTGGCACTGAAATCTTGTATCAATAATACCTGTGTATTATACTCATACTGGAATATGATATGGTTAGGATTATGTTGAAGTATCTAAATATTAGTAGCATTAGTTATAGGCTACTTTTAATAAGTAGCCAAGGATGGTTAATCAATAGACAGCCTACAGAAACTAGATGAGATGTGTCGCAACCGAAGGATAGACAGCTGCCTTATTTGCTAATCTGAACCTACTGTTTAAAAAAAATTACTGTTGCTTAGTTTAAGTTATAAAATTAAGTCACATTGTTCAAAGTGTTACTGTTTCTGTTTTCTTTTTTACTTTAAAAAAAATGTATCTATTACTGTTGCTTTAGATCACATTATTAAAGTGAAGTGTTAATGTTTCTATTTTATCTTTGACTTCATTTATTTTAGTTTACTTTCCATGCCTCTATAGATCTAGTAGTATATTTTAGCTATTATTAAATTTTAAAGATAATATAGATCTACTATAAGCTGAGAAATGACCAATTTAATCTTTGTAATTATTTTCTTAATCAGTTTTTCCTGAAACGGGGTAACTAAAGTTTAGACATCATCCATAAGTAATTTTACAACATAATTATATATTTAAGCCTGATGCAATAAATATTAGTTCTATTAGATTCTTATAAGCAATTACTCATTAAAATACATAGATCTAAATCTATTCTATAGGGGCCTAATATTTATAAGGGCCTATTTATTACTATTTAAAATTTTAATTAGGCCCTAGGTCTATTATTATTACACACATTACCCAATTGAAAATGACTAATATGGAAGATTATTAATGAATGGGACTATTAATTCCATTGCTTTAAATTTTATTTAATCCATAAAAAACATTCTATAAGCTAAAATCTTGCCAATTCAATGAATAGTGTTAAACAGTAATATCAAATGTGCGATTTTTTATATTTCATGCATAATAAATATTAATATAATATGGCATGGTCTATGGACCGTCATTATTAAAATTGCGTAGATCCCCTTCACTTCACGCAAGAAGCCATATCTGGTTACAAAGAGCTAAAAAGCCCCATAAAACCAACATTTCCACCCATGAAAATAGTTTGGCATTACTTATTTACTAGATCTAGATCTAGTTTCCTGAACTTATCTCTTTTTTAAATGCCGAAATTTGGTTCTATCGATAATAGGTAACCTCGCGGCCCCTATTGCCCTGTTAAAAAATTGTGTCAGCGGGACCCCCCCAAGATTTACCAATGCTTTTTAAGCATGTTCCAATGTAAAGAACTCTATGAAACTGTTATTTTTGTTCTTGAGAATGGTTAGGATGCTCATTACAACCAATGTCTAGCTTATTATACTTTACTTTCTTGCTAAAATTAATACTAATTGAAAGAGGTCGGTTACTGCGTTTAATGAGACGTGCTCGCTAAGATACCTCGATAAAATTGGGATCGATATGTTAAAATGTAACTAATAGTTTTCCATACAAACATAGAATATAAAAACAGCCCACTTTGACGTATCGAATACACTAATTTATCGATTCTCTCATGATAACTAAGCACTTGGATGGAAAATGGCCGAAATTACAAAAGTTGGCTTGAAAAATTTCGGATGTGGCCAGATTAAACAAAATGGCGGACATCGAAATGCCTAATCTGTATCCTCAATCATTTGACTATTTATTAACTATTTAAGTTGAAAGAGGTTTACACAACGAGGCGTATGGTCGGTACAGGCAGTATTAGTAGTCAAATGAATTAATCTAATTATCTAGGCCTATATATTATAGGCCTATATGCACTCATCTCAATGTCATTGTCAATAAATAAATAGTGTTGGTGAGAGAAGAATGGTAAGTGAACTCAATCAAAATGAGTCTAGCAGTCTAGCTAGATACTAGCTCTAGTAGATAGTTACAGTAGCTACTACTGTAGTAACTAGTAATACTGAATAGGCCTAGATCTAGATTTTCTAGATCTAGATCTAGATTTCTAGATCTAGTAGCTAGTCAGTAGTCTAGTGACACTAGTCTAGGATTCTTATAATAAATAAATAAAAAAATATGATTCTAACAGATTCAATAGATTTTCTATTTTTAGATCTAAGACATTCTAAGACTAAGATTCTAGAAATCTAGTTTTTAAGTCAATAAGTCATTATGTAAAGTAAATAGGGCCTAGATCTTCTGAGTTAAACTTTAGGTTAGGTTAGGTCAGGCTAGGGCCAGGGCTTCAAGCTTCAGCTGTCGAGTGTTTTAGAAAAAAATTATCGGTGAAAACAATACAACAAAATTTCTAAGCAGTTGAAATGGCAATATCACTATAGAGCATACCTTTTAAAATCTCTCATTAAACGTCGCCTTGCTGGTGTGGTCATTGCGAATAAATGAAAAATAAGGCGACAAAAAATAGCCTTTTAGTTTTATCAGACAGTAAGAATAAAGATTCAGTCCTATCTCCCCTTCCACAGTAATTTTTAGTTTGCATCCGGGTAATCACTAGTGACATCACATATATCTTAAAATAGGAAAGGGTTTTCCGAAACGCACGGACAAGTTATTTGTGAAAATTCAAGCATTAAATATAATGCAAGGATAGACTCATTTTATTAAATGACATATTCTAGTTTAGATAAAAATAGGATTGAAATTAAAACATTTTCTTTTCATTGAGTAATAGAAAAAGTATTTATATCAGGCCTTGGTTAAAACATACAAAACGGGAATTTGTTTTTCATAACTTAAAAAATGTGCACTAAAATAAGATCACGTAGATCTAGCGTCACAAGATTGGGGCAAGTTGGTTTAAAATCTCAGTGGAATTATAATCTAGATTCTATAACATATTGAAAGTAAACAGCCTACAGAACGTAATGTATCGGAATATTAATAGTTTATTTAATTAAGGTGAGAAACAACGTTAAATAACCTACTTTTTAAAACCCGCTTTATATGACGTCACACACCTTGGTTAGTTGGGGGGGGGGGGGGGGTCGTCGGACGTGTGCAGGCACATTTGCATTTTGTAGATGTAATAGATCTAGTAGAAATTGAAGTTTAGCGTTATTTCGCGTTTTTAAAAGACAGTATTTGTAAACTGTATTAGAAATTAGCTTCTATAATAATGAGTGACGATGAGGAGGGGAGGTAAAGGTGAACGGAAAAAAGTCACAGGGGGAAAAAAACACAGAAAAAGTCAGTTTTTGCGAGGGAAAAAAGTCACACAAAAAAGCCTCAAAGGAAAAACTGTATCGGAAAAAAGAAGAAATAAAGTCACAGAAATTTAAAAAAAAACAACTTTTAATAACATACTTTTATGTAATAAGGGGTCGTCCATAAATGACGTCACACTCGAAGGGGGGAGGTCTGTAATTTTGTGACGATGTGTGATGAGGGGGAGGGGGGGGGGGGTTCAGATGGTGCGACGTCACACTTTTGCATTATAAAAAAGCAATGTTAGAAAACTAATTTTAGACGTTATTTCGCGTTTTAGATAACTGTTTTCATAAATTGTAATAGGAATTGATTAAAATACTCTATTTCGACAGAGTTCAGACAAGATTTTAGAAATCGGTGTTTAAAAAAAAAAAATTCAACTGCAATTTTGAGGGGATTGTGTAGGTTGATGTGTGACGTCATTTTAGGGTTCGAACTCGAGACTTTTCGGTTTAGCATGAGCTTAACATGAGCTTTACCGACTCGACCACGCCGACTCCTTAGTTTATAGCTAAAGTTTCAGTTAAGTATTATGGGATGACGTAGTCTAGTGGTAAAGAACTAGACTGCTGACCCGACTAAAAACCATTGCGCGCCTATTGAACGTGATAACGCGCTTTTGTCGTAGAGCCCCCCCCCCCTCGCTCCACGCCCAAGACGGCCGTGATGACGCGTGTGGATAGAACTGCCTACTAATTCGGTCTAAATTTTAATTAATTCATAAAAAAATTAATTAGCCGACCAATTAAGTCAAATTGAATGTAACGATGCATTGTCTTTATGTCTTGACCCACGTACCAAATACGAACCGTATATGTCAGTTAGAAGTGCCTGCAATTTCACGCGGGCGTTTCGATCTAGACAGACTGACGACTGACGACAGACAGAGGAAGTGAGTCAAATAAAAGGTTGTAAAAAGCAACAAAATCTTCTAAGAAATATTTTGAGAATTGTAACATTTTGTGTACTAGTGAATGTGTTTTTTTTTTTTTTTTTTTTTTTTTTTTTTGTAGCACATTTATAAACGTAATGCATTATGGTTTATTGGTTTATAACAATAAGTATAATTAAACCGGGAGTGATCTCCTCTAAACTTTCTCGAATGTTCAAATATAACTCTACGGGGGTGGCAACGCGGGATATATGCATGATTTTTAATCAATTTTTAATAACTTAAACTTTTTAAAATAGAATAGAACATGGGTTCCCAAACTGGGGGTCCCGATCCCCTGGGGGTCACGAAGGGCTTTCTGGGGGGTCGCCAACTGGTAGCCTAGACGCTTGCAAGAAAAAAATATTTAGAAAAATATCTGAAATTCGGCTTTACTAACATCACTGGAAATGGAATAGAGAAGAAACAATGCGCACTGTGCAAAGTTGTTCTCAGTCTGCAGGATTTACCGGTATGCTCTCGCCAGCAAGACTCTTCTGACTCCATTGCTAATAAAAGTCGTAAATTCTATTAAATCTGCAGCCCTTAACACTCGTTTGTTTCAAGAACTGTGCAAAGACGTGAATAAAGATCATGAGGTTCTACACTACAGTACGGTGGCTCTCAAAAAGGAAAAGTTGAAATGAACGATGAAATCAAGTTGTTCTTGGAAAAGCAAGGGAAAAAACCTTTTGATATACTTTAATGACAAAGAGTGGTTGGAGAGAGCATCATACATAGTAGATATATTCGAACATCAACATAAGCTTAACCTGAAGCTTCAGGGAAAATGAACGAATATTATCTCTTTTCATGATAATCTCGGGGGATTTTTATCAAAGCTGTAAAACTGGCGAAGAAAAATAAATATTGGTAATATTGCCATGTTTGAAAAACTCTGCAGTGTGGTAGATGAATCTGATTGTAAGATAAATAAAAAATTAAAAGAGGGTTCTGGACATCTTGAATCTCTTGAAAACGATCTGCGGCGTTATTTTCCCTAGCTAAAAGAATAAAACTCTGCATTGACACGTTACTTATTCTCTGCTTCTCTTGATATTGCTAGCATTCCCAATGAATTACAGGATGCATTCTTAAATTTGAAAATGACATGAGGTTGGCGTTAACAAAAACTCAACAGTGAAAGTTGAGGCTAGTGATAGGCATTCAATTTTACTCTTCGAATTAAAACAGTTATCAACAATAATCGTATTTTTAGTGTTTATTAATTTCCTCACTAATTTCGACTATTTAATTCTCTGGGGGTCGCGGGTCACTTAAGTTTTATAAAGGGGGGGTCGCCACCAGTGGCGGAACTAGAAAAAAAGCCCCCCCCCCCCCCCCCGCAGAATTTTTTCTGGGCCCCTATAATGCCATATATATATATATATATATATATATATATATATATATATATATATATATATATATATATATATATATATATATATATATATGGAAAACAAGGGTCGCTCTAAATTTTTTTTAAAAATTCCATCTGGTACACGAGCTGGCCCCTTTCAGTTTTCCAAGTAAGAAGCACGGACTCTCTAAATCTAGTCCAACACACCAAACTGACACCGATTTTTATGAGGCTTTCATCAAAACGTTACCAACCGTGTGCCCTGTTTTCCAGAAGTTGAATTAAATGTTAACAATGTCGGCAGTTCATTTCTTGGATCTTAGGGCGCGGGTTTGTCCACACTACCAACTAGACACGCCAAGGCATGCTGTAAGTCCCTCGGCGACGGCTCAGGTGTCAGGGGAGTCACGTGCTCTTGGAGCTACCGGTTACATTACTGCACTGGTGATGGGTGCAACACATTGTTTCTTCCGGCAGAGCTCCCCCCCCCCCCTCCCCCGAAAACAGTCTACCCTGGAAGAAACATTGGTGCGACACCTAATTAGATTTAGTCATCGAGTGTTGTAGCGAGAGTTATTCCTAGTGTTGTGGAAACTTTTAAACGACTGTCTGTGGGGGCCAACCTGCTCATATGTGATGCGCTAAGGATGACACTGCCGCCGGTTGTATTCAAGTAGTAACCTCATCCGCTTATGCAGGATCACGGGGCGCTAAATCACATATATTTCCGTTAGGAGTCCCCACTCCAATATGTACAAATGTTAGGCCTATGACAGAAACCTTTGCGGGGCTGTACTCAACAGCTTCCCAAGTTTTCATGGCGATTGGGCGAATGATGCAGCAATGCATAATAGACAGAAAAATGTTTTTCACATGTACAACTGTATGTGGCCAGGTCACGCGTTGAATAACCTTCTGATTTAGGGGAGGGAGGGAGGGGGGACTAACAAAAAGCCAGACCCTCACACACCCCCAACCTCAATGACGTCATTTATAAATAATAATTGACTATTAATAATGTTCAATTAATTCTAAACGTTCTAATTAATTTCTAAATAAGTATATAAAAAAATAATCTTACCTGCCCTGTTTTGTGAATTAGATGTGCCTAATACTATGAAAGTAAATTAATATCTGTTGACTAGATCTAGTGCTGTCTAGTGTCTGACAAAATGTGCTGAAGTGGTGAATCGTACGGTTAGGAAGTAGTCTAGTTCATACACGATACATTTATCTCCTCGATACTTGTGAGGTTGAGAAAGAGGGATTGGATAGGGGTTGGCTCGGGAAAAAACTTGAAAGAGACAACAAAACGCCTTGATCTATGTACGTCAGCATCGCCCATTGTAAAACTTACTCAGGGGAGATAATTCCAAGTATAGGCCTTAAAAGTTTACTATGATATTTCTTGTAAAAGCAAAAACAAGTAAACGTATATAAAACTGAAGTTTCTAGTATTATATTATTTTTTTATTATTTGTAGGATACAAGATAGTACAGGATACACATTCAACCACTATCACAAACACATATTAACATTTAAAAATGTACAATGGATTTCGGGTCCAAATGCCGCAAAGAAGAACCGCGCATCACGAAAGCCCACTTCATATGTAGCGGCTCTTCGTGCTATGGACTTTGTTGTTTTTAAAAAAGAATTTTGCCGGCGACAGCGTGTGTTTGATTGTAGGGAAATAGAACTCGGCCTTGACGATGGTTAAAAAATACAACTATAAATAACTGTTTTAAATAAGTAAAAAAAAATTGTCGACAATTTTTGAACCCCCTTTTTGGTCCACATCCCCTGCCCCATCCGCCACAGTAAACTTTGGAGGATCGGTCAAACAGTTACGTGTCCTCTATTTAGCTATCAAAGGGGGGGGGGACGAGTCAAAGAAGTCATTCAAATTTGAAGAGTTGCCTATATTTTACACTGTAGTTTGTGTAATGGATTTTATCTTTTGCGGAAGAGCGTGGTATAGTGACTGTAAAATAAAGATAATCGTACCGCAGCTACAGTGTTTTTCTTTTACAAACCAAATATTAAAGCAAAAATGCACGAAAATCAAATTCAAAATTTTTAAAAATATTTATTTTGGTCAGCCGTGGGCCCCTAAACGGCCTGCTCCCCCCCCCCCCCGCGCATTGCGGGGTCTGGCGGGACTGTAGTTCCGCCCCTGTTCATCAGGTAAATGAACAACTACTGACTAGTGTCTTTAACAAAATGTTCAGAAGTGATCAGTTTACAGTTCAGTAGTTCATAGACTGTTCGTTAATCTATGCATTACATCTTATTGTAAGAGTAAGGGTGTGGTGGGGGGGTAGAGGTGAGGGGTAGTGGTGAGAGGGGGGAGGGGAGAGAGTTGGGAAGGTTCAAGGGAAGGGGACAAGAAAGCGCCGATAAACATCTACATCAATAGTGCCGACTGTTTGCGGTCGTCTAGAAGACCAGGATATTCGCCGCAACATTTCCCCAGCCGACTATCGTGTTTGTTTGTAACTGTTGAAGAAAGATACCTCGAACTCCACCTAATATTTAAAAAAAAATTTTTTAAATAATTTAGCAAGGATTTTTGGGCCCCCAATCGGTCTGGCCCCCCCCCCCCCCGCATTGCGGGGTCTGGCGGCACTGTAGTTCCGCCCCTGGTCGCCACTCGAAAAAGTCTGGGAACCATTGGAATAGAATCTTGTAGAAAAAGATTGAATTGCCAAACAATATGTGTATAATAGTGTGGATTATTATTAGTACTTCATAAAGTCATTTTCTCTTCTCAAATATTAGTAAAGGTATCCAATAGGTACTAAAGTACTAAAGTGACCCACGCTTTTCTTTATGGTAATTTAAATAGTAGTGTATAATTTATTTTCTACTTTTTAGTGCATCATTACATAAAAACTTGTTATTAAAACGTTTTTTATGAATTTTTTTTTTTTTTAAATTTAATAACATCTTTTTGTATAGGATTACTAAAGATAAGCACAATTAAGTATTATCTGAAAAATGTATGAACATTTTTCAAAACATTTAGTCCATATATTCCATATATTTAATTGAAGTTAGTTGATTATAAACAAAGCATTGTTTTCTCTGTTCGGATGGGGGAGGGGGGGGGGGGGGTTGCTCTTGAAACTTTCTATTCCCCCTCCCCGGAATTTGAGCTTCAGGTTTATATTTAAACGAACTGACCCGCGCCGTAAGCATATACGCCGCTATTTTAATCTAGTTGTTTGATTTTTCTTCATTTCAGTAATTCATAATTTGTGAATTCGACACTACCCTCTCCCCCCCCTCTTCTCCCCCCAGTGTTTCTCCAGACTTTTTTCTCCGAGGGGGCACTTGATATTTTCGGGGGGGGGGGGGGGGGTCGGTCAACATTTTTCGGGGGGGGGGGGGGGGCGGACACTAGTAAAAGTGTATGTTTACTATATAAATTCCATCTCGTTCGGGGGGGGGGGCAGTAGACTTTCTTCGAAGAGATGCCTGGAAGAAACTCTGCCCCCCCCCTGTGAAAGCAGCCGTGACGACAGTTTACAGACGACAATGAAAAGATCATGCAGAACGTCTTACCTCTCATTAGTTTTAAATTGTTTAAAAGCTAAATTATCTGCCCCTAATAGCCGTCACACTGTAAACATTCGGGGTGAACCACAGCTCACCAGACTGGTGGGGTGGGGGTGGTAGCGATATGCCGAGAGCGGGGTAGGAAAGGCTAAGCCCTCACATGGTGATGTCTCGCATGGGCCCCATGTAGAGAATTATATATATATAGATTAGAGGGTTAAATAGCCCGTCGTATCTTGCTTGCTCAACTTTTGTTGTTTCAACAAACAATATTGGCCTACATTTTAAAATGCTACACAACAATAATTCAGTCTAAAACATTTAAATTTAAAAGTGCAAGTGTGTAGCACTTTCTGCCGCCCCCCCCCCCCTCCATGACGTCATACGCATTCATAAAAGCACAATTTTTCACCCCCCCCCCCAGCTTCCGCCACCCCAGGTAAGTAAGCCTGTTATGTCCAGTGTTTCTTCCAGACTTTTTTCTCCGGGGGGGCACTTGAAATCTTCGGGGGGGCGGTAAACTTTCTTCGGGGGGGCGGACACTGTTAAAAGTATATATTTTCTATATAAATTATATAAATTTCATTTCGTTCGGGGGGGGGGCGGTAAAAATTTTTCGGGGGGGCTTCGCCCCCCCGAAGAGATGCCTGGAAGAAACTCTGGTTATGTCATTTATTTTATGGGCGGCACACACGGGTGGATGAGCCGCCAGGACACCAGGAAAATCACGTAGGCCTCCATGTATCTTTTATTATCTTTTTGTTATTAAACGTATATTACAATTTGTATTGTGACACGTGACGTAATTTTAGTCATCGTTTTTCGGATGGAAAAACATGCAATGTGAAAAATTTAAGTCGTGAAGGGGCATCTTTGATTTATTATTTGGGCCGCTTGAACAAAGACAGTCCACCCCTTACGGTACATATTCATGAATATTAAAATTGTCGTAAAAAAAAATAAATATGTTGGCCCAAACATCCAGTTGATTCTAATGATTTAATCATCGTATACCGTATAGCAATTGTTAGCAGATGTTTAAACAAAATTACGGAAATCATAGAAAGTGAAATAGTGTAGATGCCATGTTTGCATCCTACTACTCACAATATAACAAAATTATAAACCTCTTAAATCTGTGCCTATACGATATTAAACTGATTGCCTTAAATTAATTAAGGCTCTAGTTTATATAGTATTCTTTGAGATTTGATTTTGGTGTGGGGGGGGGGGGGCAAATCCAGGGGGCAGATATTACTCAGACCCAAGTCTTAATTTCCGCTTCGTGTCATGTGACTGGCGAGACTTACGTAGAAGTAGATTGAAAACATTGGGATTTCAACCCGGAATCATCTAGTCATAGGCCTATTTAAAAATAGAAATAATCTGTCATACCACGTGAGGGCATATACCGCATTCTATTGGTTTGACGTCACAACGCTCCCTGTGCTTCTATCCCAGAGTGCATAGATTCCTGACAACATGGACGACTAGATAGTACAAAATGCGCTTAAAAATTGTTTAAATATACCAATTTTTTCATTTCTTTTAAACATTCACAATTACTACGATGGCTGAAGAAGTAGCAGAAAGCTATAGATCATCCCTTGATGACCTGAAACTCAATAGTAAACCACAGATCAGCATGCTCACTATGTTGGCAGAAGATCACGAACAATATGCAAGCGAAATCGTGAGGGTCATTGAAGAGCAGATCAAGAAGGTTCAGATTTGTTTGTTGTATATTTGTAATGCATTGTTATTAGTAATTTTACATTAATATATTTAAGCCGATTAATGAATATAAATTACGTAACCTAGATTAAGTTTCACTGGTATAAGGGCTGATTTTATCTTAATGAATGTCAGCAAATTAAAATCTAGAGATCTCGATTCTAGTCTTGAGTCAGGTTTGAAGTTAGCTGTGTTCATCATTTATTTAAAATTTTCATAGCGAGTTAGAGCTGATTATCGATTAGAAATAACATAAAAAAATAAAATGCACAAATACAACCGAATGTATTGTAGTATAGAGATCTACTTAAAGTTTTAACATCATATGGTAGGCCGGTAAAACTCCATTTTAGCGTATTTTATTCCCCGCTTAACGTTCACCTCCAGTTGAGTGTATTTTATAATAAACACAACCTAAACACACAAAAACGTTAAGAAAACACTAGATCTAGATCTACTTATTTTTTTTATGAATGTGATTTTTAATTATTAATTAGAAAAAGTATAAAAAACATAAAAAAGCATTAGAACTGTTCCAATTAAATATCGTGTGATCATCAGCGGGAGAAAAATTCTTACACGGTCGCGGGTTTACTGTGAGTTCACATAGACTTTAATTATTAGCATACGTCATAGCTTGGGCAATAGCTGTTTAAAATAGTGTTGGCCTCAGTTTTGGGGTCATTGTAAGTTCATAAATGTTTATTTATAGTATCATGCCTGAGAGATACTTGTAACAATACAAAATAATGAAACTTAACCCACTTGCAATTGTGAGTTACGTTTACTTACTTCACCCATTGCCATGAAAATTCTGACACACAAACATAGCACATACAATATTCTAAATTTGGATTTTTCTCAAGTTTTGACAAAAGTAAATTATCAAAATCTAAAACAAAGTCAGTCTCTTTGTTTTTTATTTATTTGTTCAAACAAAAATACAATACAAATAAATAAATCGCGTTTTCCTAATGTTTTGGTGTGTTTCGGTTATTATAATAAAATACGCTCAACTGGAGGTAAACAAGATCGGAGAATAAAATACGCTAAAATGGAGTTTTACCTGGTAGGCCTGCTAATTTCTAATACTAATAGATAGACTCTTGGCCTATTTGAAGCAGAGGGTCTACTATTAATTATGCAGTTCCCTCATAAAAAGTAAATTTCCATTATCATTGCACTTTTTCTTATATATTCTGGTATATACTTTTAAGCTTAAATATTTTTTTGATCTTTATACACAAATTTAGGACCTATAACATAGATCGATGGCAAAATAATGGCCAAGTAATGCATTCATTACCACAACCCATTTGCATTGTCTTTTCAAACATTCTTTATAAGAACCAACATTCCTTTAAGATTTGTCCTTGAGCTTCATTTTGTGTAGAACATTTGACGTTACATGATTTGTCATAAGTTATAGGCTCGTTAGCCTAAAATAACCTAGGTTTAAAAAAAAAATTAACACATTCTTAGTTGAAAAATTGCACATTATCTGCAAAATTTTATTTTTTTGATTAGAGAGCTACGAAAAATAAATACCCATTATTTGAATAGATTAGGATAAAGTTTCCATGGATTTTACTTTAATTGAGATAGTTTGTTACCTAATGTAGAACTTCACATTAAGTATGCAATAGTTTGTCATACACCCATTTGTTTTTGCAAGTTCTTACACTAAATGCAACATTCTGTCAATGTAGCTTACAACTATCATACCATATAGTTAAAGTAGAAAATGAAATTACAGATGTTTTTGCAGAATGTACATAGACTTATCTATGTCAGTTGGGAAAAGTTAACTTTATTTTGTAGTTTTGTATAGTATAGTGTCCATTATAAAGGATGTAGCGATATTATGCATAGCTTAGTAGCCATGGAGACAAACTTTCAAGATGCCGTATTAATAGTATACCTTTCATATTCTGACAAAAAATTGAGACATCTTTTATGGATTATTTCTACAAGTACTACACAAATTAAGGGTAAAAAAATTCTTACAGTAGCTCTTGATAGTTTGATACAGCTTTAACTTGCTTCAGTATTGTGGAGTACCATAAAATAAGTTGTGGTAGTGAATGTATTTAAATTTAACTAAGAATATTACTTTTTAAAATCATGAATTAGCGGTAACTAATAGCAGTAAATCCAAATTGAATTTTATTTACTTCTAATTTTTGTTTAGTGGACACCATCGGATAATCATTTACTGCCCAAATAGTTGCATAGAAAATAACATCAGTTTCTGTTAACAACTTAAATATGCAATGCTTTATATTTAAAAAGGCAGTTTTAGCCTTTAAAAAGTAGCCCCTGTTCTACATTGACCACTTTTACTTTTTTACTGCGGTTTTATGTTACTTTAAATCTAAATTAGATTTCTATATAGACAAATGTTTTGTGCAGTTTCTTTTGTTTTGAAAAAAAAAAGAATAAATTTTATGAACATAGTAGTTGACTTAATTTTTGGATGCTCCGTTCTTGTTATTAGTTATCAAAATCAGATCCGTTAAGTTTTTCTTTATTTACATTGTTTTAATGTTAATTTTCAAAAGATTTATTTCAGCCCAATTGTTAAATTTTTGTTTATTTTTTATAAAAATAAATATTACAGAATACTGTGGTTTTTTCAATAATTATTGAAAGTTTTATTAATATTGTTGTGTGTCTGTTGTCCAGTTATTGTTTCTTTTTAAAGTTGTTTTGTTTCTAAACAATGTCCACTTAAAGCTATGGCTGCTGGGTTTTAAAATTGCTTTTAAATGAATAGCAATATTAAACAAATATTTGAATTCAATTGCAGCTTAATAATATTACATTAAGATTATTAAGTGCAGCATACTGCAAAATTTGGGGAGTGGACTTTAACAGATTTCAAAAGCTGGTGTGATGTAACAAGAATTCCAAGCATTTGTTCCTGAGGATCAAGATCTGGTTTCATCACATTGTAACAGAACCCACAGAGTTTGTGTAAGGTTATTGAAGGTGGACAAGGATAGAAGCTTACATCCTGCTGCAGTCCATTTCTCACATTTTGCTGTGCAAAGCAGACTTAAAATGTATAACAACTTAAGATTTATCAACTTCATAGTAAGATGGAATGAACAATTAAGGAGTAATGAACATAGCTAATTTAGCTGACAATACATGTTTAAAAAAATTAAAACTGTGTTTTAGTTATATTGTATGTTTTTGTAACATGTTGCTGTTCAATAATTTTATGTTGTGATGTCTGATGTAATTATAATCAATTGCAGTTCTGCAATGGTAGTGGTATCTCATGAAATGGTATTAAATAAATGGTATTGGCTGTTGACACTTTTGTGTCATCAATAAGGCTTGTGATCTTAAATGTGCAAATTAAAAATTATCATTGGCATTGTGTCCAGTTCGTATGATACATTGTATGCTTAAAAAGCAGTGGTGAACTGTGGAATTGTTAAAAAAAAAAAATATGTGCTTATTAAGGACCTTGAGCACATTAACAAATGGTAAGAACATATGGATGTACAGCCTCTGATTGTGCTGCTGTATCCGTGTATAGTACCAACTGATTTGTATGCACAAGAGTAGCCTAAAGCAGATGTTAATAAATCTTATATTTATACACACTTGTTGTTGTTAAAGGTAAGAGTAAGTATATTTATTTTAAAGTATATTTTCTTATTTCAGACCCTTTTATTCATCTGTTGGGTGTGAAACTTAAAAATTTCAAGACAAGTTATCATCGGAAGACGATGGCAAACTTATTTTATGTTGAAAATTTGTATTTTGTATGATGCTTATTATAATTTTAACAGGTTCCTGTTACAAGAAAGCTACCAATAATGTATTTGATAGACTCCATAATAAAGAATCTTTCTTCAACTGTTTATCCTGAGCTGTTTTCACAAAGCATAGTACGGATCTTTCTTGGAGTTTTTGAAGAGGTAGCTATTGCTTAGTTTCAGTTATTTTCTCCAACTTATTATTGAGTGGCGGTGTCAGATCACTTGTATAAATTTGCCTTGAATTGTTAAATTTTGAAGTTTAAAGATAATTTTCTTCCCTTAAAATATGAACAAATACTTTTAAAAAAATTAGATAATTGCAACTACAATTTAAAGACGAGTGTTTCACTAGCCTTTGCATTTATTGTTGTCAGTAGTGGCTATTGATTGCTTAGGGTGTTGATTGTTGGCCTGCTAACGTAAACCAAGTGTATTTATTTTCTTAGTTAATATCATAATTTTGGTAGCTATTCTTTATATTATTACCATATATACCATCTATGCACTATTTCATTATGTAAATATTGCCAGCACTGTTTTTAAGTGTCTGGTACATTTATAAAAATGACTTATGTAATTAAATTTACATTGTTGTACTTTATTATAGAATGATTTTGTAAAAATAAAATTTATCAGTGTTTTCTTTGTTATTTATGGTGTATAGTATGTATGTTGTTTATTGCAAATGATAATACTGAATGTCAAGTTTCACTGGTATATGTTAGCAGCGCTCACTTTAAAATGGAATTACCAGAATTGATAAAGCTACCATTAATATAATACTCATGAATTTCAATGCTTTTAGAAAAATAATTACTTTTATTATCCATATACTTCAGTGAACTACATATTTCCATTTACACAGTAAAGAAAATTCTACTTTGGAAATAACCTTTTGTAATGTTGTAAAGAAATATTCATTATTTAGATACTTGTTGCACAAGTTTGAACGCTTAGCATACAAACTGGAAATTTTAGGCTGAATAAAACATAACTTTGTATACAAGTATATACGCTGGGAGTAGTCTTCAATTCAGAGAAGAAAAATAATTAATAGACCTTCAAAGATAAGCACAAAGTTGGTAAACAAGCATCCAAATATAAAATGTTTCTCTGCTCCCACTATGAGCTTGTGAGGCATTACATGTACTTTAAAAAAAAATTGAAATTGTATTAATGCACAACCAATAATTACCTGGTTTTATTAACAATGCTGAGAGGTCAAGAAAAGTTGCTAAACATAAATTTGCTGTATTTAACTATCAATCACACAAATGTAAAGAAAAAAATTCAGTAAATAGATTATGATCTTTAAGTGTTTGCTTTCTGGACATAGGTTGATGAGAAGACAAGGCAATCCATGTATAAACTAAGGCAGACATGGGTAGATATCATACCCAACAAATACCTCTACATTCTTGATAGAAAAGTTCAACTAATTGACCCTGCATGGCCAATTACAGCTAAGGCACCTGAGCATGGTGTTATCCATGTGAATCCTAAGTTTCTCAAGGTACTAAATTTATTCTTTTGCATAGATGAGTACAATCTTATGTTTAAAGTTGTGCTCACCAGTTTATCTTCAGATGTACTCGTGATGGTAAATACTAAATAGCAAGTACATTTCACAACAAAGTAGTATACAATTTAAAAAAAAAATGCAAACTAAAAACTGCTTCACTTGCATGTTACTTGCATTGGAGTATCCACCTTGTAATCATTTTGAAGTGCACTCATAAGCTGTGATTACATATTCCGGCAGCTGTTGTATAATTATTTACTTTTCTAAAGTTAAGATAAACACTTCTTATGACAGAGGGTGTGATAAAAATTGGAAAAAAAGTAATTTGTTGTACTTAAATGGATTATGGTTCACTAATTACAATAAACTATAGCTTCATTGAAGTAGGTTTTAATCAGAAAGAACCAGTACATTCAAAAACAGTTCAACAAGTGAATTTCTGGATCATTTGAATGTATCCGAACAGGTTCAGAAGTATTAATTCTCGGATTCTAAAAATGCTTTGCGCAAATAAAACGAAACATCTTTATTTACAGCCAAATAAGGTTGAAGAAGAAAGAAGTCCACAGTTTAGCCCAGTAAACTCAGAATCTGCTCATTCAGATGATGCATACAAAGATGAGCTTGTGCGTGCAAAAGAAGAACTTCAAACTCTTCGATTACAGCTTGAGTTGGCTGAAACCAAAGCCAAACTGGAAATGCAGAAAAAACAAGTAAATACTTTTTCCAAAACCCCATTGCTTGTTAAACCTAGTTAAGCAGTGTGATACCTTCAAGTATTTCATGACATTTTTTTTCTATCTTGCAGTTAGAAGAAAAAGCTATATTAAAGTCAGGCTTTTTGCATCTAGATGAAAAATCTTTATTGAAGCCAAGCAAGAAGATAATTAATCGTGAACCTCCACCAGTTATTAAGCTCCCACCAGTTGGCAATTCAACAACTTCTGGACAGTCTGGCAGCCGTGACCCTCGTTTGAATAGAGATCCTAGAATAAACAGGGATCCTCGTCTTAAGAAGCAAATGGAAAAGCAAGAACAAGAAAGAATTGAAACTGAGAAGCAGAGAGTAGAAAAGGAAACCACTCCCCCAGTCATACAGAAACCAATAGTTGATGTTAACAAAGTAGCAAGTGGGCATTCTGGTATGAGGGTTGCACCTGTTGATGCACCAAAACCTACATCTCCTAGATTAGATTTAGCCACTCTGTTAACATCATTTTCAGAGGTAGCTGCCAAGGTAGCTGCAGAAAATAAAAAGAAAATTTCCCCTCCAGTCAATGAGACTCAAATGGCAGTTGATCCTCGGGGTCCTTTAGAAAAAAAAGAAACAAAGTTGAAATCTAATGAACATAAGATTGTTCAGCGTGAAACCAGAGACTCTTCCAAAGATAGAAAGGTAGACCCTAAATCTAAGAAAGAATTACCTGTTGCTGATAAATCTAAAGATTCACCCTTAAAATCTGATAAAACAAGCGAACAAGATAAAAAAAGAGAGCAAAGTAAAGATAAAAGTCCAGCTAAAAAAGATAAAGTTGACAAAGAAAAGAAAGATAGAGAAAAGGGGGACAGCAAGGATGATATTAAAAAGGAAAGCAGTGACAAAGATAAAAAGGATGTTAAAGACAGACGAGACAGTAAAGACATTGATAAAAGAGAGAACAGGGATAGAAGAGACAGCAAAGACAAAGATAAGAGGGATAGCAAAGATCGCCGTGATTCAAAAGACTCTGAGCGCTCTAGAGACAAGAGAGATAGCAGAGAACGGCATGCGGATTCTGATGTCAGTCGTCACAGCCCAAGGAGAAATTATAATAGAAGATCTCCTCCAGATTATAGGCGAAACTTTCGAGACACTCGGCCTAGCAGAGCTAGAGGCAGGGAAAAGGCTAGACTAGTGGAGCCTGTCATCCATTCCTCTGATGGAAAGACTGACCAGTTTGGACGTATGCTGAGAACATCAAAATCAGGCTCATCAAGTAGAGACCGCTCCCCTATCGATCGTGAAAAGGAAAGAATTTCTTGCTCACCACAAACATCAGACAGCAAAGACAATTTATCAGCATTAGTAACCGAACCAAGATTCCAAAATGATGAAGCTAAAGTTGCATTGCAAGCGAGTATTGAAAAGATGGAGCCAGTCAAGGATTTAGAGCAACCACAAAAGAAAGATGAAGGGGCTGAAAGTGTCTTGCTCAAAACAACAGATGAAGAAAATCTACATCTTCCTGAAGATACTACTAAAGAAAATCCTGTAACTATGAATGAACAAATTGATGCACAAGTAATTTCATTCAAAAGTGAGGTGATTCCACCAGAGGAGCTTATTAAAGACTCAGCCCCTGATTTGTCCTGCTGCACAGAGGATATTGACATGCGCATTCAACAGCCTCTACCTGATATTTCTAAAAAAGACAGCTTAGAGAAAGCTGAAATAGATGAAACTGAAGGGGTTTTTTCAGAACCTGGTGACTCCTTAAATTCAAGGAAACGGTCCAACTCAGAAACTGATAACAAAATAGAAATTAGACCATACAAAATTCCTAAACTTGCTGCTTCTAAAAAACTGGAAGAAAAGGACATAAGGTACATAATAATTAGATTTATTTAAAAAATTTTATGTTACATTAAAGTTTATAGGCTACTTTATTTCTTAACAGGTGGTTAAATCAATGTCATTGTTGATAAAATGCTATTATTAATTATAGGAAGTTTTAAAGCATATTTCTCTTCAACAGCAATTTATTTGGAGAAGAGGATGTAGACTTGAGGATACCAAAGCCAGTTTTAGCACCACCACCTATGCCGGTTCAAAATCTCTTGTCACCTCCTGCATCATCACTTAAAAGCCCAGCTCAGCGTAGATGGAGTCAATTTAAAGAAAGCCATCCAGATGATTTTGCTCAAGACATTGAAAGGAAACGCTTGCGGGATGCGCAAATGCAGTCAATAGCATCTGAAGTACAGGATGTTGATTTAAGAATGCTACCCTCAAGACAAAGATCTTTGCAAATGCCACCAGTAGACCTTAGCACTCCCATTCCCAAGGTATAAGATACTTTTTTTTAAAATCATTATTTTATGGGGAATTTTAGTTATTTCTATTGGTTTATGCGCACACATATGTTATGGAAGATTTTTTAAAATCTTAAACATTATTAAAATTGTCTCTTAAAAACTAATATACTTGGAATAAAGATACCAGATTAAAAATGGAAGATAAAATTTCTCAGAATCACCTTTAGCTGCTATTAACTATTAAAATAATTAACATTACTAATGCATTGAGATTGACTAAAAAAATCAGAATTTGATAAATGTTCAAAATAACTCATGAGGATCATAAATAATCAAACAAAATATAATTTTTTCACAACATAACTGCATTTTCTATTGACTTTAACATATTCTTGTTTCAGGACTTGATTGAAAATCAAGAGCAGATATTACAGCGTGCTGAACAAGAACTTAAAGAGGGGCGCATAAGTCATGTTGACCATCAAGAGATTGTAAAACAGCTTGGACAAGTGTATGATATCCAGAAAAAGCGCCATAACCTAGAAGAACGTCCCTTTAAAAGTCTTGATTTACGAGATCCTCGACTCAGAGGCATACGAGAAATGAGAAGTTATCCTGATGATTTGGATAGAAGAGGATATAGAGATGATGTTGCACATCATAAAAAGCCACTATTGCCAGGTTTACCACTTTCAGGTGATATGCCTGATGAGTCTGCTAATAATTCACCAAGATACAGGGATAGAAGAGATAATTATCGAGGGGGCTATGAAACCAGCCCTAAAGAAGATTTTGATGCTCGTCGTCCAAGAGCCGGCCCAAGGCCTGATCGCAGAGTTGGTTCTGAATTTAATAGAAGAGGGCCTCCTTTGGATTACGACGGAAGGTCACCAAGAGATATAGATTTAGAAGACTCAACGTCACCCAGAGACTTTGATGTTCGTTCTAGGTTCAGAGATTTTGATGGTAGACCCAGACGAGAGCTTGATGAGTTCAAAGATCATTCACGTGACTTTGATGGTAGACGGCCTCATGATGAGGAAGCTCATAGAGATTTTAGAAACGCAGATCGGAGGTCTTTTGATGAGTATGATGTATCTTCTAACATAAGAGGTCCAGCTTTAAGAGAACCCCGACATGATGATCTCAGGGACAGAAGGCGTAATACGCCTCCAATTGAGGGTCATTACAGAGGTTTATCAGAAGAGGCTCAAGGCCCTCGACCTTATGGCAGATCGGATGAAGTGCAAGGACCAGTTCCGTATGTGCAGACAGATGAATCTCACAATGCAAGACCATATGGACCATCCAGACACGTAATACCACAAGATTTAAGAGGTCCAAGACCAAACTATCCTGGACCAGTTATGAGACCTCAAGGACCAAGACCTAATGGTCCAGATGGTCCAAGGCCTTTAGCATCTCCTACTTTACCAAATTCAAGAATATCCGATCCAATGGAAGATCCTAGGTGGTCTGCAATGAGAGGTCTGCTTGATCATGAGGGAACAGAAGAACTTGTTATTGATGGGAAGCCATTTGAATTGCGAATGGGCACATCTCGTAAATTACGTGTTTATGGAAAAGTTATGGATGTTGCTGTAGATTTAAAAGAAAGAGGCATACGAATAGATAATCAGTTGGTTTATAAGCTTGGAGAGCCAATCAAAGAGGTACATGCAGTTGGTAGGGGTGTTAGGTTGTATTACCATGGTCTTCCTAAACCCATCTGGTTGGACGGACAGCAGCATGAAATGCGCATGGATGCCCCACCAAGAAATGTTATGGTAGATGGTGTCAGGCGAGGATTTCAAATTGATGGCAGGGATATGATGATACTAGTAGATAGGCTTGAGAAAGGGCCTTATGGTGGACCACCTAGGAAAATAAGAATCGCAGGAATTGATCATGATATTGCTTTTCAAGCTCCACCGCGTCGTATACTTATTGATAACAAGTCTTGTGACCTGAAACTTGATGGCAAAATCCCATATGTTATAATTGATGGTAAGCCTCATGGAATACGATTTGATGGAGAACCTAGGACTGTTTTTATCAATGAACAGCCATTTACTATACCAGTTGATAGAGCAGAGAAAATAAGAATAGGTTCAAGACCTACATACATTGCATTTGGAGGTCCAGCTCATGAAATAATTATAGATGGGAAGTGGTTTGAAGTGAAATTTGACAATGTTCCAAAAGACATTCATCTGGGTAACAGGCATTATACTATTAGAATTCCAGGCCCATTGCCTCGTGTTAAAATCCTTGATGAATTACCCCAGAATGTTGATGAGTCACGGCTGATGTCCTCTAACCAGATAGTTCCACAATCTGATGCAGTTTCAACCCCGTTAGCCTGTGCACCCTTCCCACATGGACCAGGAAATGCTCTTGGTCCTTTGCCAGCTCATAATATACCTGGTGCTGATAATATTCAGAGAGCTCATATCACAGAAGGCATTCCTCCTGCTGGACCTCTTATCACTGATGGATCAAGGCCTGCTAATCTACAAACATCAGAAGGCATAATGCGCCCTGTAGGGCCAATTACATCTGATACTTTTAGATTTGGTCAACCCTCTGCACAAAATTTAGCACAACCTAACCAACCTGTAATGTCTACACAAGTACCCTCTCAGATGATGCAACAGTCAAACCCATCTATGCCAGGACAGCTATCTAATCCCCTTATGGGACTTCAACGTCCAAATCTATTGGGATTCGGCATGAATCAGCAAGGGCTTAATAGAAATCAACCTGTTAATTTGCTGGCTCAAGGATTGTTAAATCGTAAGTAGCTATTTAATAATATATTTTTTGTACTAAAATACTTATTTAGTAACTGTATGAGATACTTCATTTTTCTTTACAAATATTTTAACAGTTTTTACTCTCTCTTATTGTAGAAGTTGCTACAAGTATGATCAACAATCAGTTTGTGGGGATGCAGAGTCTACCTGATCTTGCTGCTGGTATAAGAGCATTGACACAGTTGACAGCAAGTAATGTTCAACCTCATATGCAGTCCCAGATGCAGCCAGCATTACAGTCATTACCTAAACCACTAGAAGATGATCATGGTGCTGTGATGGCAACAGGCATGCAAAGCTCAGGTTTTGGTCCGCAGGTAGGCACAATTATATTATGATCTTTCATTTTTAAAAGCCTATCTTATTATTAAGTATAAAAAATAACTTGAACAACCTATAATAATTATACATTTGTTACATTTTAGAAATTTGGAAAGCCAGGTTTGCCTATAATGCCTGCATTAAATACACAGTCTCAGCCATCACATTCAACTATTCCAGGATTATCAGGTATTGAATGAAACTTTTTCTAGTTATTTTTATAGCACTTATGCAACATGTATCAAATTTAACTTGTGTTATAATAAATTTAAAGCTTTTTAAAAAAAATCTGTATTTTAAAACCTGCTCTAGTTAGATTATTTCTTTGAATTGTATTTTTTTCACCACCGCAGGTCTGCCTGGCTTCTCCTCAACAGATTCATTTTCTAATCCTGTATCAATGGCACCTACCATTTCTTCTGTCACTGCACCCAAACCACCAATTGATATCAATAGTTTGCTAGACAACCTCTTGAAAGTTGGCTTAATCAAAGACCCAACTAAGTCTGATTCATCAAACCCTCCATCTTCTACTGACCATTCAAAACCTGAAACAGCTAAAAAGACAACTACAGAAGAACCAACAAAGGTAAGCATTGCTTAATTTTTCTAGTTAATTATTGTTTTCTGCAAATTAATTTTGTTTAACTCTTTAAGACCGTAACGACGCTCCCAGCGGTCGGTCCGCCGGCCTGCCATACCGTAACGACGCTCCCAGCGTTCGATGGTAATTTCTCTATTTATTCCGCTGCTATTCCAAAGTCAAGTTTTTAATCAAATAAATGATTCACGGGATAGCTAGAGCGGCCATTTTGACTTCAGTTTTCAATTGATCACTTTGTTGATAGAGGACGTTTTCACATTCAAAAATTAATTTTTCAAAAAGTAGTCGTGCAAAAATTGTTTGTTTACATGGCAGAAAATGCTTCTTCATCGGGGTCTCGACCACCTCGTCGTTTTACTGCAGATCAGGCCAGGAAAATGGTTTTTGCAGCTGAAAACAGTGACAGTGAATTAGAATTAGATTCTGGAAGTGACTTTGAACCTAGTTCTAGTAGTTCTGATTCCAGTGATTCAGAAATGGACTATGATGTGCATCGTGAAATAGACTTGGCTAAAAGAGGGGCGTGTCCCCAACCAGGTCCAAGCAAGACTAAGCGACCTCGCTTGGCAAATCAAACTATTGATATTGATGCTAATGATAATCAGTGGGTTCAGCAACAGTTTGAAGATAAATCAGCTACAAAAAATGCTTTTCGATTTATACCAAAGGATGGTGTAGAACCAGGTGTAAACGCTGCAGCTGGTTTGAATGACTCGTCCAGTCCACTGCAATGTTTGCAAAGCATTTTGACACCAACTATTGTTGATGAACTAATTTCATCAATAAATGAATATGCAGCATTGAAAATAATTCAAAACACACCACCTCTACCTAGATCGAGATTTAGCAAATCATCTTGGACTGATTTTAACCACTATGAGTGGAACAAATTTTTGGCTGTGATAATAGTAATGGGCATCGACAAGAGGCCTACTATCAGGGACTATTTTAGTAACACAGACAGTATGTACACAGGATTTTTTCACAAAATGTTTCCAAGAGAAAGGTTTGAAACACTTTATTCTTCTATGCTGCATGTTGGAAAGCCTGATGCAGAAGGCAAGAACAAAATAGAACCTTTTGTGGATTCCCTTACTGAAAAACTCCAAGAATGTTTTACTCCCTACCAGTCTGTCTCCATTGATGAGATGATAATAGGGTGGAAAGGCAGGTGGCAATATAAACAGTATAATGCAGCTAAGCCACACAAAAATACCACATCAAAAGCTTTGGCTTAGTTGACAGTGCAACTGGTTACGTCCTAAACATTTTAACGTATTATGGATCGCAAACTTCATATGATCCTGACACTGACCTCAACGGTGGAATGGCCATCAAAATTTTTGACACTCTTCTGAGTCAATTAGGTAAAGGCTACCATATATTTGCTGATAGATGGTACACCACCAGAGCACTGATTGACCATCTAATGGACAAGAAAATGTACTACACTGGTACTGTCCAGATAAACAGAGTAGGCTTTCCAAAAGCCTTGAAACTTATAAAGCTTCAGCACATGGAAAGCCGGTACTGGATGCATGAGGACAAAATCCTTTGTGTTACCTGGAAGGACAAAAAGGCAAAAAAACCTGTCATAATGGCTTCCACTAAAGCCATAGTGGATAATGCTATAACAAAAAATGACACGGTAAAGCCTGCAGTCATTCACGACTACAACTTCAATATGAATGGCTGTGATCGGGCTGATCAAATGATCGGCTACTATGGTGTCCACAATAGGAAAACAAGAAAATGGTGGAAGAAAATTTTCTACTGGATCCTTGAAGTGACCACAGTCAATGCTTTCATTCTGCATCGTCTGACAAGGCCACCTTCTGCTGACATAAAAAGGCATGACAAAACTTTAAAAAGTTTCAAATTCCGCCTCGTCGACGAACTGTGTCGAAATGCCTCCCTTCTTATGCCCGACCCTACTACTAGGATTTTTGCTAAGCCTGGACGCCCAAGACTGGGCAATCCTCTTGAACGTTTAGAAGGGGCCAAACACTGTGTAGTTTACACTGACTAAGACAGAATATGTGCTGTGTGCAGTACACCTAAAAATATTAAGAGGTGTAATTTTATTTGCAAGGGCTGTGAAGGTCATCCACATTTACACCCAAAACACTGTTTTGAAATTTGGCACACTAAAGTAGATTTGTAAATAACTGAGAACCTGTGAATATTTGTGTATATAGTTCTATATGGTGTCTATTATGATTTCAAACTGTTTAATTTCAATTTTTTCTTTTTTTTGTTTAAAAATTTGCTATTGTTATGTTATTTTCAAATGACCATTACTAAAAAAGTACTGCATCAATTTTCATTCTAAGACTTGTTTTGTTTTGAGAAATGAATATTCTTTTTAGATTTTGCACTCATTTGTGAAAATATTTATCACAAAATATTTTTTTATTTTTTATAAGTGACTTTTTTCATTGAAAATTTTTGACAACAAATTTTCACCCCCTATTAAAATGCAATATTATTTTCTTACTGTAATAAATTATTATCTAAATTTTATTTCTACTTGTAGTTTGTTCATTTCCCTACAATATTTTATAATACATGAATATGTTCAGAATTATATCTTGGAAGTTATAATACTTATGATGAAGTGTATGTGATAAAAAATGGCGAACAAAAAAATAATTCCGGTGAAACGCGAAAATAATTCCGGTCTTAAAGAGTTAAAAAAGTTTCATGTAGGCTTACATGCATAATTGTTGTTATTTTTATATACATATGCTTGTCTTAGACTTGTCTAACTCAATAGAGTTTGATTAAACACTTCAAAAATATACAGGATTTTTTTTCTGAATGACTATTAAAGACTTTTTAACAATGCATAGCTAAATTCACATTAGAACCTAGTTAATAAGCTAATCCTTCTTTTTGCTTTTCTTTCAATTTCTTGTGAACACCTACTTTTAAAAAAAATTTTCCATGTGGGTTTTATTGCAACTTTTTTGACAACTGAAGTTACTCTTTAAAAACCTTCCATGAGTCAAGTTGATTTAAATATTTTAAATATGTTGAGTAACAGATCTATTGAGTTTTTTATGATTTCACTTAAAGTTCATGTGGTCTTTTGTTTTTCAGAAAAAAGAGTTTATTCCAGATCTCACAGATTTTGCTACAGAAAAACTAAAACGGTACTGGTTATTTAGATATTATTTTTATACGCTAAAATAAAACTGAAAAATCGGTTAGTAGAAAAGATTTTAAATAGTATGTTCTGATCAAATAGCGAATTGAACATACTACACTGTAACATAATATTTACAGTTAAAATTTATGTTTTTATTAAGTTATTGTATTTAAAAAATATATTTATAGGGTGTACAAGAGTGTGATAGAACAGCTACATGAAGGCATTCAGTGCAATACTTGTGCAGCTAGATTTACAATGAATGATCATGAAAAATATCGTGCGCACTTGGATTGGCACTTTAGGCAAAACAAGATGGAGCAAGAAATGGTTAAAGTAGCAAAGAACAGAAAATGGTTTTATCCTATTACTGTAAGTAATACAATTACCACTTCAACTCTGCATGAAAGTTGTTTTACATTTAGCTTTAAAAGTTGTTTAATAGTATATTTCCAATTTAATTTTGTTTTTTAATTACAATTAGGATTGGATTCAGTATGAAGAGCTGGAAGATACAGAGGAAAAATGTAAGTTTTTATTTTAGTAGTGCTAATTTTTTTGTAGGCAAGCCTAGTCTGTTGTCAAATCTACATTTTTTTCAATTCTCAGCACGAAGTGAGATATTTGAGCAGATGAGACCCAGCGATAATAAGCCAGCAATATCAACACCCATTAGTCTCAGAGCACTTGAAGGAAAAGAAGTAATTAAAAATCCTGTGGCAACAGGAGTTGAGGGAGAAGATGTATGTAGATTTTTCAGAATTTGATTTTACTTATTATTTATAGACTTTATATTCATGTTTATAGTGTTGTTGATTTTTTGCAACTGTTCTACCCTCTTATTGTGTTAAACATTTTTATTTAGAATAAGCAATCAGAAAATATGTACGGTCTACTAAAATATAAAAAAAATGAAAATGGATTGATAAGCATCTTAAATTTTTATGTATGGTAATAAAAATGCTTACTTTTTTTATCTTGTGGTGGACATTTTATTAAAATTTAATTTTAAAAAGAGCCCTAAAGGAGTCAATATTTCTCTCATTGTTTAGTTTTTAAATTATCTTTTTTTTATAAGGTATGTGCTACATGTGGAGATCCTTTTGATCAAATGTGGAATGAAGACACAGAAGAATGGATTCTGAAAAACACAATTAAAGTGGATGGAAAGGTATTAAAATATATTCTTAAAATAAACATTTAAAAAATATGAAAGGTAATATTGCATTTTATGTGTGATTTATCATGTTAAAGTAATATCATTTTAAAACTATTTATTTTCAGACCTACCACCCTGTGTGTTATGAGGATGCCCAAGAGGTAATTTATAATAGTTCTTTGGAGATTTACAATATCAGGGATGTGACTTCATAAGTTTGGTAGATTTAGTTTTGGGAAAATAAAGCTACTTCACCTGCAATCTCTGTTAAATAGTAATTGTTTGTGCTATGGCATGTGCTTTAGGCCTAGCATGTGTGAACTGAAGAAACCCCTTGATTATTGATTGGGGAAAAAAATATACCTGTACTTTTTAAATGCCATCAGTGGCTTATTCTTAAAAAAATAAGTAATATGGTTATTTTCAGGATGATTTATTTTTGGCTCATTTTTTTCAAGTATTATTTCTAAAATGCCACATTAAATTAGTAGGTTTATTCTAAATTAAACTATATCAATTAGTTAATATTAGGCCCTTGTACTGTTAAAGATTTTCATTAAAAAAAATCTAATGTCCTTTTTTTCTAAAATATAAGTATTTTTTTATAAGGCTTATTTTTGTTCATTATTGACATACATACAAGAGTCTAGGAAGGATGCTGAAATCACTTGACAGGGGATATGTTAATTTATCAATAAGTCAAGACTATTCATTACAGTAGTACTAAACTTATTATAATTTTATTACTTTACTCTCACTCTTTCAGTTATCATTAAATTTAATAAAAAGTGCAAATAGATTAGAGCCCCAAAGTCTCTTCTGAAAAATTTCCCTGATTTTATTTTCATTGTCTGTTCACATTCCTGAATAATAAATAAAAGAATAATCTTGAAGATCAAGGCAGATATTTTAATTTTCTATTTTTAATAGACTCCAACACCAGTGATAACACCCAGTAATAACCCACTGGACATTCAGCTAGCTGGTCTTGAGGCAACACAAGAGAATCCTGATCCTGCAGAAGCATCTATAACAAACATCAAAGAAGAACCTATGGACACTTCTACAGAGCCTTCAGATCTTCCCCAGGATGAACCACTGAAAACAGAGGTTAAAATGGAAACAGCTGAAGATACTGAAACTGTTGTGCCAAAAGTAGAGTTGGAATCTGTTTTACCTAACACTGTTTCTGAAGCAAGTACACATGCAGAGTCAACATTACACAGTTCAAATGAAGAAAGGACACTAGCTCCCACATTATTAAGTACCATAACTGAAACATTTGTTCGTGAAATAATTCCTGTTAGCCATGAGGATCCAATGTCCCCTTGGGAAATGGATTCAAACCCAACTCCCGAATTATCTCGTACACCAACCCCTGAACCTAACCCATCTTTCACTCCAGCTCCTTCATTATCTTGCGAGTCGATAAATTCTTTAATACACGCCCAAGAGCCAACAATATCTGAAGACCCCATACCATCTTCTTTAATGCAAACCCATACTGATTCACCTACAGTCAATCAGCCAGAAGTTGAAAAATTAGAATCATCCGAGTCTAGTCAAAGTAAAGTAGAAGTAGTGCCAGTAGTTGTTCAGAAACTGCAAAATAATGGTCTGTAATGTTAAAAAAAAATGTTTATTGTATATGCAAGTAATGATAACTTGTATCTTTCTTATAATCTGTAAATTCATAATTGTTTTTTCTATAAAATAATAATTTAGCATAATAATATGCTCGAATTATTAATGTGTAAATATTAAAGATGACTTTAAAAAGGGTCTGTTTCTACCAATGCTGGTACAAACATGGAGCTATGCTTCAGGTTTTCTTGTTTTATAGTTTATTTTACATTGAGCTCATGTCCTAAATATTGTCTTTTACATTCATCCATTTGTTAACTATTATTGATTTTAATGTATAACACTGAACTACTCATTTTGCCTAAGGGGCAATTTGTAACTGTTTGAATGAAATGTGTGAATGCTAAGTAATTATGCTGAAAATTTTATTTTTGAAAGGTATGTAAACAGCCGAGTTTCAAGAGCAATGAACTGTTGAATTGATAAATTAAAATTGCTTATGATGTGTTCACTGGAAGCTTGATCACAAAGACTGTGATATTTTTTCTACCAAAATCCTGTGACAATGGGACATTATATGGTAATTAAAACTATAAATTTTATACTGTAGTTTTGTTATACCATGTTGACTGCCTTAAAATGCATTGATTTGCATTATGAAATAATAAAAGAAAAAATAATGATTTTCTTCTTGTTTTCTTTGTGGGTTGTTATGTAATTTGAATAGCTTGTTTGACTTGTCTGCTAAAAAAATCATACTGTGCTGTATTAAGACATGTTTGTATGAATTTATGCTGGAGGGGAGTAACTGGCACATTTAATCTATTCCCTGATTGCACATTGGCTTTTGAGAACTGGTGTTTCAATAATTTTTTTAAAGAAAAAGTAACTAACATGTACTAGAATTCTTTAAATAATTTAATGGAATTTCTAGGTGAAATTTTAATAATTATTTTTTTCTTTCATTCTTTTGTTTAAAAATAAACTATAAAAACAATACTATACAAGTATTAAAAAAACCCTACAAAATAAAGCTTTGTAAAATCTTAAAAATATTTTTTTAACTATTTCAATCAAGCTTTTGAAAGATTTATTTCTCCAAAAGCTGTTTTATAATACATTATGCATTTTAATTCTTATTCATAGTTTCAAATTGTATTATTTAAAAATAATTCATAATAACCAGTTTCAATTTAATTTTTTTTTAAAAAGTAATGTATTATAGGAAATGATAAAACTGAGTATTATTATTGGTGAGCAACTAAAACAGTTGACAGCAGGTTGCTGTTGAATAACCAGAAAGATAATGTTTGTGTGCCGTATCTACTGCTTTGAGATACCCTTTATCATTAGTCACACCACATGCTCGACTAATGAAAACTGTAAATCGATGGGTTTATATTTTTGAAATATCAATAAAAGAAATGTTAAATTTCAGTTTTTTTTTGTTCCTTCTTTTTTTGAAAATGTGTTTTAACTTTGTAGATTGTATGATGATTAATAAAAAAGCCCAAGGTGTGGATTTGGCAATTTGTGCTGTTACTAAGGGAATACTGAAATTTTAAAAAGGGCTCCACATATAAATCAGTTGTGCAATTGCCTTTTCTGTATCATAAGGTTCTCATCAGAAACAAATTAACACTCGCCTGTGGATTCAAACGAGCCAGCTTAATTTTCTCATGCAGCCTTTTCTAAGCTCAAATTTCTTTTACAAATGACATTAAAAATATTTTTTGTGTGGTATTGAGCTAAATAAACAATTCAAGAAAATATGTAGTTAAAGAAAACTAACAGCTTAGACACTTTCTTCTAGAAAATACCTGAATATAACAAGATCACTCTAAATTTGTAGGGTAAAGCATCTATTTCAAGGAGGAAATGGCAGTTTCAGGATAAATCCAATATTTGAAAAAAATTCAAAACTCATTTGATGAGTTAGAAATAAAAAAAAAAAAAAACTTGTTCCAAACTTTAAATTATTAAATTTTTGCTAGCGAAAATCCTCTAGTGACAACATTTAAAATAATGAAATAAAAAAACCCAAAGACAAATACAATATTTTATTTACAAATGGCTTAAATTACATCAAATGAACAAATGCAGTACATACAAAGTATTAAAGCTATCCATCACCAGAAGCATGTAAACCATTTTATACAAAACAAATTGTGAAATTAAAATGTCAAGATAATGTCAAATTGCAAGTTAAAAAGTTTTTCCCAATCTTGACTCCACAAGACTCAAAAAGGGAAGAAAAAAGTATGGTGCTAAAAGAACATAATTCTATTACTCTTACTTAAAAATAGAAACACATCTTAGACTTAAGACATTCTAAATTATTATTATTTTTTTTTAAATAACAAGCTACAGAAATGAAGTTTGGGAAATACACAAATGAAACCACAAAAATACTGGAAAAAAAAAATCAAACCATATTGCACCTTTCAAAAACATCATAAAATACAATCACAACATTTACAATCACAGAGCTTAGAATATAAATAACAAAATAAGAAAGTATCATTTTAAAAAATGACATTATTGAAAGAGTCATTGGATAACTTTAATCTCTCTGGTTAGCCAAACAATTAAAATGATACAACTTTAAGCGATGTGGTGGTTAATTTTTAACTGTTCGCTAGCACTTCACCTTTTTATAATCAAAGCAGTTTCAGAATTAACTACCTATTTAATACTGATTGATTTTTATTTCTTTGAAAGTTTACATAATCTGACACAAATATTTTGAGACATACATGAATAGAGAATAGGATTTCTTTCAGGACATATTTCTCCTAGGGGGGGGGGGGGGGAGTGTGTGTGACTAAAGAGATGCCTGGATACTTCTAAGTATTTTTTTCTATTTTATCCCAAAAGGGAAGGAAAGATGCCTGAAAGAAAAAATGATACAGAATCACATTGAATAGAGGTGAAAGAATTTTTTTATTTAGGAATAATTCATTAATAGATTTATATTAAACTTAGATAACAAAAGAGCAAAGGCAAATGGTAAGCACTTTTAAAGATAAACTGACACAGATGAAGAATTAGTAAGGATTTGCCATTTTTACTCTTAGAAGAAAAAATAGGGTGAGATGGGGCTTACACTTATAGTGAACTAACAAGTGAAAACACTCAGATAGAATTTAAAATATTGAAACCTTAATAGTACACTGAATCCCCCTCTGCCTAAATGCTGGTAGATTAAACATCATCTTGTGCCATTGAGAAATAAACAACTCGACAGGAAAATTTGATCAAGATACAATAAACATTTACATTACCATGGTTACAGGAGGTAAACAACATCTAGACGGGGAAAAAAAGAGAAGGAACTAACATGACAACAAGAATATACAGCTACAGCAGTAGAAGAAATAAAAAACTCAGGCAACAAGTGGTACAAAATATGAACAAATATGTAAAAGGAAGTGTAGCTGACCATGTACAATCAACTGGAGTGGAAAGATCAGACACTTTAGACTTTCGATAATGGGAGGGGCTACCAAGCTTAGGATACGACAGATAACACTGATGTACTACATTCACAAGACACTATACACAAAACTACATAACCAGATTTTATAGACGTGACTAGATACAACACTGATGAAGACATTCCTTCAGGAAAGCAAAGTAAGATCAACTGTTATATTTGTAAAGACAATTATTGTAAATGATGGAATGAAGAAAATTCGGTTCATTACCAATAATTACACAAGGTTTTTTATAAGGTCATGAAACAATGTAACTAGTGATTTACAATTACCGAATATTTCACTTTTTCTAAAATGCAGAACTGGTAAAGTTTCCTTTTATACCGAAATATCCATAGAGCAGATGTAATAGAGCTAGTGTTTCTTGACCTCAGTGTATGAAGCGATTGTGTGGTCAGCATTATGCCCAGCCACTTTTACTTTCCCTAACGTGAGTCAGGTACATAGCAGAGCTGGGTGGATTCAGACACGTCCTTAATTCACAAGTCTGGACCAAGATCTGAACTCATGACCTTTAGGCTAGCTGTCTTTTTAAATGGTAGTTTTTTTTTTTAAAAGTCACAACTCTTCAACAAAAAAGGTACAAAAAAATTAGTGTTACATGTATGCATTGTCTAGAACACCCAAAAAATTATTAACATTGATTTATGCTAATAAATTTATAATAATAAAAAACACCCCAACAATGATAAATTTTCCAATGTGCACCTTAGAAATTACTTTGTATTAGCTTAAAAATGTGTTAATTAATAGAATAAATATATTGAATATTGAAACAAATATTATCTGCAACTGGTTGCCATTAATAAACTGTTAAAAACAACTAATCTGGCATAACTGTGCTACCTCATTAACCATGCTACTATATTTCTTTATGACTTAGTTGAACAGAGTACATTTAAATTGTAAAAATACTGTATTAGAAATAAAATATACAAGACCTTTATACTATCATTAACATTGTAAAAATGGGTTCAGGTGAGTCTGGAGGAAGAGTGGGATAATATTCTCTCTTTCAACCTTAAATTTAAATATGGAGCTAACAAAACAAAGGGGTTAGTATCTCTTAATCCTGTACCAACACCATCATAAGGGACCTATTAGCTACTCGTTTATGAGGAAAAATGCTCAATTTCTGTCTGCAGAACATCATATTAAATTTGAAAACAAAGAACTTAATATGCATGAAATACTCAAGAGATACCAAAATAGACTTGGTGCCAGACTGTAAGAAAATGTAAGATCAAAGCGTATCTGTGAACAATATCAGGAATGAAAGCAAATATTTTTTATTGTTGAAAGATTGACACAGGGAGACGTTTGATCCGAAAGAATGACCGGTACAATTGAAAATCATTACAAACATATAAATATGTAAGAATAAAACATGCTTTTATTGTCCATGAAAATACTTTTTGAAATCTATTTTAGAGTAAATATATCTGCAAATAATGTATTGCACTTTAATGCTTGTTTTTTTTGGAGATAGTCTAGATAATCTAATAAAGTTTATATTGTAAATAAAATTCTATTAAAATTCACAATAAGCAAGTTTAACTAGTGACTTTAAAGATTTCAAAATTGTATAATTCACGAACAGGTGACATTTTCAAAGATAACATGACAACTTCACATCACTGGTTTCATATCTACTTTTAAACTTTTAGATTTAAGTTTTTGAACATTATGATTAAAACAAAGCAATTCAAGAAATGGAACTGTGCTTTTTTTCTAAGCTAAAAAATGTATTAAGCAACAAAATGTTAGAACAGTTACAGACTTTATGGCATTTGCACAAAAAATTAATAAAGAGAAGAGTTAGAATTGATCAATAATAATTAGTTGTAATTTAGCTAAAAATATAGTCCAACTCCATTGGGTATAACAATAAGAATTAAAAAAAACATGCTATTTTAAGTTATTGTGCTATCCAGGCACATTGCATTTCTATTAAAAAAAAAGTAATAAAACTCTGGATTTCAAATAAGACAAGAAAAGAAATATTCAAACTACGAGTATAAGATTAATGTGTATTAAAAATTAATAAATGAAATGCCAAGTATACACTAGAAATACTAGAAAGCAAAAAAACTAGATAGAGGTAAAAGGAAAACACCCCAAATTACTTTAAGTTTTTTAATTTTCTTAAAATACCCACAAACCATTAAGGAATTTAGCCAACAGAAACCACAAAAATTGGACAAAAATTTTCTAAACGAAGTTTCCATAAAAATTACTTTGGTAAAACACATACGTAGGCAAAATGTCATTTGATAGTTTTTGAGTTTGAAATAAAAGAGTGCTGTTTTTAACAATGTTTTTGTCTTATGTTAATGGAATAAAATAAATGCTAAAAACAGTTTTGTGATTGCTCATCTCTAATTAATTAATTAAGCTTGGCAACATTTTTTAAAATAGTGAATAACTTTAAAATTCAATTGTAGCTATATATTTTGCTGAATCGCTCTGATCTTCCTGAAAATGAATCAACAGTTACAATATATATATAATAACACAACAAGTTAAGTTTACAAGGAATCGTATAATTTTAGCAAGCGCACTCTGATCGTTCCTCCGCCGCCTCCGAACTAACAGCAGACTGCAATCCTCTATGATGTGGACTTTCCCTTAAATGCACTGTATCCCTCGAGCTGTAGGTTGAAAAATGAACAGGCATCATAGGTTTGGCATTCTTCAATTTGTGAGCGACAGTCATAAATATCGCATCCACGTGATTGGCTTTGTCATCATCCTTGGCTGATGTTTCAAACAACGGCATGCTGTGCGAGTCTGCAAATTTCTGTGCCATGTTGGTGTTCACTGCTACCCTATCAGTCATGTCACATTTATTTCCCACTAGGATTCGGGGAATGTGTTTGTTCAGGTTATGGCGGTCGCATTCATCAATCCACTGGCTCATGTTTTCAAAAGAACTGATCTAAATAATTTTTAAAAAAATCATTAAAATTATATCCTTTGTATAAAAAATATATCACTACATTCTAGCTTTATTGATGGTGTTATGCATAAGAACAATCAATATATTACTATGACTATAACAAAGCAGTATTGATTATTTTTTTCTAGCAGTAAAACTTTAATGTATAAAAAATGACTATATTGATTTGTTTATTTGTAAAACCAACTGTATCCTTTTTTTAATCCAATTTTTAAATTGTATTTCAAATGTCATTGTTATTTGTGATTTTAAGTACTAAGCATATATCTGCTAATAAGTATGAGTATGTTAAATAGTAACTTCTATAAGTAGACTTCTTAAAAACAGAAGAAATGAAAACAAAATAAAAGTAACACCATAACAAACATACCTTAGTAATATCATAAACAAATATGACTGCGTGAACATTACGGTAGTAATGCTGCACCATAGATTTCCTAAAGCGCTCTTGGCCTGCGGTGTCCCATAACTGAAGCTGCAAGTGGAAATATTAGCAAAACATTTTAAACACAGTTTAATTTCAAAACTCAAGAACAAATTACTCAATTTAAACATGAATTCTGATGAAACAGTGTAGGTCCAATCATGATTATCTTGCTTTCAAGCAGTACAATTCTTTACACTAGAGCAGAACTAGGGATTAGGCGGTTTCTTAGTAATGAATTAATACAGAATTAACAATTATCTGATATACAATAGATTAACAATGAACAATGCAGAAAGTCTGTATTCAACGCAGGGGACAACAGATGCTCCTGGGATGTGAAAACTCATGTGGCATCCATTGCTTAATCTTGGCAGCATCAGATCAGACATAAAAAAAAAATGATTGAGTCAGGAGAACTATTAATGACATCAAACTTCTATTGTGGTTATGTAACATTTTTGGTTATGCCCCCTCCATTACTACAAAAAACTGTGATTGAGTGTTATTATAATGAACTGCATTATTTTTTTTAGAAAATCATGTATATGTGGATAGTTTTAATTTAAAACAGTTGTTAAAAATTATTTTGTGTTAACAATTTAAAAGATCAGTATGCTAGTGTATCTATACACTAGTTGTGTCTAACTAATCATCAATTTTAAAGGACCAAAAACTATACGAATAAGGAAAATCAAAGGAAATGTTATAAATTAGCAGTATAATATCACCCCACACAACACAATAAAACAAAAGGATAAAACACAACTCCCCCCCCCCTGTTTGTGAAATATAGTATGTGCAAGATCTCTTGAAACCTTAGTAATTTAGTCTAGTATACATTTTGGGTATTTCTATTTTTTTACTTTAAACATCAGTTAATTAGGCTCACTTTTATGTTAAAGTTTAACTTTACCCTCCCCCCCCCCCCAACTGGGGTTGTTGCTTAGTTTTAATTTTGTCCAAGGGGAGAAATCCTTACTTGGTTGAGTGAAAACTGCTGATCTTACTAAAATCTCATTAGTGTTTAAAGGTTTAGGAGACTACTAGCCATCAGTACCCTTTAAATGTGAATTATAATTTAAGTAAAAAAGTAAAAATTCCTCTTTAGACATAACGATCCATTGAGCAGATGAATTGGAGTTCATATGTTTCTTGACCTCAGCATATAAAGGGATGTGTTCAGCACTCTGCCCAGCCGCCTTTACTTTCCCTAACGTGAGTTAGGTACCCATCAGAGATGGGTAACAGAGGGGAAAGGTGGGGGGGGGGGGGGGGGGGGGGGGGGGTAAAAGTCACCAAAAAAGAGTAATGTCATTTATGGATGAACCCCCAAAATGTGTCCAGCTTTGAAAACACACCCATGGGTAGCCTTTCACACCATATTTTAAATTAAGATATTTTCTAGTTCTCCTTGTACTGATACCCAATACATTATTTACGAATTAACCGATCAACACATTTTGGGGGTTCATCCACAAAAGCACATCACGCTTTTTTGGTCATCAAATAGACTGGCTAAATATGCCAGAAACCCATTTAAAAATTTGGTTTGGAGAATGAAGGCTAAATTTAAAAGTTGGTTTCAATAGAACTTTAATAATATCAACGGAGTAGGTACAAAAAGGAGCGAATAGGTGAAGAACTTGGATAAACTAAAATGCAAGGAATGTTTGAAAGGAATGTATTCAATGTAACATACATAGACATGCCTTAGGCTCAATGTTCCGCAAGAAATGATGAATGTTTAATTTAGTGTGATTTTTCATTTAATCCAACATAATATTATTGATATGGGAGTTAAATAAGAAAGTAACAAAATGCACCTTAATGTTTTCACCATCAACATCAAGTTGTTTCTCTCGAAAATCAACCCCAATTGTAGCTTCTGTTTTATCCGGAAATTTACCACTACAGAATCTATAGGTTAAGCATGTTTTTCCAACGTTTGAATCTCCAATTACTATTATCTTGAATATTCTTTTCTGTGCCTGTTTTTCTAAAACTTTAACACTCTCTGCTTCTAAACTAGAGGGGTCAGTACTACCATCTGTGGAGGACGTTACGGTGGCAGGTTTCACGGCGGACATCGCACTGCGGTGTTGACTTTTTTCGATCTCTCTTTGTTCAGAAGACATCATACCTTTTAAATAGACATAGAATATAGAGATCTAGAGGCTAAAAATATTCTTATTATTTATGTCTTGAAATTTTCGTTAAGACCTAGCAATAAATGGGAAAGTTGAGTGTTGGGGATGTAAACAACACACTGATTATATTAGTCAACAACTAAACAAATGTAAGTCGCCATGTTTGTTGTGAAAATGACGTCACGTCAAATTTTATGCAATTTTATTTTTATTTAAAAAATAATTTTTTTGGCAAAAATATCGTTTATTTTTATTATTATATCCTAATAAATAAAAATATTTAAAAGTTATAATGAATATCAATTTCATTAGTTACATAGAAACAGGTTCTCGTGACAATCGAGATTAGAAACTTGCTGTTCCGCCATATATCGGAATCTGCACCTCGTGGGTGCATGGAAGTTTTCTTGTTTATTTTGCTTCTAATTTATTGAAATTGTACAGTAACAAGTCTTGGAAAATGCCGTCAAAGAACCCTTTACCCCCTAAAGAAAATGCATTCTTTAAACGCATTTTGGTAAGCTTTATAAAGCGTTTATTATTGTAACCCCCCACCCCCTCCAGTTTATTTCTGTGAAATTTTCTTTCCACAATACAGAAAATAACTTACTGCGTAGACTCATTTCACTTGTTTTTGTAGCAGTTTCCTACTAACTCGAGTTTTAGTTGTTCTTAAATCATGTTCCCCAAGCTTAGATCTAATCTTTCTATGAAAAGACAGTTGAGGTCGATAAGGTTAATATGACATTTCTCAAGAAAGAATGTCAGTTGGGTTCCTAAATCAAGTCCAGTCAGATCATGTTCCCTTTCTAAAACCTTATTAAATATTAATTAAATATTTATTTGAAAGCACGCAACAATGGTTAAGTCAGTAGATTCTAGATATCTAGATCTAAAAATTCTAAATCTTCATCTTATTACAGATCTAGATCATAGCGCTAAACATAAAGCAGGTGTAGAAGCCAAAAACTGATTTTTATTCCATTTGGCCTAATTGAATAGCCAATTTAACATCAAACATTAAAAAAGATGTTTTGATTCAGTCCAAGTTTTGTAAAATGTAGGCTGTATCACAGATGATTGTTGCCTACAAAATTTAAATATTGCTTAGCCTAGTCGTAGATTTTTCCTAAATCAGGATTAATAAATAATGACACCAAACTGGCTGGATTAATGAAAGCGAAATTAAGATTTTTCAATGATTGTCCGATAATGGAATCCCCTTTAAAAAAGGGGTGTTGGGTTGTTAGTAGTATTGTAATCTCGACTAATTTTAGGGTTAGGCGTATGGAAGGACCAGGGTTGGGGTTAGAGACAGGGTTAGCATTGACATTAACCAGCCATGTGTGTATTACTATTGTTTAGGTAACTACCAGTAACCTAACACCCCTTTTTTATAGAAGATTCCGGGAGAATGTTTATACCTGTGTCGAATAACAGAATCTTTTTTAAAAAAGGGGTGTTAGGTTACTGGTAGTTAATTAAATATACACATGACTCGCTAATGTCAATGCTAACCCTGTCCATAACCCCAACCCTGGTCCTACCATACGCCTAACCCTAATTTCTAACCATAAAATTAGTCAAGATTACAATACTGCTAACAACCCAAAACCCCTTTTTTAAATAAGATTCCATTATCAGACACCGGTATCTATAATCATCCAAGATTCCATTATCGGACACCGGTATAAACATTCTCCCGAATTTTTATTTAGGCCTAGATCTAGTGTTATTAAAACAAGATTCTAATAAAATTGTTGGGATTTTTTTGTCTGACAATAGCTTAAAACAGTGTTAAGTTACTGGTATCTTCAATAATAAAAATTGTATCTAGTTGTCTCTTGTCTGGGTTGATAGTGACAAATAACTTTAAAAATATGGGATTTTTTTAAGAAACCGTTGTCCAATAAAACTTTCTTTAAAAAATTGGTTGTTAGCAGTACCATAAACTTGGCTAGTTTTAGGGTTTGGCTTAGTGTTAAGGATAGGGTTGGCATTAGCAAACCATGTGTGTATTTAACTACCATTAACCTAACACTCATTTATCTGACACTGGTATAAAAAATCCCCCAAAATGGCTTGGGGTTTGCGCGTAATCATTTTCATCCAAGGGAATCCTCGTTGCGATAATTAAAACTTGGCATTCATCATAAATTATTCAAATGTAAAAAAAAAAAGATTTTGAGAAAAAGTGAACACATTAACCCATAAAGTTTGATAAACCTTTATATATGTTTGGGGTAGCTAGCCAGACGGTAATTCTCCAGTTATTCTAGATTTTCGTCAGTGAGTTCTTATTGTTTTAAACCTCAACTTTTATAATCCCTAATTGAGTTTGCATTTTACATGTGGTGTTTTGTTAACTTATTAATCAATATAATGAGTAATGAAAAAAAAAATGACATTTTTAATTTAAAAATTTTTAAGGCAACATAGGGCTAAACAAAATTCTGTTTTTCTCATCTCCACTTATAATATAGATCTAATAATGAATACATAATGACATTTTGAAATTCAATAGGCCTATAATTAATTATATAATTATTAATTAGGCCTATAAATAATTATTCATTTATTTTAACAATATACCTAGGCCTAGCACTTAAAATTATTTAAATCTGGATGCCAACCACATACTTAAACTTAATGTAAGTTGCAAGTATGTATGAATAAAAATTGGGCCTACTCTTTTCTGACATACATATTAAAATTTAAATAAATGAGATCAACAGTTAAAACCTCAAAGTAATGTTATCGAAATGCAACAAAAATCATGTATTTTTTTTTTTTTTTTTAAATTCATGTAGAAATGCTATGAACAGAAGCACTATAAAAGTGGGCTGAAATTTGCAAAACAGATCTTGTCAAATCCAAAATATGCAGAACATGGAGGTAACTACAAACTACTTATAAGATATATGCTTTTATTTATAATTAAGATTAAAAAGTTAAAACTCTTAAGATAAATAATAAGTATATTAATCAGTTATAGTTATTAGCAGATAATTTTTTTTGTTTTTGTGAACAGAAACTATGGCCATGAAAGGATTGACCTTAAACTGCCTAGGAAGAAAAGAAGAAGCATATGATTTTGTGCGACGTGGTTTACGCAATGATTTGACTAGTCATGTCTGTATCCTTTTAATGACTGAAATTTTTATATTGCTGTATTAAATCTTGACCAAGTTTTGGTGGTCCACTTGCCCAATAAATAGCGAAGATTGATATTACTGAATATTTTTAAAAATCAACAGCAATTATTCTTTAACTAACTTAAGGTTGGCATGTGTATGGTCTACTTCAGCGTTCTGATAGAAAGTATGACGAGGCAATCAAATGTTATCGCAATGCTCTCAAATGGGATAAGGTATAGGTTTAATTTACTTTCTAAAACACTACACTATTAAAGAAATCTTGTTTGAGGTATATAATTGAATATTTTTTTTCAACTTGCCTAATTTAGGACAACCTTCAGATCTTGAGGGACTTGTCGTTGCTTCAGATACAGATGAGAGACTTGGAAGGTTATCGGGTATGTTAAAAAGGAATTAATAACAATGCATATTGGTGAAAGTCAAACATATTTAAGAGAGAAATTCTTTAAAAATTTTAATTAAAATATTTATATTTCAGGAAACGAGATATCAACTTTTAGCACTGAGGCCAGGGCAAAGAGCATCTTGGATAGGATACGCCATGGCTTATCATCTTCTGAAAGATTACGACATGTGCCTGAAAGTTCTTGAGGAGTTCAGAAAAACACAAACAGTACGATTTTTTTTTTTTTTTATAGTTGTAAAAAATACTGCTAAAACCATTTCTAGGCAAGCCAAATTATCATGTTTTCAACTTTGACTTTTAAAGCAAAAATTTTTTTAATCCACATCAATAAAAATTGTTGAAATAGAAGCATTCTACAGGAAAAGTTATAGCTTATTATGTTAGTCTAAAAGTTTTCATTAATTTACAGATAATAATTAAAAATATCAACCAAAAACAGCGTAAAAGAAACAACCACTTTTCCTATTTAAAAAAATAAGCAGCTGTGCCAGATTTCTCTGTAGTAGTTACATCATAAATAAATCATATATCAAGAGTAAAGGGAGTTTGTATTTCAGTAATTGTATTGCCTGTAATTCAGTTTACCAAACCTAGTTCAGGTGCATCAGACATTATGTTGCAAGAAAAATTTCTGGTTTATTTGTATACAAATATTAAATACGATAAAAATGGCCCGTTGAGGAAGGATACAACGGGCGCTAGGTTGATAGTGCTGTCTATTTTCTCTGTACTTTAATTTATACAAAATATAGTCATAGGCATATCCCTAAACCATGCACCTAATATCATTCATGACAAAAGTCGCATTTAGAGTTTCTTTCAGGCAACTCTACTTGGGAGGAGGGGGCTTATAAATTTGCTTGTGTTTTCTCTAGAGCGTTCTTGTCAGATACATAGATAGATAGATACATAGACAGACAGCGAAACTATTATTATAGTTTGTGATTTTACAAGTAGTACTACTGGAACAAAATTAACAATTAAGTATTGTGAATTACATTTAATTTTTTTCTATCTTTTTTTCTTTTAGCCAAAGCCAATTTATGACTATGAACATAGTGAGCTTTTGTTATACCAAAATATGGTAATGCAAGAAGCTGGCATGAATGAAGAAGCTATGGAACATTTAAAGACTTACGATAAGCAAATAGTAGATAGGCTGTATGTGCAAGAAACAACAGGCAAGTAAAATTCATTTTTGGCCTCCTATTTTTTTAAATTAGAAATAAGGTCTAGTAAAAAGTTGCTGATAATCATTTTTTATATTATTTAAACTTTTCTGTATTACAAGAATATATTATATTTTTACTCTTGGTTTCAGCAAAACTGCACAATTCACTTAAGCAGCCTCAAAAGGCAGCTGAAATTTACAGAGATCTCATTAGCAGGAACCCAGAAAATTGGGCATACTACAGGGGCTATGAAAAAACTTTACTTCTTGGTAGGCAACTTTTTTCCCTCTTAATGATTGTACTTGTGTTAATTTCTATTGGATTGTATTTTACATTTACTAACTAGTCAGAAACCTAATATTACAGAAGATAAACCTGAAGAGCGCATGGATCTTTACAAAAGTATTATAGAACAGTTTCCTAGAGCAACAATGCCAAAACGTCTACCATTAGATTTCACAACTGGTAAGCATTAAGGAGTGACCTCTAGACAACTTTCTTCAAAAATGTTTTTTTTTTCAACAAAAAAAAATCACTTTTTGAATAACAAACATATTGATACATTAATCTCTTTTAAAGGCATACAAATAGCAATTTTTAATAATAGAACAATTCATAGGCCGAATAGAAAACTTACATTAACCTCTTTTGATAAAAATAGCCATTTTTAATAATAAAACAATTCCATGGCCTAAATAGAAAATGCTGCAGAATTAAGTTGTGGGTAGTAACAACTTTTTAATATTTTTTTCTTTACAGGAGATGTTTTTAGAGATTATATTGATGATTATCTTAAAAAGTCACTCAGAAAAGGAGTTCCACCTTCATTTGTTTCAATAAAATCTGTTTATAAAGATTCCTGGAAGGTATCCATTCTAATTCAACTACAACTATTGTATATAGAATTTGTGTCTAGCTGAGGTTCCTTACATATTTTCATTTTTCCACACAATTTATTAACTTTTGGTTTCAGGTAAAGATTATTGAAGATTTGGTGCTTTCATATGTAGACAATCTTAAACAGTCTGGGAAATTTGACAGTAAAGGTAACTTATTTTTAAATGCTGTCTTACAGTTGTTATGTTCATGTTCAATTTCATTTTAACATTTTTTTTGTCTCCTTTGCATCTTAGGTGATGTTGAACCAGCCACTGCATTGCTTTGGGCATATTACTTTTTGGCCCAGCATTTTGATTATCTGAATAACATTGCACGAGCATTTGAGTTTGTTGATTTGGGAATTGAACATACCCCTCTTCTAATTGAACTCTATGTCCTGAAAGCTAAAATTTATAAGGTACATTTTTAATACTTGAAATTTTTGACAAAGCAATATAACAGGAAAATTAAATTTTTACTTAATTTACAACTGTATTTATTTTTAAAAATTGATATTTATGTTGGGTATTTCTTCACATCTGTCAAATTTCATTTTTTCTTCAAACAGCATGCGGGTGATATGGATGAAGCTGTTAAACTTATGGATGAAGCTCAGTCTTTAGATACTGCAGATCGTTATATAAATTGTAAATGTGCTAAATATATGCTTCGTGCCAACTTGGTTCAAGAAGCAGCTGACATGTGTTCAAAATTTACCCGGGTAAGCTTTTATGAAATTGTTTTTTAATTTTCTGCTAGCTTTTATCTGAAGCTCTTGTAGCTTTATATAATCCTGGGTTGATAAGTAATATAAACGTAAACAAAAAAAGAAACAAATAGGGTTAAAAAAAACAGCTTTCTACTGAACAAAATATTTATTAAATTTCTACATTCTTTACAGAGGAGAAGGAACAGGCATTACCACATTAACAAAGTGCATTTCTGGTGTCAAGACTAACCTGATGCTTCAAAACTTTGTTTAGGAATAATGGGTTTTAAAATAGTTATATTATTTACAGGAAGGTATTTCTGCTGTGGAAAACTTGAATGAAATGCAGTGCATGTGGTTCCAGACAGAGTGTGCATTTGCTTATAAAAGAATGGGCAAGTGGGGAGATGCTCTTAAAAAATGTCATGAGATTGATAGGGTGAGTTTTATGAAATGTTCCAGATTAATATTCTAAAAATAAAAATATTTTGAAGTATATTTGTGTATATATGTAGCTTTAGTTTTTGGTAGGGTATCACTAATTAAAATGGTGAGTGAATTTATGCAATTCGTTTTGATTCCAGCATTTTACAGAAATAATTGAGGATCAATTTGACTTTCACACTTACTGCATGAGAAAGATGACTCTTCGGTCATATGTTGGGTTGTTGAGACTAGAAGATTCACTACGCAGTCACCCGTTTTACTCAAGAATTGCTCTGTTAGCGGTAGAGGTCTGTCATTACATTAAATCTTAACTTAAAATAAAAACTTAAAGAAATACACAATGTAAAGTAATTCATTAAAAGGCTTAATTTATTACAAATATTCTTTAAAAAATTTCCCCTTTCTACATTGAAAAATGTAATACTGTTCAAATCATTTTTTAATTTAGGTTAGCCACTGTATCATAAAATGATTGCTTTTCTCCCCAGATTTATTTACATTTGCATGATCATCCATTGACTGATACAGACCATGACAGTGATGTGAATTCAGGTAGAATAAATAATTCTTCACAAGAATGTTTTTTATCAAATTCATCAATAGGAATTAATCTAATCTTTTTTTGTAATTTAACATGAATTACTACTTTCTCTAAATCTGATCACAATGTTGATTTTTATCTAAGAAAACTTATCACCGAGTGAACTAAAAAAATTAAAACGGAAACAGCGTAAAGCACAAAAAAAAGCTGAGGTAGAGAGAGAAAAGCAGAAAGCTGAGCAGGAGAAAAGAGATCAAAACAAAAATAAAGCTGCAGATGGTGAGATGGATGGTCCAAAGGAGGAAGAGTTAATACCTGATAAACTAGCAAGGGTAAGTTTTTCTCTAATCATTTATCCCCTATTGTAGGTAAAGGCTGTTTCCATTTTTTAATATTTGTTCTGTATTTCACAAAATTAGTTTGATGCGCCTATTAAATTTCAGAGTATCATAAAGCTGAAAACAAACTTCACTTGAGTGTTTAAATTGTTTTTTTCTTTTTCTACATTTTTTTAAAAGACTATCACATTCTGAGCTTAATTTTAAACTTGCATGGCAATTTATATTTTTTTTACGATGATAATTATAAAAGAGATGAAAAATAAAATCTGTAAGTAGAAAATCATTTAAGAATGATGTTGATGAGGATTTCATTATTAAAAATCTGAAAACTAGGAATTAGACTTGAATTATCAGGCAGACACTAAGAAAACAGGCTTGCAAATTTGCTTTGATTACTACACAACATAATAGTACAATAAATATTTTTTCAATTTTCTGTTTATTTTATTATATAATGTGATAGTTGGAAGAGGTTAAAGATATGGTTATTTTTATAACACTACGCTTTATTTTTGACCTGTGTATTTTGCTTTGGATTCCGTAAGTGGTGATTTTTGTGACTAGCTTTAACTTTACAGACTATTGTTTTTTTTTTGACTTGTAAAGACATCTTTTGTTTATAGGTTGATGATCCATTAGAACAAGCAATCCATTTCTTGAAACCACTTCAGATGCTCACACCACAGTGTATAGTTACTCATGTAAAGGCATATGAAATTTTCTCACGAAAAGGTATTTTATTTAAATATAAATTTCTGTAAAAATTTATTACCTTACCTAGATCACAACAGTGAATAGTAAGACAAATAAAATTAAATTTTTTCTCATAGGAAAATTACTGCTGATGCTGCAAAGCATAAAGAGAGGTGTACTTGCAGATCGTTCTAATCCTCAGTTTCACATTTGCCTCATTCATTTCCTTCAGTATGGTAAGCAATGAGTTGTTTTTTTGATTAAAAACTTGGTCTTTTTAACATTACATAATTTCTACAATTACTTTTTTTTTTCTTTCTAAAAATTGTTCTTTTAGTGAAAGATCTTGGAGAGGTATGTGAACCTACTAAAACTGTGATAGATATAGAGATGAAGAACATTTACCAGGGAAAGACTGCTCTTCAACTCAATGAGGAATTTCTCTCTCAAAACTCAGATTCCTTAGAACATCGACTTGCCGGTAATTTATTACTGATTTGGCTTTGGGAAATTCTAAGTTGTATATGAATATTAAATATTTTAGTAATTTATTTAAATTGCACCAACATAAAGTTCATGCAAAAATTTTGAATTCAGGTGCTCGTATGATGTACAAACTAGACAATTCAAGACAAGAAGAAGCAATGTCATTAGCTGTAAATCTAGATTCTAATCTTAAAGGACTTTCAATAAAGGTAATTTTATTTGTTATGATTTACAATGAGTATGTTATGAAAATATTTAGGTTTCGAACAATACTGTTTCAAGTAAATATAATTAAATGCACGGTTTAAATTACAGAATTGCATAGAAGTCTTAGAATCCCTTTGTCGTGGAGATCTGGGTAAATGTGAACAAGAAGCTCTAGAATATCAAGCGAGATGCCACAAAATTTTCCCATTTGCTGCAGCCTTTATCATCCCAGCTCAGCCATCCACCTGTGGAAGTGGTGACTGCTCCACGGAACAAATTTTAGTTAATGGATCAGCTTTTAAAAATGAATCATGATGCAAGAGTGGAGTAAGTTATTGGATGCATTATTGAATCTGCATCAGTAGGCACCCTGTTTTTTTAATTGGTTTGTTTGTTTTAAATATCTAAAAGTGTTTTTTTTTTAAGAGGCTAATCAGATGGTAAAATTGCAATTGAAAGTGAGTTTTTCTCTTGTACATGAATATGAAACTAGAAATTTACGTTGGCAAGTTTTATTGCTACATACATGAGCTTTCAGTATTTTTTTCTAGATTTCATAATTTTAAATTGAGATTTTATATTTTTAAATTAAGCTAGAAATAATAAAAATGTAAGGTAAATTTTTGTACTCAGTTTTATCATTAAAAATAACCAGTTTTATCTGCAGATGTTTAAAGTTCAAATATTTGGGTCAACTAATATATATATATCTAGTTTTTACTTTATAGTGTGCTTGTGGTAATCATATATTTCACGCTCAGCTTTTTTACTTTGTTTTTATTTTAGCATTAGCAATAAATTTTGTTGACTAAGTCTTATTTCTGCGTCTGTTTTTGGAAACAAAATTAGCATCATTTTTATCATATCTTAGATACATATATATAATTTACTGAAATACCTGTAGTATATATGCTAATGATTCCTGATTGATGTACTTTGCTAAATTTAGCAAAATGCTTGACACAAGTTTCTCTGACAAGCAGTAGGCTTTGTCTTTTTAAGATCTAACAGATTTTTTACTGCTGTTTAAAATTAGATGTGAAAATTTAACAATGACTATCAATGCAACTATTTGGTTATTAATATTTGTGCAGACCATGGATTGATGCAATATGTTGCAACACTTGAAAATTCAACCATGTTTTGTAAATGCAAGTATAGTATAAGAGATGGACAATGTTTATATGACTAACACATTCAAATAAATGTTATATAACACTCTGTCATGCTAGAATTTTTATGGCAATATCTGAAACAGCATTACTAGTTGAAATAGATGTTTGTTTTGGATTGTAATATAACAGAAAGTATCTTTTGATCTTTAAATAATTTTGATGGAATTAAAAAAATAATTTCACCTATTTTGTGTCAAAATTTATCCAACTTAACAAGAAAATCAAATGGAAAGGGAGGGGAGCAAAGCAATTAATTTCACTTCACAAAATAGCATAAAACAGCTTTTTCAAAAAAGGCAAATTAATATCAAGCAAGTTTGAGAAAAAAATCAATTAATCTTGCAGGTTCTATGGAAAGAAATGGCAGCCAATGTACTGTTTTGCCTCTGAATTTAAGTTAGTGATTTTCTGTTACTTTTAGAAAAAATGCAAACACAATGCCCTCAGAGATCCTGTCAATACCATGCATTAAAGCTGCATTGTAGCAAAGGCCCCATTATACTTGAACAAATTTAATTTCAGAATTTTGTGAATAATTTCACAATTTCTAGTGCTTTTTGGTGTTTAAATTCATTTCAAGTTAAAATTACAGGGTGCATTGTGTGATAAGTTTATTTTTATAATATACTTCTAATTGAAGTGTTTGTCAGTTGATAGCATGCATGATTCATGCAATTGCATAATGTAAAGCAAAACATCAGCCTACTCATTCATCAATCATAAAACAACTTGATTTTTTAAAATTCCCATTAAACCCACTTTTTTTCTTACAACATGTAAGATGTCATAGAGTAGAATACAGAAGCTCCAAAATTTCATTAAAAATCAGTCATTTGATGTTAATAACTATCACTTATTTCAGTTATTATCTTTGTGGACATTTAAAAAAAGTGTTTGCTTTTTTTATTTTTTTTTTTACTTTAGTATCTAAGGATGCTTAGGCAATTTGAAAAGTTTGAAACACTTAAAATGTGTACAAAGTTCAATCTTTATGGTTTTGTTTAAGAATTATAAAAAAAAACAGTTCTGGATAATGCAGACAAACCCAAAAATGTAAAATAGTGTACATTTGAACTTTTTTTATTCATACACAAGATGTTTTATAAATTTGCTCCATGTGCAAGATTTTTGTATGTTTGTACTTCATGTTGAGAATGTTTGGAGTGTTTCTTTAGTAGTGTTGGTGACTTTTGAATTTTTGAGTGAATATTAATTTATCTAGAATAATAATTTTATATGCATTTGAGATTTGTGAGCTGTTTGATTTATTCGTATTATGTAAGCTTATGTAGATTTAAAGGTTTGTCAAGGGATGACAAAACTGTTAACAGCTTATCAAATACTTGCTTCTCATTTATTATGTTCTAAAAAGACATTTTATTTTGGTTTCAGATAGTGTTAAAAATAAGGTACTTCTTTAAATATTGCAATGCACTTGATTGCATCAGTAATACCTAAATTTTAAAAAATACCTAATTTAAAAAAAAAACACACCATAGTATAGTAGATCTACATAAAGCTGTTGCTATAATAAAATACCTCCAGTCATTGTACTATTAGTGACATTAAAAGTGTACAAAATAATCTCACAAAAACTTCTCAAAATGCATTTATGGAAATGTCTAAATAGGCTGGCTAAATTGTAACAGCACTTAGCAGGACCAAAGACAGAATACTATTTTGATATGTGAAAGATTTACTGGATAATTTATGCAAGTTCACAGTATTTTTTGCTTGGATAAAATATTGCTTGATGTGTACTTGTTTGATTTTATTGCCTTGTTCATTAATTCAACTGTCCCAAATTTGAATGATTAAAAATTATAAATAGTAGTTTTGTGTTTTTTCTCTGTTAAAGTTAGTCAAAGGGCTTTCATATTCATTATACAAGTGTGGGTATTTTGTAAATTATATGTGAATATGTAGACTAGGAATGTAACAGTTAAAATTCTAGAGATGCTGTCTAAACAACACTTTTATCAGTTTTAAATACATCTTATAATAAAATTCCCTAGCCACAAACTTTTTGTCTACAGCTATTTTTAAAGTTACAAATCTGTGCAACTAGTTCAGCTCAGCATAGATGAAAACATAAGTAAGAAAAATCACTATCTAGACAAAGCAATAACCTGAGCAAAAATATTTCTTCACTAATTTTATCATTTTAAAATCTTAATCTGTTACCCAATGTAAGAAGATATTTTCAAGTTTGTTTCATAACATGAACATCTTGCTTGAATACAATCAGAAGGACCCAGTAAAATTATTGATAGACAAGTACAAAATATTTAAAAAAACCATAATGGTGATTTGCTCAATAAAAAAAACTCAGGTTGTAAGTAGTTTTATATATATATATATATAATTAAATAATATACAATGTATATACAATCTATTTTCAATAGAATGCATGTTTTGTCAACTCTGTGTTGATGTTGGTGGCATACTGTTGAGTGATGAAAGAGCAAGATCTAGCCATTTCTGTTCTTGTTCCTGTAGACTTTCATTGCTCGGACCATTGTCTTGTTCAGGTTCTGGTCGTGCTGTTATAGGTACCTGAACATGTCAAAATAAAATGGAGTATAACATTTTGAAATCATAATTAAAAACTTGAACTATTACTATAAAAATAATGAATGCTAAAAAATAATAAAAGAAGTGGTTATCACCTCTTATTTTCTTAAACAGTAAGGTAATAGAGTTGATAGTTTTGTTTTTGTGTTTTATTCAATAAAGCCCACAATTTTTATTGTTAATATACGCACGACAGTTAGCTAAAACGAGGGTGCTTACCTGAATATCCTCCTTGGGCAACTGGTCAGCACGCCATTTCTCATCTATCATATCCATAATTTTTCCATCACGCTGATACTCACTGTCCATTTTCCTGCATAAGACAAATAAGGTTCAATTGGATTTAGTATTTTTCAGTTATGGAGTATACAGTATAGTAATATAGTTATTGCTTGGGCAGGAAAGCATTAAATAAAAGGTTCTGTGGTTACCAAATTTTTTATTCACCCAAAAAAAAAGGAAATTGTTAAATTGAAAAAGTGAGACCTCAAAAGCTTGATTTCTTTACTATTTAGAGATAGCTTAAGGAATATTGTTGTGGAAGGTTTCGCAGATTTAACTTTGAGACCATGCACTTGTAATGAGAAAAACGGTGGGGTAGGATAGTACTGAAGTTAATAATTTCATTACTTTGAGTAAAGAGGTAGGTCAAGTGGGTGCTATAAAATTTTTAATTGTTTCTTTATTAGGCCTGATATTAATAACTAAATTAAATTTCCTCCGTTTATGTCATAGACTTATAGGCGTTTCAGTTTCATTGGCTAATGAGTAAATGATGGGTCTAGGATAATAAGAGTCCAACATGGATAAAAAAGTCCAGACCGCCAACCAATACTCAATACTAGATGGCTAGTCTATATTTATATCAACAGAGAAGATTGATTGCGGTGGAACCCACAAGGAAAGGGCAAAAGAGGTCGACCAAGATTCATCAGATGGGTTACACCTGGCCTGGAGTCAGACGAGGAGTGGCCAGAGTACCCAGCCATGGAGTCAGTAGGGTCGCCAGGTGTCCAGTTTTGAACTGGACAGTCCAGTATTTGAGCAGACTGTCCAGGATAAAATAAATATAAATACTGCACAAGTATATGAATAATAATCTGTTACCCCCCTTCTTCTGCTTTGCGGCATACCTGAGAAGGGAAGGATGGAAAGGTGTCCAGTATTTTCGGAAAAGGTATCTGGCAACCCTATTGCTTTTTTATTAGTCAGCTTAAGTTTAAGAAAATCAGGTAATTTAATCGTTTTAGTTTTAGGATTTTACTTTTAGGTGTGTAAAATTAAACATTAAATATATTAATATAAATATATGGATATGGCTTCTAAGGTAAACGAGCTTTGTTGCATCTGAAGAAAATATCGCTAGTCTTTATTTATTATAATATTATTTAATAAATAATATTTATTATTGAAAAGTTTTAGGCCTAATTTTTTAATACAATTGTTTAAAAACAGGTACATTACCGGGGTACCATGGCATAAGCCATAAACTAAAATAAAAATAAACTAAAAAACTTGGCATTGCCGTAATATTACGGTAGTAATGATGAATGGCATAAACAAAAAACATTGTTGAAACTTGAAACTGAAACATTTTGATTTTTCACTTTCAAATTTTCAAAACATAAATGATAAAAAATTATAAATTTATAATATAATGATTATATTATAATCTATTCTAGATTCTAGATTTCTAGATCTAAATCCTCCTAAAAATGTGAAATAATTTATTAATTAGATCTACTAAAATTTAATGAGCCAAGTTATTTTCACATTACTATGATTACTAGCCTCGTTCGATTTTACGTACCTGATAGATTACCGATCGAAAAATTATTAAAATTAATAAATTTTTAAAAAGTGTAGTTACTGTTTGTAACTGTTTCCTTTCGTTTTCAAGACTTCCGGTTATAATCTAAATGCCAAAACAACTTACAACTTCTCCAAAGCTGTCAAATATAATAAAGAAAGTATTATACGGGCTTTACCTTTATTTTATGTCGTGTTCTGTTGTGAGGGGTTTATGACTTTTTCATTTAAAATAATTTAAATCTTGAAATTAGGCCTATAGACAATTTAAAAATAGGCCTATAGACAAGTAAAAATATTTAGCCTGAAGTATGTCGGTTTTAATTCGGTTAAAGGCTACATCATAATAATGTGGACGGACATACAAGGCCGACAGAGGAGAAGCTGACCTCGTTCCTTATTATTTAAAGAAAATAATTTATTTTCTATTTTTTAGTGCATTATTATATAAAAGCTTGTTGTTTTCAGTACTTTAACATTTTTAATGCGATAGAGTTGCATGATTAAAAACAATTGCACACTAAATGAACATGAATTGTATGTTGTTGGTCGGTAATAGAAGTGGTCTGTATGATCAATCGGTGTAGTCATCGACGCGTGACACGATTTGTGCGTCAAAGGTTCCGCGGTGTAGAAATATCATGATACCGATACGTGTCGCCCTGGCGCACTTTATTACTATTTTGTGCTGTCGTATTTGAACTATCATCGACCACGATCGTTAATTTTATCGTTCACAACCATCCGATCGCAAAGCATGAGTCTTGACCACCGCCGAAACCCTGAGACTGACGTACCGAACCCTGGGGTTCGAACCCTAGTTAAGAAACCACTTATTTAGATCTAATACGACTACGGAATAATTTAGAGAGCAGTGCTACTTTTTTGTATTATGTAATGGTTTAGTGGGACGGAGTGGTCTAGCGGTAGAGAGCTGGACTGCTAACCCGTAAGTCTCGAGTTCGAATCCGGGTTCAAGTCAGTAGACCGTCCCTGAGTCCACCCAACTCAGATGGGTACCTAACTCACGTTAGGGAAAGTAAAGGCGGCTGGGCATAGTGCTGACCACACTATCTCTTCATATGCCGAGGTCACAGAAACAAGTGAACTCTACTTCACTTGCCCCATAGACCGTCAGGTTTGAAAGGGAAACTTTACTTACTTTAATGTTTTAGTAAGAAAATTATTAAGATTTAAGTTTGATTCAGGATCTGCTACGTAAATGATTAATGATGCACGTAATTTTTAAATTAATAATAGGGCTGGTAAGTAGGTCAAAAACCAGTTCTACGGTTCAATAAACACTGCATGAGCCATATAACTAGTTGTTGTCCTACTTACCAGCGCTATTGTTAATAATGAATAGTTATGTATCACTTTTGAAGGCTAGAATGCTATATTTTATTTCAATTAACTAATATAAATATATTGTATGGCTATTCTCCGTCTAGAAACACTACGTGCTTTTAATACCTGTTAGAAGGCAAATTTACTCAATGTTATTCTATATAAACTTTATTTTAAAAAAACAAAACAAAAACTTCGATTTCTTTTTAAGGTATTGACAAAATAAAGTATAGGCCTATCCATATTTATTACAATTTGCTAAAACAGGTTTCTAAATTGCAAAAAAACAAACAAATAAACAACAACAAACAAACAAAAACCGGTTAAAATTCAGATACTAAAGTGTGACGTCACATTACCTGATTACCCCTCCCCCACATCACACAGTCACAAAATTACGAACTCCTATCCCTGTCATTTATAGACGTCATTTATTTAACTACACTTGAGGAGGAGTTAGCCGTAAAAAATATGCTTTGAAAAATAAAAATAATAAAGGTTTGCACGATGTAGGCCCAGATCTAGAATGTAGATGTAGAGGCTACCCGATTTCTTTCGTTTTATTTTGTAAATTACATTGGCAATAAATATGGCTGCGCCCATGTATCATGTTTGTCAACACTAACAGTCCTAACACAAACCACCATCGTCATTATTTCTTAAACGATTTGTTCGAGTCCAAGGCTGCGAATCAGCCAAACAGGATTGAGGCACTCTACTTCACTATAGCCTAAGTAAATATTAATTTATAATTTAGGCCTATGGTTTTAATTAATATTAATTAAATTTTTTATTTAAATTAGATTCTTTTGATTTGTTAGTATTGTTAGTTGTCAGTAAGTTAGTTGTAGTTCTACTGAATCTAGATCTAGTCTAGATCTAGTGATTCTTCTAGTGACTTTTTAAAAACTTTTACTACTTTTATTAGCCTAGGGCAGGACCTAAGTTTAAACTAAGTTAGTGGCCTAGCTAGAGTGTTACTAAACTAAAATAGTAAAAGTCAAAAGTAGTTGGCCTGTTTACTGTTTAGTTTTTAGTCTTAAGAAATATGAGTACTACTATATTAATTCTACTAGTCTACTACTAGTTAGTAGTACTAGATCTAGTACCTGTAGTAACTAAATAAAAAATATTAACTAAATAATTAATTAGGCTAAGAACTTAGTATTAACTAATACTATTTACTAGGCCTATACTATAATTAATTATAATAATTAATTACTGCTGATTAAGAAGTAATTAGCAATTAATTAAGTAATTAGGAGGCCTATAAATAGTTTAGTTTAGTAATGTTGGGCAATGGGGGATCGGATTGTCAGTAGAATAGATGAGTAGAACGTCGCTAACAGTGCTTAATATTCAATGGTCCAATATTATTTAGATCAGTAATGCCACCAAAGAAAAAAGACAAGACCAAATCAACAGACTGGCTGCAATGTTCTCTATGTGACAAGCTGGTTAGTCCCTTAGATGCTGAAGTTCATTCAAAATCATGTGATGCTGACCATGGATTCATTAGAAGAAAAATACTTTACGGAAAGGCAATTAATGTTGATGGCTTACTACTTAAGGGTATTTGAATTCAAACTTTATTAAAATATTTGAAACCACATTTTTATTACATTGCAATTTATAATTTAAATCTCATCATTTATATATTTTTTAAAATATTGATATTCTTTAGAGTTACCTGTAGTTGAACAATAATGAATCAAAATACAACTAGAGTTTTGAAACTTTATCATTGATTTTCAGATGGCTCTCTGGTGACCAAAAATGTTCGAAATAAAGAGAACATTGTCTGGTTTGCCATCCCAACTATGCAGGTCTGTAGCTTGTCCATCGGTCAGCCGTGCATTCTCAATGGAAAAGTCGTTAAACTCAGCTGGCCAAACCCATCCCAGGCTTTAGCAAGTGTTGCCATGTCACAACGCTGCATGGAGGAACTGAAGGTGGGGGAGGGAGATACAGTCACAGTGGAAAGGTTTTTTGATGAAGGCAACGTTGCACTGTCAGCCACGTTAACTATGGAGTAAGTTTAGTTGGGCTTTCACAGTGCTTGAAAAACTTATTTAAAGATAAGTCTTTTTTGTAAATAAGGATTGCAAAAGAAGCTGATGCTGATAGAGTATTAAAATACACAGAAAAGAAGCAATAGAAAGTGACCTTACATGGCTAAGCATCATTGATTCATTGTTGTATGTTTTTTTTAATGATTAAATGTGTGCTGACTGGGGTTGTGAGTTAATGCCCTTGCATTACTTTTTAGCCCTTCTGTTTAATGCCCAATCACATATGCATACTCTTTAAATCAATCAATCATCCCTTAACCCCAGGGGTAGTTGAGGAATCACAGTTTTTTCCATAATTTTCTACCATCTGTTCCAATCCTGTGCTGCTTTGGTAGTTCTGCAATGGGCAGCCCAGTCCAATATTTTATGTCATCCATTCACTGATGGATGACATCCCTTCTTCTCCCTCCTTGCACACTGCCTTGTTTTATTGTTTTGGATGTTGCATACTGTAAACAAACACAAAAATGATCTTTGTAAATAGCAAAATAATCTTCTCTGGACTACAGGGTAAATAACTGAGGTAATTGAGACCAAAAAGTTGGTCAGGGCTAAAAGGGTTAGTTTGCTTAAAGGGTGTTATAAATAAATAACTGTTGAAAATTTCTTTTAAAAAAAAAATTATGATCCTTTTATTTCATACAATTTACTAGACATTTTATATTCACCAGTGAATCAAATCCTCTTTTCTACACAGAAAACTTCTGCTCTTTTGTGTCATCTTATTTGGGTAAGTTGAGAAATTAATTTTATATTTAAAAAAAATTTTATACTTAGAATTTAACAATGAAGTCTTAGAGAATTTTAAGCAAATTTTAAAATTTTTACATATACCTTTTTAAAGTTACAGCAAAATAGTATGTGTCATATCATTTTTCTTTTCAGGTGGAAAATATATCTGTGATGGGATGCCACTCACCGTACGATATTTTGGCAACGTTTGCTCGTGTGTCGTCAACAAGGTTGAGTACACACCTCGGACCCCCAGGTTAGCGTCACACCTGACTACACCTGATTCTTCCGGTCAGACACCAAAACCTGCAGCTGAACTGGACCTGTCGCTGAGTTCTTTAGACAGCCCTGTTAAAGCCATCACCCCACTTGGTGTGTCTGATGATGGCGACACTTCTTTCAATTGCACGCACGACTTGTCGCAGTCGTTGGCTTCTCTCAACATCTCAGTGTCATCTATAGAATCCTCGTCCACGCCCCCTACGCCTGTCAGACCGTATTACCCAACCCTGGTCACCCCCGTCAGGAGTATACAGCAGGCGGACCACAGTCCCCAGTCAAACGTGTTTGCTAAAGTGTTATCTGGTAGTACAAGTTTCTCTGTGGCACCACTGGCCCTTGATCCACAGGGTAGAAACAACAAAGAGGCTTTTTCACTTGAGGATATAGGAGGTCTCTCCTCCCACATTGAAGAGCTCAGATCTAGAATACATCGAGGTAAGTTTTTTTCTTTAACAGATAACTATAGGCTTATGATACACATATTGTGTGTGCTGTGAATACATTTTAAATTTTGTCAAATCCAAATAACAGATTTTTCAACCAAAAAAAAATGTGTTTATTTTTGTGATTCTGTCATTTTAATAACAAACCAATTCAAACCAAAGAACATAAAACAACTCCTAATATTATATAAGTGGATGTGAACCATTTGTGTAACATAGCATATCCTGACTTACTGCCCTTTACTTTTATGACTAATTAATTGTACTGTGGGGACTAATGTATGATGGGATAAACTTTGAAATAGAATTTAAATTGAATGAAACTTTTCCCCCCATTGTTTTATTTTACCCCATGTACACATTCTGATTGTTAATTTGTAGTCAGTTCTTTTGCTAAATATAATAAAGTTTTATTTCTATTAAATAACTGTTTAATGTCAGTTCTTTTGCTATATATAATAAAGGTTAATTTCTATTATATAACTGTTTAATGTCAGATATTTTGCTACCATATGATGTATGTTTTCCCTCTCCCCCCCAGCCCAGCAAGCCAGTAGCTCAAGCTGTTGTGTCCTGATACACGGCCCCGCTGGTACAGGTAAAACAATGCTGGTCAAGGCGCTAACAGCTCAGCTGGGCGTCTACACTGAACATTTGACTGGCACTGATATCTGGAGCAAGTATGTTTCCCATAAGGCAAATTAATTTTTTTACATGTTAAATTTTAATTTAGGTTTGATTTTGCAACTTTAGTATGGACATCATTTGAATATTAAGTTAAAATAATTTTTACAATAATTGTATATGTATAAAGGTCTTTGATGTGGTCAATAGATTCTGAAGGGTGTTTTTTAAATTTTCTGTTTGAAAAGATTAATCTTTAAACGAGGTAATGTCACAAAGTGTGTACTTAACATTTTATTCCAGAATGTTTGGAGAAGCTGAATCAAATTTAAAGAAAATTTTTAAGACAGCACAAGACAGGTATGAAAATAAAGGTCAAGGGTCAGATTAAAAATAAATTCCTGGTAAAAGGTGTTGGTGAAATTAAATTTTTAGAGATGTGCTTTATCTATTATTTTCTTATAGAGCCCCCAGTATTGTTGCCATTGATGATATTGATGTGCTTTATTAATTTCTTATAGAGCCCCCAGTATTGTTGTCATTGATGATATTGATGTGCTTTATTAATTTCTTATAGAGCCCCTAGTATTGTTGTCATTGATGATATTGATGTGCTTTATTAATTTCTTATAGAGCCCCCAGTATTGTTGTCATTGATGATATTGATGTGCTTTATCTATTAATTTCTTATAGAGCCCCCAGTATTGTTGTCATTGATGATATTGATGTGCTTTATTAATTTCTTATAGAGCCCCCAGTATTGTTGTCATTGATGATATTGATGTGCTTTATTAATTTCTTATAGAGCCCCCAGTATTGTTGTCATTGATGATATTGATGTGCTTTATTAATTTCTTATAGAGCCCCCAGTATTGTTGTCATTGATGATATTGATGTGCTTTATTAATTTCTTATAGAGCCCCCAGTATTGTTGTCATTGATGATATTGATGTGCTTTATTAATTTCTTATAGAGCCCCCAGTATTGTTGTCATTGATGATATTGATGTGCTTTATTAATTTCTTATAGAGCCCCCAGTATTGTTGTCATTGATGATATTGATGTGCTTTGCCCCAAGCGCTCACAAAACCAGACAGGCCAACAAGAGCACAGGATTGTGGGAACTTTAATTTCTCTAATTGATGGGTTATCATTGGCGGTAAGATTTACTTAGAGTTGTTTTGTTGACGCTAATGTTCTAAAACAATAGCAATACTTCTTAGACGTAACTATGTATTTGATATTAATACAGTGTAATTTGTACATTTTTACATGAAACCCGTCAAAAGAGCGCACGACAAAAGAGCGCCGACATAAGAGCGCAGACAAAAGAGCGCCGACATAAGAGCGCCGACATAAGAGCGCAGACAAAAGAGCGCCGACATAAGAGCGCCGACATAAGAGCGCAGACAAAAGAGCGCCGACATAAGAGCGCCAACAAAAGAGCGCAGACAAAAGAGCGCCAACATAAGAGCGCAGCCAATTAAAAAAAAAACACACGTTGTACGCTAAACGAATATGACATGGTTAACACTTGTTTTAATTAAACAATCCGCGGTACGATAAAACGACGTGTTTATTTATATATTATGGTTAATATGTTATGAATGCAGTTTGAAAATATTTCTAACTCAAGTAACACTGAGAAGATCGAATCACAGAAAGGGAAGGTTATTGTATTGGTCGAAGGCTACAGATATCGAAAGGAGAGAATAAATGCTGATGGAAGTACGACATGGAGATACTGCAAGAAAGATGGCTGCCGAGGACGGATAAAAATGCTGAACGATGTTGTTATGTCATCATCAAAACACCATCACGCTCCTGATCCGGCTAAAAACGAAGCAGCGAAAGTTGTTTCGGCTATACGAAAATGGGCAGTGGAAGGGGTGGAAAAACCAACGCAGATTATACAAGCCAGAGAAGGAATTCTCGATGGAAGTAGCACCTCATTTATCGGCATACGTCGCTTCACCACGAGCAATAGAAAGACAGAGCAAACACAAGCAACTGCCATAACCAAATCCGCTGAACGTTTCAGAGATAACAATTCCTGAACTTCTTCAAACGACAACAAGAGTGCAAAATTTCGTCTTTTGCTATTCCGGACCGACTGACGTTTACAGAATGATGATGTTCGGAACAATGGATAATATCTATTGTCTACAGTAAAATGAACATTGGTTTGTGGATGGAACTTTTAGAGTTGCACCAGTAATCTTCTATCAGGTATTTACAATCCATGCTTTGATTAATAACAAGGCTCTTGCTATTTTGAATGTCCATAATCGTGTCGCTGAAAATCTACCCTGTACAAACAACTCAGCTGAGGCATGGCATCGCGCATTCCAACAAACGGTAGATTGCAATCATCCTTCCGTTTTTAATTGATCAACCAGTTTCGTATGTAACGAGATCACATCGAAATTGAACAGGAAAGTCATGTAGATAACAAACCAGATGCTTCAAAGAACAATTATGTTCAGCTGTACCGAAGATTGCAGGGAATTGCTTCAACCTATTCTAATAATCCAATGGTGGACTACCTACGAGGTATAGCCACAACATAGCAATATAAATGCAACTATATAGAAACGTTTTATTAATTTAAACTTATTTTCATTTTGTTACATTTTATTTCAGTTGATATTCTCACTTTAGGCCTAACATTTAAAATCTTTGTATGTGTTATTAGATTGCGTTTTGAATAATTGAACTTCACGTTGATTATACCAGTTTTTTAGTTAAAGAAACTGAACAATTGGTTTTTTAATGAAACAATAAATATTTTACATCAAACGATGCCTTCTGATCTGAGTTAATTTTCATGTTCCTATTTATTAAATCTGGTTTTTCAATCTTTAGTTTGCGCTCTTATGTCGGCGCTCTTTTGTCGGGAAATTAGTGCGCTCTTATGTCGGCGCTCTTTTGTCTGCGCTCTTATGTCGGCGCTCTTTTGTCGTGCGCTCTTTTGACGGGGTGCCGTATGAACCATTTACAGAAAAACAACTCCATGACTGTGGTCATTGGAGTGACCAGTAAAAAAGATGACCTTGACCCTGCCTTGAGAAGAGCTGGTAGGTTTGGCTGTGAGATCGAGGTTGGAGTTCCGACTGCATTACAGAGAAAAGAGGTTTGTAGGTGGAACACCTTGTCATGTGACAGAATTATTTTTTTTTACTGCTAGACTGCTGTATTGTCTCATTACTCTTTTATAAAAAAGACAATCAAAATCTAAGATGTTTGTAAGTTGCAATTGCCCCAACTTATTTAGGAAATGTATGTGATAATTTTGTGTTTAATATTATAGTTCATTTTAATATTTTTCCCTAAAATAGTCAAAAATAAATAATTAATTGTTCTGGGATTGTAAAAAAATAAAAGTGTTTTTTTAGTAATTTTTGACAGCTTTACATACTAACTTTGGCCTACAGATTCTCAATGTCCTGCTGAGTAAAATACCAAACAATGTGAGCTCTGAGGATATGGAGACAATAGCACTGAATGCTCATGGATTTGTTGGTGCTGATCTTGCAGCTTTAGTTAATGAAGGTAAATTAACTCCTAAATTTTACTTTATTTATATAAACTCAGAGAGCCAGAAATTTATATGCTTTTTTTTCTTTCTAGCATGTCTTCAAGCAGCAGGTCGTGATGTCATAGGTCAGGAAGTCACGGGTCATGATAGGAGCTCTTCAGCTTTTTGCTTGCGTTTTCCTGATTTAGTTACAGCAGCTTCTCAAATAAAACCAAGTGCTTTAAGAGAAATCCAACTGGAAGTTACTCAAGTAAGGAGAATATATCTATCACTATTTCTATTTAAACATCAGTTAATTAAAGTATATTTTTATTTTATCGAACACCAAGTGATTAAAGAGAAATTCAACTGGATGTTCCTCTGGTGAGGACACTATATTTAACAGTTTTTAAACATTATTTGGTAAAGACTTTGAAATTTCTTCCTCATACAGGTCAGATGGTCAGATATTGGAGGCATGTCGGAGGTGAAGATGAGGCTGCGTGAGGCGGTTGAGCTGCCGTTGAGCAACCCTGAGATTTTTAAAAGACTTGGTATCCAACCCCCTCGTGGGCTGTTGATGTACGGCCCGCCCGGCTGCTCTAAGACAATGGTGGCCAGAGCTTTGGCCACAGAGTGTAAACTCAACTTCCTGGCTGTGAAGGTAACCACATTTTCAGTCAGCACTGTGCTTTGTTTTTCTGTGATTTGACTACAGTATACACTTTGATGTTTCATTTGATTTTAGCCAAGGTTTATATTTTATTGTCATTTTAATACTTAAAAAAAAATATTTGACTCAGAGTTGTGTCCCTTTTCAAATTTTCTAAAAATGTAATTTTGCTTTACAGGTTTCACATTTAAATGTTCAGAATGTGAGGTCCTAAATTAGTTAATTATTCCAATGTTGAGATTATCTATTTCAAATAATCTCCAGGGACCTGAGCTGTTTAATCAGTATGTTGGGGAGTCAGAAAAAGCCGTCCGTGAAATATTCCGCAAGGCCAGGTCCGCAGCGCCCTCTATAATCTTCTTTGATGAGATTGATGCCATAGCATCCAAAAGAGGGAGGTAATGTTGTTTTTTTCTCTCCCTTGAATGCAGTGTTTTAATTTTTACTGTAATTATGTCGTTTAATGTAATTAACAGAATAAACGCCCAAAGGCATGCAATCAAAATATTAAAACATAAGCTTTGAAATTATAGAACTCTAGAACTAAATGAAGTTTGGACCTCAAAAGCTTTGTGAGAGGAACATTTAAAAAAATTGTTAATGCACTATTATATTAATGCAACTTGAGATGGGAGATTTGAATGTTATTTTCTGAATGGCCTGCTTTTAGTTATTTGCCTTTTTCTGTCCTTTTACTAGAGTCTTGTATATCACCTCTTATGCCTTGGGAGACATTGGATGCATGCCTAGAGTAAAATGTTAGTTATTTTTTTGTTGGTGCTGGCTTAGGTTGTGGCTGATCATGCCAATTCTGGTATGGCTGACTATACCACAGTTATTGTTGTTGTTGGTACAATTTGGGCAGATTTTTTCCTTCTTTCTTCTCTTTGAGGCTATCTCAGCTCGTTGGTCATAGTCTCTGCAATGTCCAGTCTTCTGTCAGCCGCTCCCACTGTGGTCAGTTCAGTCTGTTGAGCTCAGGTCCAGTTCACAGGCACCTCTGTAACTCGGCAGGAGTTGTCTCTTGGGTCTGGTACTGGTACCATTGATAAGATCTCCTTAGATCATCCCTTGGGTCTGGTACCATTGATAAGATCTCCTTAGATCATCCTTTGGGTCTGGTACCATTGATAAGATCTCCTTAGATCATCCCTTGGGTCTGGTACCATTGATAAGATCTCCTTAGATGATGTCCCTTGGGTCTGGTACCATTGATAAGATCTCCTTAGATGATGTCCCTTGGGTCTGGTACCATTGATAAGATCTCCTTAGATGATGTCCCTTGGGTCTGGTACCATTGATAAGATCTCCTTAGATGATGTCCCTTGGGTCTGGTACCATTGATAAGATCTCCTTAGATCATCCCTTGGGTCTGGTACCATTGATGAGATCTCCTTAGATCATCCCTTGGGTCTGGTACCATTGATAAGATCTCCTTAGATGATGTCCTTTGGGATTTGGCAGTTAGGCATGTGGTAGACATGACCAAGCCAACACAATTCAGGCCTACTAATTAATGGACATCCATAATTCTGCCCACTATACAAACTAGGGGAAAAATATCACACTAAGCATCTCAGTGTTATAAACTAAATTTAGGTTGAAGTTATAAGCATAAATGTGTTTTTTCTCAGCAATGCACATGGTGGTGGTGTAGATGATAGAGTACTCACCCAACTGCTTACTGAGATGGATGGTCTGGAGTTTCTCAAAGATGTTTTTATAGTGGCTGCTACTAACCGGCCAGATAAAATTGACAGGGTCAGTGGCCAATTTCTGTTGACCCTAACAAGACATCACTTATTTTAAGTATCTTTTGAAAACTAATAATTTATCCAAATACTTTTTTTTACAAGCTTAGTTCTCTCTGAAGTTGTTGTATTTTGTTTATCTAATTATGAACTTGCTAATTAAAAATAATTTCATCCTTTACAAATATAATTAAATTTTGAGTAGGATATTTTATTAAAACAAGCCACATATTTCTGTAGGCTTTACTACGGCCAGGCAGATTTGACAGTTTGGTTTACGTTCCACTGCCTGATGATGAAACACGTAAAGAAATTTTAGAGAAAAAACTGAAGAAGATGTCTGTAGGGGAAGATGTGGACATCAACTTACTGGTGGAGGAGACCCAAGATTACTCGGGGGCCGAGGTAAGGAAGTCTTCACAGCAATCATGAGGTCAGGGGTCACTCAATTTACTATTCACATTTCTTTTTCTTTTACCAACCTAATATATTTTTCTATCAACATTTTACAATAATACACTTTATGTATTATGCTTGATGTTGGTTAAACATAAACTAGAAACTGTAATCAAGGATACAAACATGAGTTCATGGTAAAAAATAGTTACTTTTTCTCACACGTTGATCTATAGGGGTGGGTGAAGTAGAGTGTTTACTTGTTTCTGTGACATCATCGGTTTATGAAGGGGATAGAGTGGTCAGTTCTATGATTAGCTGCCTTTACTTTTCCTAAAATCTCAGGTACTTATTAGAGCTGGGTTGGCTCAGGGACATCCTACGGATTCAAACCCAAAATCCGGATTCAGAATCCAAACTCTAGGTTCTTGGGTTAGCAGTTATGCACACCATATGAATTAAAGTTGCCATCATTTTTGACTTTATATAAGCAATTTTAAAATGTCAGTTTCATCTCTAAAATTAAAAATGTGATTTAAAAAAAAAATGTAATCTTTTCCCCAACTTGCAGATCATACAGGTGTGTCAGGAGGCGGCCATGTTGGCACTGAGAGAAGACTTGAACGCCCAGTGTGTCCTGGCCAGACACTTTAGCTCAGCTCTACACAAGGTCCAGCCTCAGATAGACCCAGATTTAATACAAATTTATCAGAAATTTGCTTTCTCAAAAATAAAATAACATGTAAATCTTATATGAATTTATATCTTGAATTGAATTAGTTTTAATTTAAAAATAATTAATTTAACACACTGGTGTGTTGCAATCTAGAACTAGTTTTATTTAAAAATAATTAATTTAACATGCTGGTGTGTTTATATCTAGAACTAGTTTTATTTTAAAAATAATTAATTTAACACGCTGGTGTGTTTATTTTGGTTTTAATGCCAACAGCTGACAGTACAAACAGGAAGTGAAAGTCAGGATTTAAGCATAAATGTTATCAAACATCATTGATTTCATGCATGAATTATTCACAATTCAACTCCCCTATTTCATTTAAAAAGTTTAGTATCAAATACAACATTCTAAAGTTCAATAATTTCATTCATAAGTCATGTGATATTGCTCAACCAATCAAAAAGTCCATACACAGTTCTTGTATAGTTTTCCCATCCAATCCAACTTTTTGAAAAAACTGAAATTCAAGTTTTTAAAGAAAGAAAAAAACTGAAATCCAAGTTTTTAAAAAACTGTGAGCAGTGCAAACACCCCATAGACTAGAGCACAAGGGTAGGCAACCAGCAGCTGTTGGCTGTCCATACGTAGGGCGGAGACGAAAAGCTTTGAGGCCGACATACTGCACCATGCCACTGTCACGGTCACTAGGACCAGCCCAGCTATGCCACTGTCAAGACAGGCAAGGTCAAGGTTGTTATTTGCTCATGTTATAAACATTTGAAACATTTTATGTACATTTAAAAAAAAATTTCCTTTGAATTTAAGTTGAAGCTTCTGCAATTTATGAATTTTTAATGAATTTTGAAAATATCAGTGAAAAAAAACTTTAAAAAAAAAAAAAACTTAAATTATTTTCAAAACTTAAAGACAGCCAACACATTTAAAAAAAAAACCTCTCCATGCCACAAAATTGTTTAAAAATTTCCCAAAACATAAAATTTTCAAAGACCAAAAATATTCTTTCTTACTGGAGTAAGAAACACTATTTTTATTTACTTCTAGACCTTAGTGTTTGACCTAGGTCAAACGGGAACCAACCACTTGCTTACCACCTGTGCATTTATCACACTGTCAACCATCTGACCCCACACATGCAACCTTCTGACAACCCCAGAGTCAACCTTCTGACAACCTCACACAGTCAACCGGACAACCCCACACAGTCAACCATCTGACCTAACCCCACACATCCAACCTTCTGACAACCACACACATCCAACCTGACAACCACACACATCCAACCTGACAACCCCACTGTCAACCATCTGACCTAACCCCACAGTCAAGCATCTGACCTAACCTCACACATCCAACCTAACCCCACACATCCAACCTAACCCCACACATCCAACCTTCTGACAACCACACACATCCAACCTGACAACCCCACAGTCAAGCATCTGACCTAACTCCACACATCCAACCTTTCTGACAACCACACACATCCAACCTGACAACCCCACAGTCAAGCATCTGACCTAACCCCACTGTCAACCATCTAACCTAACCCCACATCCAACCATCTGACCTAACCTCACACATCCAACCTAACCCCACACATCCAACCTTCTGACAACCACACACATCCAACCTGACAACCCCACAGTCAAGTATCTGACCTAACTCCACACATCCAACCTTCTGACAACCACACACATCCAACCTGACAACCCCACAGTCAAGTATCTGACCTAACTCCACACATCCAACCTTCTGACAACCACACACATCCAACCTGACAACCCCACAGTCAAGTATCTGACCTAACTCCACACATCCAACCTTCTGACAACCACACACATCCAACCTGACAACCCCACAGTCAAGCATCTGACCTAACTCCACACATCCAACCTTCTGACAACCACACACATCCAACCTGACAACCCCACAGTCAAGCATCTGACCTAACCCCACTGTCAACCATCTAACCTAACCCCACATCCAACCATCTGACCTAACCTCACACATCCAACCTAACCCCACACATCCAACCTTCTGACAACCACACAGTCAACCATCTGACCTAACCCCACAGTCAACCCACCCACATAAGTTCTCTGTTTCTCCCCCCCCCCAAAACAAAAAAACAAAACTTACTTGAGAGACAAAACGACAGACGAGAAGGAGAGGAAGACCATGGGCAGCAGGCAGTAGCCCAACACGCTGATGATGATCCCGACAGACACGCCCCCCAGGCTCATCAGGTTGAGCAGACAGTACATGGCCAGACAACCCACCAACCCGATCCCGTAGATGTAGCCAAAGTGGATCTTGCCGGTCTGGGGATTGAAGGATTGATTAGTACAAGGTTATAAGTCACAGTGGTTGTCTGGGGATTGAAGGATTGATTAGTACAAGGTTATAAGTCACAGTGGTTGTCTGGGGATTGAAGGATTGATTAGTACAAGGTTATAAGTCACAGTGGTTGTCTGGGGATTGAAGGATTGATTAGTACAAGGTTGTACACAAGTCACCGTGGTTGTCTTAGGATTTTTTGTTATATCTTGTTACTCAATTTTGACCCGATTCTAATGGAGCAATATCAATCAAGTTTTCCTGATAAGTGATTTCCGATGACAATGCAAAAATATCCAATTTTTAATATTAGATGTAGTAAAATAAAAGCGTTATGCACTAAAATGTATAGAAAATATACTTCTAGCTGTTGTACGGCAGTCAAATATTGAGGTCATTGCAGAGGCGTAGCGACCCTTCCCGCGCCCGGAGACAAACTTTCGATTTGCACCCCCTCAAACTTTCAATTTGTTTTTCCAACTCATTTTGGCGCCCCCCTAAGGTCGGCGCCCGGGGACATATGTCCCTCCCCCCCCCTACGCCTCTGCGGTCATTGTTATCACTGGGAAGAATGGAACTGTTGTAGGTCATTTGACATAAAACAAGGAACAGACAGGAACAAAGGACCTAATGGTAAAATAGCTACACCCCCCCTGGGTCAAGTATCAATGGACTAGGTAAATAAATGACAATCTCTACTTTCTTTTATGACGTTCTGACACTCGTTTTCAGCTACCTATCCTTATTACTAAATTCGACAAAGGGCCAGCAACTCGTTTAGAATTATCTACCCTTGCGCTACAGGGTACACTAACATCTCAGCACTAAAAAAAAAATCAAACCACTCTCTGTTAAAATTGACTGTAGTTTTTGACATGAGAGTTGAACGAAACTTCTGTCTATTATCTGCCCCACTCTCATTTACCCCAGTCATAAGGAACTCTCTGTCCCTCAATGGGTCAAACGAAATTCAAGATGTCTGGAGCTCATTAACACACAGACACAAAAAAAGAAACTGAGAGCTTTCATAGTTTTGTTTCGACAATTAGCCTCATTGATAAATTTATTCACGTGGAGTCGGAATCTGTATGAGTCTGAAATTCTGATATAGTTTTAACTCTAGCACAGTGGTTCTTAACCTTTAAAGAGGCACGGAATCCCTCCAGTTTCATATGCGCATTCACCGAACCATTCTTACTAGTTCTATCGTCTACTGACTAATTCCGATCGTGAATCTTAGGAGTCAGATGTGTGTCTTGACCTCTTCCGAACCCCTGAGACTGACTCCCCGGGGTTCGATAGAACCCAGGTTAAGAAGCACTGATCTAGGCGAGGAAGCTGCTGGATAATTGTGTGATTAAAGCTGTGAAGGATTCACGTAGCTGGATATATTTAATGCTCCAATTATTGTATTAATGGTCGGACGTCAAATATTTGAGGGCTGAATGTACATACGTGACGCTATGCTATATGAGGGAGGTGGGGGGGGGGTTATTAAATGTATATAACCAATATAAAACCTTGTGAGTGGGGAGTCTGTATTTTTGTAGCATGATTTTACTACAGCAGTTCACAAGAGAGATCAGGCTTGTTTTTTTTTTATTAGTCTTAAATAATAATCAAGTGACCACCAACTGTCCATTAACCAACCAACCATCAACTGACCGTTAAAAAACCACCAACTGATGCTCATCAACCACAACGAACCATCAACTAATGACCATCAACTAACTATCAACAAACCACCGATGACCATCACCTGACCACACGCGAGACACCACCTACCACACCACCTACCACACCACCTACCACACCACCTACCACACCACCTACCACACCACCTACCACACCACCTACCACACCACCTACCACACCACCTACCACACCACCTACCACACCACCTACCACACCACCTACCACACCACCTACCACACCACCTACCACACCACCTACCACACCACCTACCACACCACCTACCACACCACCTACCACACCACCTACCACACCACCTACCACACCACCTACCACACCACCTACCACACCACCTACCACACCACCTACCACACCACGCCAGCAGACATTGCTAGTCTGGCACCAAGGACGTGGGAACTAACACACCGGCCCTCCGTGAGATCTCGTCACAACGAGAAACTCAGCCCACTTGACAAGCCCACATCACAAACCCACATTACTAACCCACACTACAAGCCCACATTACTAACCCACACTACAAGCCCACACTACAAGCCCACATTACTAACCCACACTACAAGCCCACACTACAAGCCCACATTACTAACCCACACTACAAGCCCACATTACAAGCCCACATTACAATCCCACATGACAAACCCACATTAGAAACCCACCATCACAAGCCCACATCACAAGCCCACAACTCATCTGGTACCTGGCCAGCACGCGCCAGATAACACAAACAAATCTTATCTGAGCAACCCACGTGATACCCGTATGACCTAGATCTTTTCTCACCTAGGTTTCAGTTACTTTGACCTATATAGTTCCCAAATCACCGGGGAATTTCCGATAGCACCGTGAGAAGGTTTGAATGTACAAAATAGTAAACTTTTGTGAATGGTGGTTTTTTTTTTTAAATAATATTTTGTAGAAAGTTCCATTTGTAATATTTTGTAGAAGGTGTAAAATAGAATGGCAGTCATAAAATTAATTTGTAAAAGTGGCAGTATAAATAAATCAGGAGCTAGCTCTTGATCACGCCCCCACCCACTTCATGTAAAAAAAGAAATGTAATCTATTTAGCAGAACCGCTCCAATAATGCCAATGTTCTGCATAATATAGTGCAGTGCTTGAGACATTCTCGGGGAGGGGGGGGGGCACTTAACTTTCGGAGGTGGACGGAGCGGGACATAGGTTAAGTATATATTTATATGTAGATTAAATTAAATTAATTTATTCGGGGTGGGGGTGAGGTGGGATCAGTGCCCCCCCCCAAACCCTAAAGAGGTGCCTGAAAGAAACCCTTATATAGTGCCGACCCAGCTTACTATAGACTCTAGATTTCCTCAGTTTAATACAGGATGTATATAGATCTAGTGCAGCACTGCAGAGCGACAAAATGCTGACTAGTTTTTCAGTAAGAACGAAAACTTAAAAAAAAAAAAATTTTTAACCCCCCAATCTTGGCACCTCATCAAAGTGTAATCGTTTCTTAACGTAGGCGAGCAGGTGATCCAGGTTTTCTTTCAATTTTCGTTTATAAATTTAAATTGAACGATATTTATCTCCCTTGAAAAGTCTGCTTCACACTTTGGTAAAAAAAAAGTTTTGATTTGAAAAAAAAATTAGTCCGGGACAAGTTGTCTCCCATTGGAGTTGTGTGTATGTTTGTGAGTTGTTGATTTTGGGTGAAATTTGAAAAACTTTAACGTTCAATATGAGGAACAATAAAGTGGTTATAATTTAACTGTAACTTTCTCGTCTAATACTACTAGAAATCGTGTGCGGTATGATGGCTTAATGATTAGGGAGGGGGGGGGGGGGGAGGGGGGGGAGGGAGGGGGGGGGGGGATAATGCCACCCTCGGTAGCTTGTGTGCAGTGTAGGTGTAAAGGTTAGCGAGCTATGATGGGATATCTGGGGGCGATAACCGAATCTCGTCCTGTTTTATTTCGTGAGGGTTTTGTGTCTGATTTAGAAGTCTTCCTTTGAAGGTCTGCATCAACTCTCCAAAAGTAGCGAGACCGAAGTTTAAAAACTCACCAAAAGTAGCGAGACACTAAAGTTTAAAAACTTACCAAAAGTAGCGAGACACCAAAGTTTAAAAACTCACCAAAAGTAGCGAGACACTAAAGTTTAAAAACTCACAAAAATCGCGAGCTACCAAATTATAAATACTCACCAAAAAAAAAAACTCAGCAGAAGTAGGGAGTCTCCAAAATATAAAGAATTCACAAAAAAATCGCGAGCTATCGAAGTTTAAAAACTCACAAAAAAGCAAAAAAAAAAAAAAAAAAAACCCCGCGAGACACCTTAGTTTAAAGAAAAATAAAACTCACCAGAAGTAGCGAGCCACCAAAATTAAAAAAAAAAAAAACTCACCAGAAGTAGCGAGTCACCAAAATTTAATGAACTCACAGATAAATCGCGAGCTATCAAAGTTTAAAAACTCAGAAAAAACAAAACGCGAGACACCTTAGTTTAAAACAAAAAACAACTCACCAGAAGTAGCGAGCCACCGAAGGCCATGCAGAAGACCAAAGGACCGGCTAGATCTGTGTCCTGCATGATGGATTGTTCTGCCGACTTGAGGGGGTTGAGCACGGCCAGCGTCTGGGGACAAACACAGTGGGTAGATACAAGCTTGAAGATGATATCATTCTTACAGTTATCTGGTTCAATGTTACGGTTAACTGTATTGTTATAGATCATCTGTTTCAAAGTTAGAGTTTATTGTTGTAGTTAACTGGATCATCTATATATATAATTCTCTTCTGGGATCAGTTAGAAAACAAGCTGCAAGCGCGCCTTTGCAGTCCCCTCTCTTCCTCTCTATCACTATCACTACCACCCCCACCCCACCCCCACATGATCTGGTGAGCGGTGTTCACTCTGTTTACATTTTACAATCACGGAGACGGGTTTGGTGACGGCTATTAGGGGCAGATAATTTAGTTTGAAACGATTTTAAACTTAGAGGAGGTAACTAAGAGGAGGCTGCTTTCACGTGGGGAGGGGGGGAGGGTAGTGTTTTTAAGCAAATATTTTCAATGGCAGCATTGGTACTGTCGAATTCACAAATTATAAATTACTGAAAAGTAGAAAGAAAAAAAACAACTAAATAGCGGCGTATGATACGCAGCGGGTCGGCTCGTTGTAATAGTTCAACGTTTGGCATTATTGTAAAAAAAAAAAAAAGGATTAGTTGATATACATAGTGGGTTAGATTTTGGGTTAGGGTGGGGATTAGAGTCTTAGTTTATAGAGTTTTTAACGTTTGGGTTGGGACTGGAGTATACATGTATAGAGTTTTAATGTGTGGTAGTTAGTGTTTGAACCAGCATTACTGAAGTTTGGTGATTTTTAATTTTTTTTATTGAAGTATTCAATAGAGCTAGACAACTAACCCGAAAGTCTCGAATTCGAATTCGGGTTCAAGTAAGTAGAATGTCCCTGAGTCCACCCAGCTCTGATGGGTACCTAACTCAAGTTAGGTAAAACAAAGACAGCTGGGCATAGTGCTGACCACACTATCCCTTCATTACACATTGTTTTGCGCCATTTAAGCCGTTGACTCCGATTTCAGCCTGCTTTTCTTTGTCCAACTAAGAACAAACTACACGGCTGCAGTTGTTCGAGCCTCATCTGCCCGGGGGTTCGAACTCCGGACTTTTCGGTTTAGCTTTATTTCAAGAAGTTTTGGGCCACCTCATTCTTTTCTCCGTAGATACAAAATGCCACAATGCTAGTAACCCCCCGTCCCGCCCCAAAGTCCACTTCATCACAAAAGTGCATGGGGAAAGGAAGCAAGAGGATATTTCACTTTTGAAAGGTTTATTTATTAATGTCGTTATAAAAAAAAAAAAAAACTTTTTGTTCTTCCTAACTCAAGGCTAACTTTAATGTTTAGACTTGCTGAACGTTTTTTCAGTCTTGCATCCACATTTAGCTAAAGCAACTCACATGCGATTGCTCAATAATACCCCCCCCCCCCCCCTCCGACAATTGAATACAAAGAAAAAAGAAAACAATGACATTTTCCCCTTTTTCTGAACAACTGAAGGCCTCAAAAGTAATGGGAAGGTAATCCGCCGACCCGACAGTTAATGCCCCTTGATCAGCTCACAACATTTGATCTGATATTACTTTACATAATGGCGATGCGCATGCGCAGGTAAAAGTAAACTTCCCCCCATCAAGGGCCGGTGTTTACCTTCGTCCCATTCTCACGGCCAGGAAGCCTCTAAACACGGCGCTTTACAAAAAAACAAAAACAGACAGGGAAGAAAGAGATTGTGTATGAAAATGTGAAGCAGACAACGCATTTTGTCTGCACAAAGAACTAGGCTACAACTTTCATGTTGATGTAAGGTCTGATCGATGCCGTGGGTGTTAGCATATGAAGAAATATTGCTTTACCGTTACTACTGGAAAGAATGGAGCATAGCCTACATATACAGTAAATGCACACACTCTGATACATATTCAAACGTGTGTCTATATGGGCTTACTAGAGATAGGCCAATGGACGCCAGCGAGAAAAGTCTCAAAGGTATTTGAGAGGTCCATAAATTAATTAAAAAATCATGCACGGCGTAGTTACAATTAATATGGTTATAAAATCCTGTCTGTCTGGTTTTTTTCGGACTTTACTAAAGATTGGATGTATCTGATGTTTTTAATATTTTCGGTAACTAAATAAAAAAAAAGAAGCAAAAACAATTTGATTTTCACGTGTAATGGCGACATAAACAATGGCATCCTGCTATTCGATAGGCCGCCATAAATTTTATTGTACACATTGTAAGCTAAAAATAGAAAAAAAACTAGGTCATGGCGTTTAAATTTGCATTGTTATTTAAAAACTTGATCTGCAAAGTTTTGTAAACAAATAGTTATCGATCACTAAGTTACTGTACAGCCAATCAATATTTTTCTTACGAAAGTGAAACATCCGGTTATAACTTAGGCTTGATGAAAATAAATAGAAATGTAGCTTTAAACTCAACAAATTATTTTCAAGTTCTCTGGATTTGCAACTTTTATAGCATTTATTCCTAAAATATAAAATTTCTAAATTAATTTTAGGCTTAAGTTTTTATTTTTTTACGGTCTAAATCTAAAAAGCACGTTTTTATTCCAAGTCAACAACATTATGAAAGGAATCTCGTCAACTCGCTGGTGTCCATAGGTAACTCTGAAACAATGGTCGTATTGATTTCTATACTGCATTAGCACATTCAGTTTTCACATACGGCGTTCTTTGGTAGAAGTCTTTCCACACAAGACAGCCCATACAAGACAAAATCAGCCCATACACGACACCAGAGTTTCTTTCAGGCATCGCTTCGGGGGGGGGGGGGGGGGGCTGAAGAAAGCAGAAAGCCTACCCCCCCCCCCCCCCCCCCCCCCCCCCCCCCCCCGAAGGAAATTGAATTTGTAAAGAAAACATACTGTTACCAGTGTCCGCCCCCCCCCCCCGGAGAAAAGAGTGGAAGAAACACTGCAAGACACAACCAGCCCACACAAGACACAATCAGCCCAGATAAAAATAAAGCCCTAACACCCCCGCCCATTAAATCTCCATCCATGTCCACTAGCACTGTCCAGCTGCCGACCTACTGCAGTTAATACAAAAGTGCTTCAGGTTTTACGCGAGCTGGTAGACAGACTACAGACTAATCAGACAGACAAGTGGGAGGTGGTGGTTGTCGTCTACGTCAGAGGGGTCCTTAGAAAGTCCGCGTGTGTGTGTGTATGTATGTGTGTGTATGTAGGCCTATGTGTGACAATGTGTGTATGTGAGTGTGTGTGTGTATGTGTATGTGTAAGAAAAAAAAACCCAGACAGTATAAAAGGTCTACTGGTGATAGAGTAGGGGAGCAGATGGGTGTCAGCAGCCTTTTTGTTTTGCAGTAAACTGCCACTGGATCAATAGATTTTTTCTTAAATGTTACCCCCCCCCCCCCCCCCATGTATAGTTACGTCATTAATGGACGGAACCTACTGAAGAAAAAGCCACTCAGATGGAGGGGGGGGGGAATAGAAAAGTCCAGTCTGGGGAATTGTCAGAAGGACTCAGGTCAACTGGTGGAGTACACATCCTACAGCAAGGTGTTGACGTGATCTTCTGGACGTGATCTACAACCAGTTTGACGTGATCTACAGTCTACTGGACGTCATATACGATGGAATGAGCGTGATCTTGTCAGTAATAATTTAAAAAAAAACAACACTACGATTAGTTAAGGCCTGACGCTGTAGAGAGTAATGTCGTGATGATAGTGGGGGGGGGGGGGGGGGGGGGGGGGGTGTGAGTGTGTGTGGTGTGGGGGGGGGTGGGGGAGAGCCAGGTTGCGCCAACCTGAGCTATCTCTCCGGGTGAGTACCTCAGACAACAGGACGACGGCCGGCACGCACAGGGAGAGCAGGTAAAACGGTATGACCTGACCCCCCCCCCCCTTCACTCTCTCCACCGACGCGGTCAAGAGGTGAACGACCTTTGATCTACCGAGAGACGAACCAACGCGCGTGCCTTGAGTGGAGCCTTGCATGTGTGAGCAGATCAAAGCTGTGTGTGTGAGGTGGGAGGGGGCGGGGAGAGAAATGCCATCTGGATGACAATGGCATAATGACAGACCAAGGAAAACAAAGGTCCAAGTGTCACCTTGACCTTGGAGCTGGCCCAAAATTGATCTGGTATCTTGATTTGGCACCCATTGTACAGTAAAAGCCGTAATAATAGATGATAAGCAGAAAGTAGCAGGCATAAAAGCACTATAACAGCAGTATGAAGTACCACAAAACGCTAAATTAAAATAGACTCCGTAGATATGAAGCAAATAGGAGGTAGATATAAGGCAACATGAGGCAGACTTTGAGGAGACCAGACAAAAACACGCCATAAAAAGCGCACATACAATGTGTTTGGTGTACCCTACATCACATAATAACATTATTGCTTCAGCACTTTATGTTGTCGCTATTTTACTGTCCCATCTCGTCATCCCAACACCTTTTCTAGCCGGTTTTATTTCTGGGGACTCCAAGAGTTTTCAACCAAACCACCCGGTATCATTCCTTCACGTACTTCCTTTTATCTCGCCCTGACGAAGTTGTCTCCGAAAATGGCGATATATTATTTGGAGTGCTCTCCCCTACTCTGCCCTACCTCCCGCGCTTATTAAAGCCACGGGTCATAAACTTTTGTTGTTTCTGGAACTGATATAACCAGAGATATGATAATCAAAAGAATACCAACCAGAGGCGTAGCGATGGGGGGGGGGGGGGCGGACCAGTGTTTCTTCCAGACTTTTTTCTTCGGTGGGGGCACTTGACATTTTCGGGGGGGGGGGGGGGGGGGGGGGCGGTAGACTTTCTTCGGGGGGGGGGGGGGGGCGACACTGTCAAAAGTATATATTATCTATATAAATTATAGAAATTTCATTTCGTTCGGGGGGGGGGGGCGGTAAAAAATTGTCGGGGGGTGCAAACCTTAGGGGGCGCCAGAATGGGTTGGAAAACCAAATCGAAAGTTTGTGTAAAGGGGGTGTAAATCAAAGTTTGAGGGGGAATGCAAATAGGAAAGGTTGTCCACGGGCGCCGGGAAAGGG